GTGGGGGATGGGGTGCGGGAGCGGCCCTGCCCACGAGGGACCAGGGGTCACCGAGCCAAAGGTTGAGCCGCGTGATAGCCCCCCCCCCCCCTCCACTGCCCGGCACACAATAGGCGGGCCGGAGCGAGGGCTGGGCTGGAGAGAGGGCAGGGGTGGCGTCTGCCCCCGGGGAGGGCGATGGTCAGCTGTTGCCCGGAGACAGGCAGGCAGGGGGCATCTGCAGATGATCCCAGCGCTGGGCCCATGGCTGGCCCGCCTTTGTGGGGCAGACAATGAGGTGTTCGAGGAAAGTGGCATGGCCTGATTTATGGGGATGGCCTTCTGTTTTTCGTCCCCTCCTCTCCAAGCAAATGGCTAAAATATTTTAGATTTAACTTTTTTCCTAACCCCCCCACCCGAAGCAAAAAATCTGGGCTCCCCACGGAGAGCGTGAAATTGTCAAAGCCATTTAGTGAAGCGGCGTTTTCTGACAGCTGCTTGTGTTAAGTATTTTAATGTTACCGCCCTTGTAAACGTTGTGGGTTAAACACTCCAAACGGGCGTCGGGAGAAGGCTAATTTATAACATCGCAGCTACCATGCAGCCTCGAATGCACATGCTGCTCCTCACTAATACATATGGTGCACTGTGTTTGTGTATGGGGAGCGGTGGCGCAATGGTTAGCGTGCAATGCTATGGAGCCAGCGGCCTGAGTTAGATTCCCGCTCACGGCCAACACCAGTGACAATTTTCTGAACTGGTCCGGGGCCACCCCTAGGTCGACTCAGCCTCAAAGGAGTACTTGGTGTGTAAACATGGCCACCCATACCCTCATGCACCGTGCCGGCCTTCGTAGGTGCTTGCGATCAGCACTTGCCCCAACAGTCTGTTCAGGCTATAGGGAGAAATCTGTCTCTTTGTATTTGCTGGAGTCGTGGAAACCACGGATACGAAAGCAAGAAAAACCCGTGGGAAGCCAAGTGTCAATGAAATTGAAGCGTTCATCGTCACTGGCCCTGCGGTTTGAAGCTAACATCGAGTGCGCGCTACACGTTGCTGTTTATTGGGTTAAATGTTAAAGTGCACGGCTTTAGCCGCCTTTAGGGTGCCCCACGGTTTTCGGCGGTGGTCCAGCGTGTATCGCGTGTGTAATACTTTATGCCCGAATTATGAGCACTTCAGTTGCTCAATTCTGTCAGCTGAATAAGTCTTCTATCGAAACAAGAGTGATCTGGAGCGATCGCACGGCACTGGGGGGGGGGATGTGGGGGGGGAGCCGTAATCCGTGTTGCTCGGCCCCCGAATGTTTGCCCCCATAATCCAACCCTAATCTGGGCCTGGCCCCTAGCTATGATATCGACTGCTGCAGTGCCGAGATGTGTTTGTGGCCTGCGCGTGTTTGTGCTCGGGATAAGGGTTCGTGCACGGGGCTGGGGTGGCGGGGGAGGTGGTTGTGGGGGTGGTGGTGGCAGCATTCCTCCGAGCTCTGTGTGGTCTCGCCATGCAGAGACCCCCACCCCACCCCTCTCTCTCTCTCTCTTCCTTCTCCACCCTGGGATGCTTCTTTCTGACCCCCGTTCGGCTGCACCGCCTCAGTGGACTTTATGTCCGATGAGCCTTCGCTTCTCTGTGCTCTCAATGCTGCGAGATTTTTCAAGGTGTGGATTGATTGATTTATAACACCGGTTGTTTCTTGCTCGACTCTAAATCCTTCCCCTGGGCAGCAGAGGACGTGAATACGCGGTAATCAGTCTTCACAAGGCGAGGCTCATCTGAGGCTTTTTAATCGCCCAATAAATACATAAATGGATTATTTGTCCGCGTGTGCGAGTGTAACAACGACAGAGCGCGAGCTTGGCATTTTGACCACGGACTCGCCATAGAGATGAACGCCTACCCACTCGTGTCAGGAAACATCCTAACTTGTTAATTTTTTTATTTTATTTTCCAACTTTCTTTTCTGTAAAACTTAAGCCATGTATTTGGAGTGGCACGGCAAAGCCCTTGCTTCCCTCCCTTCACTGTCGTCACCCCGAGTACCGAATGTCGGCCTCGCTCTGTGCGTCCATCGCGAGCCGAGTTTGTCGCAGCCCACTGGGGTCACGATGGGCACCGCACCGCCATCATCGTGGCCGACGCCGCCACTTGAGTCGCGGTGTTGAGTTGGGGCTTGCGGGAATCGAACAGGAACAGCTGCCACTGAGGGTCCCCTTGGCTAGACTGCAGCAGGGACATCAAAATGGTTCAGATGAGATGTGATGCAAGGCGCTTAGAGTTGCCGAGGCATTTAAGCACGCCCCCTCCGATTAGCACGGTTGGCTACGTACGGTGCGAAATAAGTTCTACATACATACAAGTGCCACTATAACATAAAAAAAATCTTATAAAACTCCTCGTAACGGACAACCCCACGCAGAATTTACAAAAAATACTTTGACGAATAATATCCCGTTTTCCTCGCTTTGAACCGCGCTGCAGGCTTCCCCGCTGCGTGAGCCGCAGGGCAGCTGCCCTTCCGCCCGCCCAGCGCTCGCACCTCCACGCAGCCCGTCGGCGGGTCGGCCTCTCGGCCGCGGCGCCCTCCGCCACGGGTGGACACCCCCGCTGGGAGCCGCTCTCACGGCCGGGCCGTGCTACGGGGCCTCTTTGTGGGGTGGCCTCTTCAGGGATTTTTGTTCTCCCCACTAAGCCGGGGCGGTGCGGCCCAGGAGGCTGAGTTACCGTCTCGGGGTCAGGGTGCACGCCGCAGGGCGGCGGTCGGGGCAATCCCCCGCCCCCCACCCCCCCCCCCCCCCACTACGCCCCCCTGCCACCCCCCTCCCCCCCCCCAAAAAAAAGAAAGACCAATTTCTGAGAAAATTAACCGCTCCTTGTGAAAAGATCACAAGGAGACAAACGTGCTTTGAAGCATTTGCCGATTCTTAGCGGAATGCGTCTCCTTTGTTTATATTGTGCACCCTTCTATTCTTCGCACGCAACATTGGTGGGGCTCCGATTCGAATAGAAAATGGAGGCCGACTATCGTCGTTTCCAAGATATGACAGGAGCTTAACTGACCAAGGGTAATTGTGCTAAAGAGAGACTGGTTCCCGCCATAGGAATGTGAAGTTTACATCACTGGTCGAAACACAGTAGGTTCATTTCAGCACTTTCAAATTGTTAGACTTTTTATTTTATGTATCTTATGAAGTATTGACACTACCCGACTTGTTTTCCACTATTTTACTGTGCGTATAGGGGCAAGGCTTTGCATTACCGTAGGGTCCATTGTTATGTTGGTGCAACTTTCTCTGGCATTTAATTTCTGAGCCTTCCGCCCTCCTCTCAAACATGCCCTCTTGTGATCGGGGCGCACGTTGATCAGCCAGTGCACAAGGCTCCCCACTAGCCGTGGGGCCTCTGGGCTTGTCAGATAAGATGGATGGAAGGGAAAGCAAAAACTCCTATCTTGACTGCTGCATCATGGACAACGCGAGCATTCTTGTGTAACAGCCACCCTTTCCACGAGTCCTTGGGGACTCTGATATCTACGAATGTTGAGGATAACGGGGAGTGCTTGTCCATTGATAAGAGCAAGAAGCGCATATTTGTGGGTTAGTAAAGGGTAATTATTTTGTGTTGAGGTTAGTGCGATCATCGGTTTGCATTTGGTCAGGAATCAACGTGTCTCCGTGCTCGGGGTGAGGGTTCAACGGAGCTCTCACATCGGTTGGCGACCCGAGCCAGCCGTGAAAGTTCCCCACGGTCGGTGCGCAATAATAGCCAGAGGGGACACCACGTGTAGGGAACGGGAGGGTGACTAACATGTCAACACGTTTTGCTCAAACGAGTCGTGGAAAATATCCACAAGATGTGGCGATGCAGCAAAGGGAAACGTGCAATCGCTGCTTGAAATACAGAAATTGGCCATCATCGATAATTGTCAATTTTGTCAAGACATGTTCAAAATGTTGGTTGATTTTTTATATTTCAGATGAACTGCAAATTACGCTGCAATAGGGCGCATAAGTAAATAATTTGAACCGCGCTGTGTTTGCTCACTGCAATGTCATCACGGGGTAATCGTGCGTTTGTGTTGTACTTTGTGTGTTTAGTGAGTTGCGTAGCTAGCGGCGAGCGAGTCACTCGTGGCCAACTGGAGGTGACCACCTGTTGCAGGCCCACTTGTCCCCACTTACATAAATTATATCACTCAGAATTAAATCACCACTGCCTCCTGCATGGGGTCAATTCTCTAAAGCTAAAGTTTTTTTCTCGGGTCAGCACGTTGTATTGTGTGTTAGTGTGAGAAGAAAATAGAGCTCCATTATCCTGAGTACAATGCAAGTGCATATATTACTCGTTCACCGGTAGTCACCTCTCAATGTTGGGCACACACATTGCTAGGTATCTCATCTATTCCCCCTGTGCTTTGTGATACATTCTGTGTGAAGTTATCAAATCAGTCAAGTAAGCCTCTTGAGTTTTGTCCTTAGTTTTTTTTATTTCTAGGATCAAATAACCGATGGAATTTCACTCCAACGCCATGTGTGTAACTAACGGCTGAAATGCGACAGATCGTGGAAGCCGCGCGTGGTGGTGGTGGCGGTGGCGGCAAGCTGAGAGCCGGCACAGGGCCGCGGCGCACGCGTTGACAGACAAGCAAAGCGGAAGGGGGGGCCCCCATGGCCACTTCTCGTAGCGAGAGTGTCCACGTGACCGGCATATGGTCGCGTGCGAGGGTCTTCAGCACCAGATGTCGCTCGGGCCACGTGGACGTATCGATTTCTGCGTAGATTATCCACCGTCAGATACTGTCAATCGGCTCATTGTTCTTTGATAATTGCAATTGATGTTAAATTGTATCATTCATCAGCTGCATTAAAGTGGGCGCTCACCACGATTACCGCCGCCCACCCCCATCGCGCTGAAGTTGAACAATCATTGTTTGTGCAACAAATGGACCTGGTTAAGAATTCCCCCCTGGGGCACGGAGCTCATGCGTTCGCTGGTCTCCTCTCCTCCTCCTCCTCCCCCCGCAGAGCCCAGGAAGAAGTACCAGGTGCGGCTGTCCGCCTACAGCGACGAGGGCGAGGGATACGAGGCGGACCAGACCATCAGCACGGCCGACTGCGCGGGTGAGGCTCTCTCGCCACGAGGCCACGGGAGGCCCAGCGCTCCGTGCCGCACACGACGTTGCGGCTGGGCGGGGAGATAAGCGTCTCCCCTGGCTCAGACTGAGCGTGGACGATGCTGATTTCCTCCAGGGCAGCCCTGAGCCAATTTATAACAGGACAACCACTTCTCACAAACTGGTGCTCGTTTTATTGACTCGAGAGGAATGATGACATGATTTGAGTTGAACTTGCAGTGTTCCACTTCAGAGGCTGGCGCTCTGCTGCACGCTCGATCGTTACCTAAACTGAGGTCTTCTTTGCAGAAATATCACATCGATTGGTAACGCTTTAGTGGGGGAATAACAAATACATTATTCGATACAATTCATGGTAATAATGCCACAGAGAGTGACTTGTGCAGCTTCCCCAAACTGCCAATCCATCCTCTGCCAATCGGGTTCCTCGAATAAGGGTCGAGCACCACTGCAACTTAGCTGGGTCCAGAGCCACAACACCACCACCAAGGGGTCCTGCACTCATCAGGATCAGACAAGAGCCTGCACCACCATGGGCCATCCGAATGGAAGTTCCCCGAGGCACGGCCTTCAACACAGAGGAGTCTTCGGGATTGAGAATGGGAACGAGGGCCATTTGGCTACGCTTGACTCTAAATCTCCCCCTCCCCCACCGCTTCGCTGGCTAATGATTGATTTAGTGGACCTGGGTGACTGGGATAGCCGAGAGGTTTTTATTGGCAGTGCGCGTGTACCAAATGCTCGTATCCTGCCACCCAGAGGCAATATCTGCAGGGAATAATCAACTGCTGTCACCTGCTTCAAAACGGCATTTGAAACCCACTCACATTATTCACACGGGCAGGCCATTATGTGGCGGTGGCCTCTCATATGTCCTAAATTTTAAAGAGACCCTATTGATCAATATGTTACCGATGTAGCTCTGCGTACCCGTGTCGCCAATGCAAAATGAGGGTAAAGAATCTCGGTGAGAGAATCCTGGTTAAATGCGGGATACTGTTGTGAGTTGGAGCGCCCCAGCCAGATGGGACTACGAGGTCCACAGACGCGGAGTGACGCTTTGTAAGATTCAAGGAGGCAGGAAATGGAGAGAGGACGGAACTCATTTTCCTTGACGTCGTCCCCCACCCCTGCGCCTCCCCCCCAAGTGGAATTCTCTGGACTCGTCACGGTGTGCGAGGCATAATATTGCTGTTAGGAGGCGCAGGAAACCCACGGGGGTCGATCACAATGTGAGCAGCAAAAACGTTGTTTACACTTCCTGTTGGAACAACTAAACGGGTCAATTTTCACAACCCAAATGGTCGGCGATATGAACGGTCTCACCGAATGGAGCTTTGGCCTACCCAGTGTAACAGTGGCCGTGCAGTTGCTGCATTCACACGTCATGGGTCGCAGCAGCAGCAGCAGCTCCCACCGTTTCACAATCATTGCGTTATTATGTAGAATGGGATGGAGCGGTGGCACGGCACACGAGGGGGTGGGTGGCCAGCATCACGCCCAGCCGCCTTTGTCTCCCCAGTAGCGATCTTTTTACACACCGCACCAGCTACTCATTTGAGGCTGAGTCGACCTAGCGGAGGCACAAACACACACGCTCACACTGTTAAACAAACTCGCACACACACACGCTCACACGCTCACACGTACGCCTCCCATGTGCCCCCCCCCCCCCACGTGCCCCCCAGCCGTGCGTGGGAAGTCGGCGCCGCCGCCACCGCCGCCGCACCGCCTGCACGCGCGCACCAACGGCTCGCGAGCGGTCGCGCTGCACTGGCTGGCGCCCGTCTTCAGCCACGGCGGCGGCAGCCTCAACTACACACTGCGCTGCAACCCCGTGGGCCTCAAGAACGCGTCGCTCGTGCGCTACGTCCACACGTGAGTGGGTACGGGGGGCTGCCAGGCGTGCTGGGCTCTCTCCAGTGCGACTGTGGATGCTCTTGTGCGGGATAATCGCAGGCGTCGCGCGGGGGAGATGGCGTGCAGGAGGTCGTGGGTTCGATCCCGACCCTGACGCCTGCTGCTATATATTTGGAGTTTGCGTGTCTCTCTCCCCGTGGTACCTGTGGATTTTTCTCCGGGTTTTCCGTTTTTTTTCCTCCACATTTAGAACCACGCGTTTAGAGAATTTGGCTGCTATAAATGTCCACGTGATAAGCCACATTGTTGAGCTATTATTTGTGACCAGGTCACTTGTGAAAAAGAGCTACACAGCTCAGTGGGCCTTTCCTGGTAAAATAAAAATAGTTTTAGTTTAATTTCATCATCGTCGTCGTCAACTAGGGATAATTCTCACGCGACTCGGAGGCAAGGAGCCCGGCTCGGAGTTCCTCAAGCGCTCTACGAGCCTGGTGCACCAGGTGCAGAGGCAGATGTCACTGCTGCTGCCACTACTGCTGCCGGTGCTGCTGCACATGTGAAGGGGGTAGGAGTTCGTGGAGAGAGCGAGACCAGCCACGGAGAAACGATTATCGGCACTCACTGCCCTTGACTTTGGAACGTCGAGCAGGTTGAGGGACTACCTGCGCACGATGGAAGTGCGCGCGCTGCAAATGCTGTGCATGCTTAACGTGTGTACACACATGCCACGCGTGTGTACACACATGCCACGTGTGTGCCGTGCGCGCTTCCTTTGCGTGCTGTGTGTGTATGCCGTGCATACGCCACGTGTGTGACGTCTTGTTGCGAGCGCAGGCTGCGTGTATGTGTGCTGCGTGTATGTGTGCTGCGTGTATGTGCGTGCACGCCGCGTGTGTGACGTGTTGCTGTTGTTGCTGTTTGCTCCCCTTGTGCCGCTCTGTGCCGCCGCTTTGCACGGCAGCACGGAGGAGCGGCTGCTGGTGGAGGGGCTGCAGCCGGACACGCGCTACGAGTTCGCCGTGCGCCTGCACCTGGGCTCGCTGCTCAGCCCCTGGAGCCCCGTGGTGTACCACTCCACCCCGCCCGAGCGTGCGTCCCCCCCACACTCGCCCCCACACTCGCCCCCACACTCACCCCCACACTCGCCCCCACACTCGCCCCCACACTCGCCCCCGCGAGGTCGCAGAGCGTTCACCGGCTGAGAGCACGGCGACGTTGCTCCGAGTGTTCGACGCCGCCACCGCGGCCATTCGTCAATGCCTCGCGCAAAAACAACAACAACAACGCCGGCGCTTCTGTGTTACATGCCCACACCGCTCGAGTGTGTCACAGACCTAAACCCCACACACGAGTGTGCTACACGCCACTACGCAGTTAGTGCGGTGGCTATGCACGCCTGTCATCCAGCATTATGGAGGCAAGGGTTGGTGGATCAACACATAGGTTGTGAAATTCGCATCACAATTGCGGTACGGCAATTGGAGCAATTGCCATCTGTTTCCATCTGTACGAGGATGGAGTGTTGCCCCCTGGCACGTGTCTCCACGTGCTCAGGTTTGCATGTATAAACACTCATCTATTGGCCGCGTAAATCTTAATTTAAAAACCCAATGTAGCAGCAGGACCCTTCTGAAAAAGAGCCCTGTGACTCGGCATGGCTCTCCCGGGCGAATAATTGCGTGCATCACTGTAATACACCAACACATCTCCACTCGCGTGACGCACCGCCTCAGTCCCCACCAGCGGCGCACCTCTCACGAGCGCTCAACGCACCGCGGCTGCACCGTGACCTCCGTTAAACACCGCTGTGGCGCTCGGCGACGCGGCACTCGCTGCCGCGCCGTGCGCGAGCCTGCGGTGTTCTGCTCGGCCGGCTCGGCACGCTTGGGGGATGTTTGTTGTCGTGCCGCGTCGTCGTTTACCGCGGCCGAGGGCCCCCGGGGCTGGGAGAGCGCCCGTCAGCCAGAGCCGGCATCGACGCGCCTGGTGCCGCTGTTTAAATATTTAGTTTCCGTTCCAACGATCTGTGGCGGTAACCTGATTTACTGTTCGGAACGACGGCAGATGGTGTCACCTTGTGCAGGATTGGGAATATAGCGGAACGTGTGTACACACACACACACGCGCATACCCACGCACGGATGTGCATAAACCGCAAATACCTAAACGTAGAACCTTCACAGAGTGCTGTTAGCGAGCACCTAATGAAGGCCAACACGGCACAAGAGGGGGCGGGTGGCCAACACCACTCCAGGCCGCCTTTGTCTCCCCAGTGGCGATGTTTTTTACTCACCACACCAGGTACTCATTTGAGGCTGAGTCGACTTAGGGGAGGCTCAGGACTGTTTCAGATTATGATGACTGGTGTTGGCCGTGAGCGGGAATTGAACTCGGGTCACCGCATTCGTAGACTGCTGATGGATTGGTCAGCCAAAGCAGGGACGGAGCGATGAGATTAGCTCAGGTGTAAGAGTGAGATGGATTGTAGCATTGCAAGGCCGTGAGGGATGGCTACAGCGACATGGGGAAGCACCTAGTCACATGCCGCTTGGGGCTTTGGATCCTTCTGGACTGGTTCCTGTCTCGTCGCGCGAGCTGAATGTGAGCTTTTAGAGCAGTGTGATTGATGTCCTGAATTCAACCAGCTGAGCATACACAGAGATGCAAAATATATTGTCTAAGCGAGAGACTTGTGATACCATTCTTGTCTGATACAAGATTTTCTTTCTTTTTGCAATTTAGTGACAGGCAATTTTAGGTTTTCGAGTTTGGTTTTCAGCCACACAGTGGCCTAATCTTATTAATGATCCTTTAGCTCGGTCCTTAACATCTGCTTTAAAATAGATGGCTCATTTATTTTGGTAATTCCCCTTGGAAATTACGGGGCTAGCCGTGGGAATCGAACCGCTGACTCGGAGCAAAATGATTGTAGGTCGCGCGCGATGCCGGGCCGGTTAATTGAGTTGGCGTCTTAATTGATTAAGGAGCTTTAGACAAAGTTCCGTGCCTTTCAGTCGTTATCTCTTGACTTCACGGTAATTTGATTGAACGTGACGCACGTTGGGCCACGGTGTTTTCCCCAGGTTAAATTAATTAATTGTACGAGGCCGCTACTGCCGCCACTAGCGGTCACCGACTCTCACGTCCGTCTGCACGCTCGCGGTGCAAAACGGCACCAACCAAACAATCACCGTTGGAGATGAGAGAAGGCGTGAAGAAGCCTCGTGTCAACAAAACGAAAATCCACTTCGATCGCCATACACGGAGACCGGCCCCCCGTCGCGATGCCGTGAAGTTTCTACCGCTGGCTCGGCCGCCAACAGCTGCGAGCCGCTCCGTGGGCGCTCGTGAGGGCAGGGACATGCGTAGACCGGGCCCGGCGGCCTGCCGAGGCGGTGCTCATCGTGTGACCGTGTGCCCCGCAGGCCCCTCGGGCCGCCCGGGAGAGGTGCGCGTGGCGGCCGTGAGCCCCCGCTCGGCGCTCGTGGCCTGGCAGCCCCCGGACGAGTCCAACGGCACGGTGACACGCTACACCGTGCTCTACGGCACGCCGCAAGAGTGGGCCGCCGGCGCGTGGCGCTCGCTGCACACCCACGGTACGTCGCGGGCACTGGACGCACGGCACGCTGGCAGCACCGCCGTGTAGCGGGCGAGGCGCTGGCACGGGCGCGCCCCTCTCACCGCCACACGCGCAGAGAGAGAGAGAGGCCCGCGAAAACGGCCGCCACCCCGCCTCGTATGACGATCACGATTCATGAAGCCGCTGATTGCGCCTGCCGCGCGTAAATGACGGCGCGCGGCATCACCGGGCCCGAGCGATCCTCACGCCCCCGCGGTGCAGAGCGCGGGGGAGACTGTGGCTCGTGGCACACGGACAAGCTCGCACTGAAACACCGCGGGGGTGGGTGGGTGCACCGCAACTCGGGACACGCCGGGTGCAGCACGACCGTTCAATTCCATCTCACTCACGAAGCGAATTTCGATGTTCTCATCCTCCCACATTCATAATGCACGATGGGCCACACGTCCACCGAAACGCACGAGCCTAGAATAACAAGAACGACGACGGCGACACCGGTCGAGTGTGAGTGTGGGGGGGGGGGGCGAGGACCCCCCCATCGCGACTCTACGCTCCTCCACGCTCGCCGCCAGCGTGCACACAGGACATGCACCGTTCCCTTTTTGTCAATCCACTGCCGGATGGGTTTCCGTTCGGGCCCTAGGGAGTACAGAACGCAGTTATATTGAGCACGGCAACCTGGATTGCAACCCAGCGTCTCAGCGCTGCAGCCTCGACTCGGTAACTCCGGCACGGTACCCTTATGATGATTAATAATAATAATATTTTCCGGACCCCCCCCCCCCTCCCTGTTGTGCGCGTGGCGGTGTTGCCGCAGGCTCGGAGCGCGTGGCGCGCGTGGACGGCCTGCAGGCCGGTGAGGTGTACGTGTTCCGCGTGGAGGCCGTCACGGCCAGCGGCCCGGGCCCCGGCTCCCCGCCCGTCCGCGTCCACATCCCGCGCGCTCAGCCCGGCGGGGCCGCCCGGAAACCCGGCGGCGCCAGGACCTCGCACGCGCACGGTGAGTGCCGCCGCCGCCGCACCTCGCTCCGCGCTGCCCGCTCACTCCTCCGTGCTCCTTGCTCCGTGCTTCATTTCCTGCACGGTCGGCACGTACCGCGTTCTCCGTGCTCGCTGCTCCGCGCTCCGCGCCTCACGCCTCGCCCCCGCGTGCCACGCGCAGGGGGAGGCTCGGCGCCGGCGGAGGGGGCGGAGGAGTCGGCGGGGGGCGCCGTGCCGGGCGACGGCTCCGCCACGGCCATCACCATCGGCGTGTGCATCGCGCTCGCCTGCATCGTGCTCTGCCTCATCGTGCTGCTCGCCCGCACCAAGGCCAGGTGCGCCCCGCTCCGACACCGCCGCCGCTGCCCACCCCGCCGCCCCAGCGCGACGAGGGCAGCCGGGGGCAGGCTTCTCATTGCCGCAGTGCCAATACGCACGCACGCACGCAGACGGAGTTTCCGCAGAGAGGGAGGTGACGCGTCGCGTCCCTGCGGGGAGGGCAGCTGAAGTGCAGATGAGAGGGGGGACGGGCGATCGCGGAGACCTCGGTCCAGCGACCGCTTGAGGAATCGGGGCTCACGGCTCCAAGAGAAAGGGCTGCAGCCATAGCGGTCGCGGAGAAGTGAAGAGGAGGAGGAGGCCAATTCACAGTGAGAGCGTGGCAGCGGTAACGACTGCGATAGGCAGCGGCAGAGAGTGACGAGACGGAGGCGACGGACGTGATGCCCGGTGCTGCCTCTTGCCAGTCGCATCAGGACAGTCAATTGCCTTGGCTTCCACATCACCGATTCATGAACACGCAGCCTGGGTAAAGCAAACACGAGACGGACATCACTGTCTCCCTGGAGCCCACGCGTCCCGCGCCCGCTCCCCACACACGTCGCGTGGCGTTTGCGGTGTACTTGCCTGTGCATCATCGTGTCCATGTGCGTTTGTAAGTGATGTCCACGTGTGTAGTATCGATATACCGTGTGACGTTAGACGCTCTGTGAGCAATTGGCTCGTTCAACACCCTGCACCGACTGATTTGTGCAATGGAGGTCATCGTGACCCATTGGGTGAAATTTGAAGTCAATGTATTTAACAAAATCAAGACATTTCATCTCTTGCAGTCAAACGAATTAATTCACTATCATATAGGAACAAGCTTAGCATCGAGCATCACTTATAATTAGTTATGAACGCTGACACGTAATAATTTACACATAAAATGTACATATAGTACTTGTGACATGTGAGGGATATAAGCACTTTGGTACCCCCGCCTCTCCCAGGATATTTGTCTGCTGTGGCAGTGACTCCACCTGGCGCTAGCAACAGGATGACAACTGACACTTGCCCTTCTCAAGACTCGCACGTAAATACTCGGCCGGGTCTATTCCGCGCTGTGGTAAACGGTGGTCATCTTCACGGCAAAGCGAGTCTGGCGATGTCAGCTGATGCCGCATGCACGTGCAGCGCCCTCGCGCACACTCCTGCTCTGCGCCAAACTCTTCAATCGCTGTCGTGGCGGCCGTCGGCGCTGCGCCGTGGGGTTGGGGTCTGTGCGCAGTCTCGGCCACGGCCGCCGCCGCGTTCGAGCGTCGCCGTGGCTTGGCACCAACAAATATTCCCTCGTCCCTTGGCGATGTAAACCGTGGCCCTCCCGTGCATGCTGTAAACAAACAAAAAAAGAGAGACCGTTTCCAGTTGAAATCAGAGCTGCGTTCCGCCGTGACCGATGATCCCGGGCTCACGCACGCACGCTCGCTCGTAATGCACCATAACAGCCTCCAGATCGCTGGGTGAGGGCCACGCGCAGCCACACTCGCTCACGAATTGTCTTCTCTTGTGTATTACAGACGTTAAATATAATTCAGAAGTTGACTGAACTCGAGGTAGACAACGCTAGCCCCGGTCAGGCTTCTCCTGTCAGATGACCACGGCGCTCCCGTTTTTGGGAAAGTTCGCCCGCTAGCCCCGTGTTGAACCCGGCCGGCCCTGCCAGTGCCCTGCCTCATCGCCGTTGATCTCGGAATCAAAGCAACGCAGCCTCTGCCACGTGTTACACTGAAGTAGGGCATTAGCGTACGCAGACAGATGACTTCGATCTCCAGCCCTACGGTCACAGGCCAGTGCAGAATAATCGTGGAGCATAAGTGGCTGAGTTCTGTTGCGAATTGAAACTGAATCGTGGTGAAGGCTGCGCGTGGGGCCTGCTGATTCACGTGTTAGTGGCAACCACTTTACTCCACTTTCTCATTCGTTAACTGGCAAATCGGCAGGACACAGCAGTGATTTGCCCGCTTCTTGTGAAATGTTCCCTTAAAACTACCACCTCTGCGTCGTACGAGAATCAGATTTTGTTGTTCACGATGCCGATCTCGAGTACGATGCCGACCTCGGGGGAGAAACTGTCGCTGGGAGTGTCGCCTGTCCAACATCTCCATGCTCCAGGGTGCTTGTGTAATGACCTTGCACAACGGAGAGTGTCGCATGCGGATCCCCCCGGGGGCGAGTGTGGGGGGTGGAGGGGTGGATTTACACCTCGACATTGCCGGGCCCCCACGCACGTCACCGCGAGGGCGATCGATGGGCGATCGCCCTGGCCGGCGGAATCATCGGGAATAAATAAAATGATTTAATTGAGCCGCGGGCCTTGAGGACGCTCGCTCATGATGGAGCAGGGACAGCGCTGATCCACAGCAGAGCCACTCGGCAGAAATGCAGCGGTGTCGGGCAGCAGGAGCCGTCCCGCGTGTCACGGGAGAGTCACGGGAGGGACGCACGGCGCTCCCTTACCGCTTCATTTGCCCTTCACCACGATGTACTGTACGGTATTTCTTGCTCGTGATACGACTGCCTTAACATCGTTTGCGCGCTAGATACCGTTGCGCCGTGTGTGCGATTGGCTCAGAGGCGTCAGTGGATAGTTTATGTATCATCATCGTCATCGGTGTTATTATTTCGCTTGTTTATCCAAGGAAGCCTGATTCTCAATACTCTTGAGGGGCCTACCGATGTTGCTCTCTGTGATCCCAATTTCGTCATTTACAGGCGAGGTCATTTATTGGCATTAGGATGTTATTGGTATTAGGATGTTTGGCCAATACTAGCTACCTTGTGTTTCTTTAGCTGATAGGAGGAAACCAGGGAACGCAGAGGAAACGAATGCAGAACAGGGGGAGAACGTGCAAACTCCACGCAGAGAGGCACCCGATGTTGGGAATCGAACCCATGCCCTTCTCTCTGCAGGAAACAAGTGTTTACCACTGCACCCACCCTGCTACCCAATGTAAAGCCAGTATATATGTTGTGATCGGTGTGCATGTGTGTGTTTTCATACATTCCACTGTCGTATGGTTTCATGGGTTTTCCAAGATGACGTTTAACTTCTGTAATAATGTTGCGTATCAATGATGCCAATGACCCTGTGGCTGATGTACCTTTCCTTTTAAAACGGGAATGATACATTTCACCATACAGTCAGTCTTATGCGAGGAGCACCATAACTGGACAACATTATCACATTATGGCATTATTATTTTTTTTCCGCTTGAAATGCTTTAGTAAACATTGTGAATTATCGACATTTCTCAGAACCCAGTGAACCCTTGTCCAAACATCTCAATTTAAACAAACTCCTTCGCCGGGCCCTGGTTTATTTGCAAGTCACACGTGTGCCGCGCAGCACGTGCCGGTGAATGTGCGCCGGTGAAGGGGGCACGCGGTCAGGCAGGGGTCGCGCGTGCGCTCGTCCCCACCCCGCGGGTGACTTCGGGGCTGGACGCTCGTGCCGGTTCAAAGGCTGGCTGCGCGAGAGCACAGCGGCGCTCGGTGAACTTGGCGGCGGGCAAAACGTGGCGTTGACATTTCCGAGACGTTCCGCATACGGTGCTGGAAGAGAAGGGAACGGGTCGTGTGCGCGGTGGAGACGCACGCTGCGCACATTTTCACTCCTCCTCTTCAGCGTCCACAACATTAGCTTTCTACGGTGCACGGCATCTGTGTAAACGTCACTCAAACGGGACGGGAAGGGAGATGAGAGATCCGGCACGGCGGGGCGGATTCCCGCACGGTGACCCCTCTCGCTTTGGGTACCAAAGGGGTGACGGAGAATGCCGCCACGATAGGGAAGAGGCTGTTGAAATGCTATAAACATGTGTGAATGTTACACTACCTTTTGTTTTAAATGTATTTCACATTGGCTGCGTTGTGCCCGCCCCTATCGCGAGCTTTTATATTGAATGTCCCCGCTTCAAACAGGGGCTCGTACCACAAGGCACGCTACGGGGCTGATGTGTGTGTGTGTGCGCAATGTCTCCACACAGGGGCTCGTACCACAAGGCTGAGCGCGCTCTCTTCCCGGGGCAGCAGCAGCAGCAGCAGGGCGCAGGATCAGGGGGCAGCCCTGGCACGGCCGCTCACCTCGCCTCGTCCTCCGCTGCCCACGGCGGGCGCCTCCACCCCAAGGTCTCCTTATGATATTATTATCATCTCATTCATAATCAACTTACGGCTACTTATTCTTGGTTCTTTCGGTAAAGTCACGTAGAAGGGAAACAATAAAATAATACAAATATAAACAATAAAATTCTCACGACGTTTCGACTGCAACACAAGCAATCATCATCAGGTGTGAAAACCACAGCTGTGGTGACTTTACCGAAAGAACCAAGAATATGAATCCCTGCAGTCACGAAAGCTTTAAATCAAAATTTTACGGCTACTTGTTTGTTTGCTTGGACTGTGAGATATCTACACGTGTCTACATCTCACGAGCAGAGGCGGCTGGGAATACGAGCATGTGTGAAAAGTCGAGGCACGGCAACCTGCGTTTTAATAAATGATGAGACATTTTGACGACGGGCTGATGGAGGCGATGATCCCCCCCACGCATCGTTAAAATACAGGCGGCCGTGCCACAACTTGCCGCCGTGATTTACATCTCCCTCCCGGGGACGTGTCGCCGCCGGTTAACGTCGTTAGCGAGAGAACGTGGCAGGGCGGGGAGGCGCCAGGGCTATCGTCGTGCCATCGGAGCGCCGTGGCCACCCCCCTGGCAGGCCGAGAGCTTGAAGCTCGGGTCGGCAGTGCGGTGGCACCCGGCATCTAAGTCTGAATTTTCCAAATTGTGAAGGTCAACTCAACCGGCCGTCTTTGCGAGGTCAATAAAATAGATTACCATTTTCTGGAAAGCCATCGGTGGCTGTCGTTTGGAGAGACTGGCTCCCGCCACGGGAATGTGGATTCTGCACCCCAGTGTCAGAGCCATCCGAGGGGAAGAGTGCCAACCCCTGTTCACGCGCTCTCTCCATACCCAGCTGTGATGCGACATCGGGTGCCGAGCCGTGGGCCTCCCGCTCCCATGGGTGGCAGCCAGAGTGCCTCGCCCACAGCGAGCCCTGTTGCCGGGGGTGTTATGCGGTGAAAGCAGGGCAGCGATTCATCGTACAACGCTGTAGTTGATTAGCCAAGCAAGCATTGTTATTCCTGAAGGAGGCTCTATGACTCTCAATCCTTAACATTTCACTCATCGATGTTTTAATCTTTATTTACCCCACAATCAACCGGAAAATGATTGGTTCAAGTAATTAATAACCACAGCGTGATTCAAGGTTACCCACTGATTGGCACATTACTGATGTCGTGGATGATCAAACAGTTTTGGCTATAAAGAACAACCGCGAATCACCCGGCTATCGAACATCGCTCAAGCCACCAACATCCACCGCAAAATAAAAGTGACCATCACCTCGTACGGTATCGGAATGCCTTTTTAAAACACACACCCAGGGGCTAAATATTTAACAAATTATTAAGTCTGTCTGAAACACGTAAGCAGCCGAGGCGTCGAGAATCGGCACTCACAGGTGAGAGAAAACGTGAGCAAAACTGATCACCGCAGTGGCCAGGCATGCTGCTGCTGCTGCTGCTGAGGAGCCCTGAGACGTCGTGTAACCGCCGCGTCGTGTAACGTCGTCCTCGCTCTCCTCGCTGCCGCAGGGCGACGCACGTCTGGTTGTGGACGGCCTGGGCTCCAGGGCGGCCTGGCGAGGAGCAGGCCGAGGTCTGTTCGGGCTGGGCCGCAGCAGCGCCAAGACAAACGACTTTCCGGTACTGGCACGTCGCTTGTCGCTTCCCCGTTTGTCCTGCGTGTACATGCATGTTGATGTATGTTGAACTTCTTTCGTGCCGTACATAGGCAACCATGCAAAGCGCAGGTGTGCGCTTAGGGTTGCCACTTCGGAGGTAGAAAAAAAACCGGGACACATCCTGGGAAGATGAATATTTTACGAGACCGCAACAGAGAGCTACGCGTAATTGCATTGTCTTTAGTGGTTTATCAGTATTGTTATTATCACGTGACGGACAATACTGGAACATTTATTTCCCTGAGTAAACGTATAAGATTTCCTTGGACAGCTACCCGGAAAAGCGGTCATCCTGGCAAAACCAGGACAGGTGGAAGCCTGGAAGGAAAAGGGAAAAGCGTTGGGAACGTTGTGTTGGGAACGTTACTGTTGGGAATTCCACACAGAATCCTCCACCAATGCTATCAAACACAGATGCATAGGTGTGAGAGAGAGCGGTTCAAAAGTGCGCTTCGAATCAATTGTTATTTTCGCTTGTGAATTAGTATTAAAAAAGTTTCACTCCGGCTGAGATATTAGCATGGATCAATAGGTAGTTGTGAATGTTTAAGCTTGGGTGCTGGGTTACTCGAGGGCCTGGGTACAGATGCTACCCGCGGTGGTGCAGGCTCCCCTACCAGAAGCATTGGGACGCCTCGATCACGAAGCTGACGTTCAGGGGGCACTCGTGTGGGGCCACTGTGCCAGGACGTGCATCCACGTAGCCTGGCCACTAGAGGGCCCCCTGTCAGCACGGAGCTCCCAGCATATCCATCAGTTGCACCATTGCCGATCTGACCTGGCCCCTGCTTCAACTGGCAGATTCTGTCTCCTCCACCTTTCGTACCGACATACATTTGGCAGTCACTACAAATCGATTTTGCGAATCCAGCTGCTGACTCACACAGAGACTCGTAGACTTCACACGGAGACTCGTAGACTCACACAGAGACTCGGAAACTTCACACGGAGACTCGTAGACTCACACAGAGACTCGTAGACTTCACACAGAGACTCATAGATTTCACACGGAGACTCGTAGACTTCACACGGACACTCGTAGACTCACACGTAGACTTCACACGGAGACTCGTAGACTTCACATGAAGCCTCGTTGACTCACACGGAGACTCCTAGACTTCACACGGAGACTTGTAGACTTCACACGGAGACTCGTAGACTCACACAGAGACTCGTAGACTTCACACGGAGACTCGTAGACTCACACGTAGACTTCACACAGAGACTCGTAGACTTTACACGGAGACTCGTAGACTCACACGGAGACTCGTAGACTCACACAGAGACTCGTAGACTCACACAGAGACTCGTAGACTTCACACGGAGACTCGTAGACTCACACGTAGACTTCACACAGAGACTCGTAGACTTCACACAGAGACTCGTAGACTCACACAGAGACTCGTAGACTCACACAGAGACTTGTAGACTACACACGGAGACTCGTAGACTTCACACGGAGACTCGTAGACTTCACACGGAGACTCGTAGACTTCACACGGAGACTCGTAGACTCACACGTAGACTTCACACAGAGACTCGTAGACTTCACACAGAGACTCGTAGACTCACACAGAGACTCGTAGACTCACACAGAGACTTGTAGACTACACACGGAGACTCGTAGACTTCACACGGAGACTCGTAGACTTCACATGAAGCCTCGTTGACTCACACGGAGACTCCTAGACTTCACACGGAGACTTGTAGACTTCACACGGAGACTCGTAGACTCACACAGAGACTCGTAGACTTCACACGGAGACTCGTAGACTCACACGTAGACTTCACACAGAGACTCGTAGACTTTACACGGAGACTCGTAGACTCACACGGAGACTCGTAGACTCACACAGAGACTCGTAGACTTCACACGGAGACTCGTAGACTCACACGTAGACTTCACACAGAGACTCGTAGACTTCACACAGAGACTCGTAGACTCACACAGAGACTCGTAGACTCACACAGAGACTTGTAGACTACACACGGAGACTCGTAGACTTCACACGGAGACTCGTAGACTTCACACGGAGACTCGTAGACTTCACACGGAGACTCGTAGACTCACACGTAGACTTCACACAGAGACTCGTAGACTTCACACAGAGACTCGTAGACTCACACAGAGACTCGTAGACTCACACAGAGACTTGTAGACTACACACGGAGACTCGTAGACTTCACACGGAGACTCGTAGACTTCACACGGAGACTCGTAGACTTCACACGGAGACTCGTAGACTCACACGTAGACTTCACACAGAGACTCGTAGACTTCACACAGAGACTCGTAGACTCACACAGAGACTCGTAGACTCACACAGAGACTTGTAGACTACACACGGAGACTCGTAGACTTCACACGGAGACTCGTAGACTTCACACGGAGACTCGTAGACTTCACACGGAGACTCGTAGACTCACACGTAGACTTCACACAGAGACTCGTAGACTCACACAGAGACTCGTAGACTTCTCACGGAAACTCGTAGACTTCACACGGAGACTCGTAGACTCACACAGAGACTTGTAGACGTCACACAGAGACTCGTAGACTTCACACGGAGACTCGTAGACTTCACATGGAGACTCGTAGACTCACACGTAGACTTCACACAGAGACTCGTAGACTTCACACAGAGACTCGTAGCACACGGAGACTCATAAACTCACACGTAGACTTCACACGGAGACTCGTAGACTCACACGGAGACTCGTAGACTTCACACAGAGACTCGTAGACTCACACAGAGACTCGTAGACTTCACACAGAGACTCGTAGACTTCACACGGAGACTCGCGCGGAGACTTGTAGACTCACACAGAGACTCGTAGACTCACACAGAGACTCGTAGACTCACACAGAGACTCGTAGACTCACATAGAGATCCATAGCCCCACAGTGGACACGAGTTCACGATGCGCTCCACTGTTTGTTGTTCTGCGCCGCAGTCGCATTCGTGCGATTGTTTTATTCTCCATTTGGGGGAACTGCACCTGCTGTGGCCGGTCCACCAGCTGCGATTTTAGACAGCCCGACTGCTTTGAACTGACAGTGAAACCTCGCCAGTCGGTATCGTTCACCTTATTACTTCCGAGCGCTCTCATCGGGGTATTTGAATACCGCATCTGAACTCGCGACGCACCGCCAGGTCAGGCGCACGTCCGCCTCGCCGGTCTAACCGTGAACGGTCGCGGTGCCTCCGCAGATGTGCCAGCGGCCGCTGTTCTGCACGGAGGCCGAGGCACGCGAAGGCGTCTCGTCGCTGGACCCGGAGCGGTCGCGCGATTCGGCCCTCGCGTGCGCCGAGAGCAGCAGCACGAGCGGCTGCAGCTCGAGCCACGAGCCGTCGCCCATGGACGGCGCGCGCGCCCCGGCTCCCGGCTACTCGGGCCGCTTCTCGCAGGCCTCGCTGGAGGACGTGGTGTTGCACCTGTGCTCCGAGGCGTCGCACGACTCTGCCGGCGTGTCGGACGACGAGGACGACGCGGGCCGCTCGCTGGGCGGCGCCTCGCTCCGGAGCCTGGCGGCGACGGGCGGCGCCGGCCGTCTGCCCCAGCGATCGCCCCGGCTTCTGTCTCGGGGCCGCCCGGCCGTGTCCGCGTCGCTGCCCGAAATCAGCAGCGGCGGGGCCTCGACTACCCCAAAGTGGATGGGCTCCTGCTCCGTGGGGCCCGCCGCTCACATCTGACGTGGCGTCCGGAGCGGTCGTTCCTAGCCTGCTCCCGCCCGTCGCCGCCGCTGCTGCTGCACGTGCGCGTCGAGCACGGATTCTGCGCTCTACGACCAGCGCCGAGTCTGTTCCTAAAAAGTAAAAAAAAAAAGGAAACGTAAAAATAAAAAATAACATTCAGGTTGACGTCCACTCGCAGAAAAGTTGGGAACGACCACTCGACAACACCTACAGATGTTACACGCTCTCTCAGGGGGACCCGTGCATTGTGCAAAGCCACCGCAGGATTAGCGAGTTAATGAAACCGTCAGTGATTGTACCTGAAGTTTATTTAAGCCACAACACCAAAGGAGGCCTTTCAGAAGTATCGTATTATTTTTGTTAAACCAAAGTTAGCTTAGTAAGTCGCGCGCCCTTCCCTGGGTGGCTCTGCACTGTCCACGGCTCCTGATCCGCACCGCCCTCAAGCAGAGCTCAGGTGACTCAAGTCAGGAACAAAATGTCGCGGTGCGCCTTGCCGCGACAAGGCGCAATACTACCTACTGTACAACGACCCAGTGACGGCTCTCGGCTCCACCTAGAGCAGGCGACGCCTCCGCTCCGCCGCGGTTCCCTCTCGCGGCACGCGCGGGGGAGGCCACGGCAGCGTTCGCACCGACGCTGCGATCGCGGAATTTTGAGTTAAAGTTTAACAACAAAGAAAAACCCGAAATGTTTCGCCGGTCGGGCCCCCTGCCCACGGCCCCCCACCCAACCCGACCGTCGTTTGCTAAGCGAGGATGTCGACGTTGGGTCGCCGTGCAGCGGCCGCCGCGTCGATGGAACCCCTCCGGCCTCCTGCACGTGCCGTGGTGGGAGCGAGACAATTGAGACGGAGGATGGAGCCTCCTCGGGGTGGGAGCCACGCGACCCCACTGCTATTGAAATCTACCTCACGATGCCATGGCTGCGGTGCTGCTCCTACTGTTTAGGGTCGGAAATTCTAGAAGCCATTGCGTCCCGTATGCAATAGAGTGTTTTATGTAGACTTTGTTCACAAACGCAGCCGTTTAAAAAAAAAAAAGTGTTTTCATGCAGTAAGGCTGGCGGTTAATGTTGTTTGGTAACGTAATAATAATTTGTGTGCTTATGGAGGGAGAAGACGCGACGCTCGCGTTGACGGTGACAGATGCCAAAACCCAACACGCGATTGTTGCCGAGAGCTTTTCCAAAACTTCCAAAATGTAACAAAAAGAACATCGAGAATCTGCCAAAAAAATTACCCCAAACCAAATAATTAATAATTGTATGAGTTTTCGGCTACACCGCGTGCGTGTTATCTCTATGTGTGTGTTTTTATCGCGTTGCTCAGCGGCCCTCTTGGGGTGAGGAGAGGTGAGGCTGCAGGGGAAGTGGAACCCCGGAGGTCGCCACCACCACTCGCCGGCCGACTCGCCAAACGCTCCGTCCGTTCAGAGCGTTGATATCTCACCATGGCTTGGGTTACTGGAGATTATTTTAGTTTTGCCCCTTTTGTTGTCGTTGTTGTTGTTGTCTAGAATGACGTGAGAAGAATACGAGATGTCGGAATAGCGGTTACCAAACATCCCCCCCCCCCCGCCGCCCAGTTTTCTCAGCCCCCCCCCCCCCCCACGAGTAGAAAGTTGAATGTCTCCCACGACGCACGTGTGAGCTGGCGCGCACACGTGCGTCGACGTCGTTTTAAAGATCTGTCAAGTGGGAGCTGTTGCAAGCTGGACTGCACAGGGGGGCCCCATTGAAGGGTTGGGTTTTGGGAACTCTCGTCCCAGAATCGAATTAACCAAAGGCCCCCCCCCCCCCTTGACGCCCAACAAACCCAGGTGAGTCATTAGACTCCGAGCTACTACCTCTTGTTTTTGCTTAGAAAGATCCCCTTTTTGTTAGTTTAGAGTTACTAAAGTATGAGTTGTAGATGTTTTACAAAGAATCCATGCTGTTGCTACTGTTGCTGTATGGTGTTTCGACAGGGTAATGTCCTTTTAACTACTACTGTGTTCTTCCGTCTGTGCGTTTAGAGTCACTGTGGCGAGTCTGCGTGTGGTAGTGTAGTCCAGATGTAGTGTTAACTCCAGATTCCCTCAGCCATTTCTAACTTAACAACGTTCTACCTGACAAGAAACCAAAGATTTTATTTAAATACCAAAAAGTAAGCTTTAAGAAGATTCGCTCGGACATTTGAAGTGTTGTATTGTAAAGTTTTCACACAAAAATATACCAGGCGTTTTCTTTTTATTCTGTTTAGGCCTGTCGTATTTAAGGAAGAACTATTGGCTTAATTTAGCCCCTCAAAAATGTATTACACAGCTTTATTTTCGACAAAAAAAACAATCGCGTTGATGTCCTTTGTAATGACGACGGTGTTTTTTGTTAACAGGACCAAGGTTATGATGTTGCTACCTACAAACAATGAAACACTTAACATATTTGCCAAAGATAGTTTGCGTTGTTTTGGCAAGGTCATGAACAAATACCTCAAGTTCCAAATGCTCAAAACAGCATTGCGAATCGAATTGTTAAACGTGTGACGTCTGTGAGCTTTATTTCGCGTTTCGCGTTGTTGTTTTTTTACGCTTATATATTTCTTAAAGTGTGTGGACACTGTTGTTACCGAGACCCAGGACCGAGGACCTGTACATAATATAAGCGTTGTCTATTGCCAGTTGCTACGTCTATTGCGTGCGGCGATGATTCTCCCCCCCACTGCCAGACCTTTCGTAATGAAGGCCTCTGCCATGACGGCAAACTGTTGAAGAATTGTGCTTTCGATGTTATGGGCCACATATCACACCAATGTTGGTTGGACATGAGTGGCCATGGCGTTCCCTCCCAATGGCTCTTCCCCCAAGCTCTTGCTGCCCTGCTCAATTCGAGAAATGTTTGCCCTTATCTTTTATAACTTTGATTGCGCTATTTGATGCTGAACATTTGATGTTTTGGACCTTTGGGCCTGTGCTCAGCAGTTGTGGCATAGTCAACATTTGAAATGTAATAGTGGTGATTTGGCTATATACACATTAATTATCTGGCATTAGCGATGCCTACTGTGTTCTGCACACAATGCTGTCACGTGAAATTCCTTCATCAGTGAAAATTCCTTTGCCCTGCATTGTCTAATCGCAAGGTGGGTAACCATTACGATCTGAAGTCTCAACTCAAGTAATGGCTCGCCCATTTGAAGCCCAGACCCATTGCGTTTAAGCAAAGCCGCTGTAAAGCTGCTGTCATGGATGCTTTTGTGCACCGCTTCAAAACAATTATCATCATTCTGAGAGGTCTCGTATGCAGGGGGTGTTTCGAGGAGGAAGAGGGCTCTAGTGGAGAGCGGCGGTGATCGTTGACCTCCGCCTCACGGTTCTGTTCCTCGTTGGCTCCTAGCTCCAGTTGATTGAAAATGCCACAGTCTGCCAGGGGTGTTTCGGTGTCGAGTAAGGCGTGCAGGTGGTTTCAGTCGCTCACTGGAATGCGAAAGCAAGGCGTGATCACGTTGTCTTTGGCTGGTTGCGTGGGCTTGCACGGTGCGCTCGCCCCGCGCATGGAGCCACTGCCGCGTTGCATTCCGATCACCCCACCAAGTCTCCGCCCGCGCACGTTGCTCGACACCTGGGCACCTTCTCGAACTGGAGCCATGAGCGGGGGGCCACCGTTGCCTTCGCTGGCAGCGCGATCCCGGCCACCGCAGACCGCGCTGCCACCGTGCCGAAAAAGTGTTTATCCCCCGCGTGCTCGTCGCCGTTGATCCGAAATGTAGGCGCGTTGAAGGCTCCTACAAAAAACACACAAAGGGTGGTTAAAACGTTTTCACAGTGAGAAGTTTTTAGTTGGTAAAAATGTTGAACCGATGAGATGTTAGATTTTATTTTGATGCGCCCCCCCCCCCCCTCCACGTCACCATGTACCATACGTAATAGAACAAGTGCGTTGATCTTCGGGGTGACCGTATCGCGAAATAGTTGTGCGTGGATGTGTTTACTCGTAATGTTCCATTCCGGAAACATTTTGACCGCCCCTCGTTAATATTGTCATCGAAGTGCAATCGCAATGCACCAACGGAGCGTATGTGTCGTGTATCCGAGTACGTAGTTTTGGAGTTTTTGGCCCAGTGGTATCGTGAATGCTGTAACAACACCCACGTGACTTCGTGGCTGCCCAATTGGGCCCCATCAACAACCGATGTCATTTGTGTTCAAGGCTTATTTTTGGAGGCAGGGGGAGGCTTACAACCAAGATGAGCTTATCCCTCTGGTTCGAATCGAGTATGGACGGAATTATGCTGAGCGAAAAGCCAATTATTGCTGCACCAAAGGAGCTGCAAGGGCTGTTGGACAAAATTTATATTTTCAACATCCAGTGGTGGACTTTGGAGTAAATGGAATGGTAGGATAATAATAAATTATGCCATATGATATCATACAGAGGCCTGTGTCAAACCCTTCAAGCGTGCATCATTCAGTGGGCAAACTGAACAGCATAAATTATGATATTGCTACTTTGTTTACGTTTGTAAAAAAAATGAATCTGGTTCACTGAAAAATACAGCACGACATTTCAACCAACATGAGGCCCGCATGGGAAAACAGAGGAGTTTCAACCTTGTAAGGGCTCCTCAGTTCGCTGTAGCAGCCACAGACTGATTCTGCATATAAACATATGCCCATAGTATTACAGGCAAGGGCATTGTTTATGTATGTATGTATGTTAAACTACTTTCGCACCGTACATAGCCAACCGTGATAATCGGACGTGCGGGGAAAGGACAACAAACAAGAAGCCACATTTTAGATGTTAACATTCTCCACCTGCAAAGTCTACCACTGCCAGCATGTTGCGCAAGACAGGCTGTCGCAGAAGCTGCTGCTGCTGCAGGGTTTTGCATGGCACAGCGTGCTCTGTCCTGGGTCTGCCTGGCCGTGTGCGGGCCCTGCCTGAGCCCAGTCGTTCGCCTGCTTGGGCGGGTTTGTTCTCAGGGTTTGAGCTCAAGCACTGGCCTTCACACGGCATCAGGCTTCCAAAGAATGAATGTATTCCTCTTTCTCTTTTTTTTAAGTTGTACTGTTGCTACAACATTGATGGGTCAGTATTTTACAGGATGTTAAAATTGTATTTGTATGATGAACAATGTCTGGTTAGTACCTGCTCTTTTAACAGTTTGTACAACACTGAGCTAAATGTCAAGTTTTTAAGAAAATAAAAGTAGATGTTCTTATATCGTTACTCGCAGCCTCGTGGTGAGCGTTTGTCATCCGTAAGACCGTGACTCCAGCTGCTTCAGTGGGAATTGCCATCGGGGTTGCTGCGCACGGGGGGGGGGGGGGGGCACAGCCTGCAAGTGGCAGGCGAAGTCTGAAGATTCGTTCTGATGAGTCGATTGTTTTTTGTTGAACAGTATTATGGAGCTAAATGTGTATTAGTGTGTACGGCGCTTTTTTCATGCGATGCACGCGTGCGTGTCAGGTGACGATAGTGAAGTTTTATACCGTAGAGGAATGGCTAGAAAACATAGAATACCTATGGGTGTTCTGTTGTAGAAATGTGTGCGTTGACTTTAAGTTCAGTCGTGTGTCTATGCTGAAATATACAATGGGGCAAACTGCTCATCTTTGTTGACAGCTCTAAACCACAGTGGAAATTCTACATTCACACGAGCGTGCAACACGGGGCAGCGTGGAGCACACGGCCGCATTCAGTCTGTTCTCATCCCGCCTCGCACTCCCACAAGGATGGCACCTTGTTTATATTTTTATTGTTCATCCAGCAGAGCCACGCCGAGTCGCAGAACTCTTCTGCGTTAGGGTATTGCTGCTGCCACGTTTTCAGTCAATGAGTTACTGGCGAAAAGTCGTACTCAGATTGTAAATGTTGTGGCTTGGCTCTCCAACACACCGGTGTGCTGTACTCGTGACGAATTGGCACGTTCTGTTTACGCGACAAACTTTACTAATTGGCTGTGTCGGATGGGGGCGGGTTTAACGACACATTTATATTTACGCGATCTAACCATAAAAAACTCTATTATGGATATTGGTCGCGAAAGCCTACGACGTGTTAGAATGTTGAGTTGTGTTTATTATTATTATTATGATGATACCAAGTGGGGAGGTCACAGAGCACCCGGAGAAACCCCGCACGGTTGGCAACGTGCGGTGCGAAAGAAGTTCAGCATAGATCCACGTACAGATGGAAAACTACGATGGTGAGTCCTCTTGCTGTTTAGCCTTGTGGCTGGCCAGGGTGGCGGCACCATCCCCAACCCTCTCGCCCCGTGACACAGCCGTGCACGTCTCTCTGCCTCTTTGCGCACTTATCGCTTCTCGTTCCATATTCTTAGTGCATGGCCGTGTTGTTGAACTGCGTGCTCCTCGCACCCTGCTCCTCTCGTCCGCGCCGTGCGTCCTTCACACAGGCAGCTCTCTCATCCCTCACGCGCGACCTCCAATGCGGGGGGGGAGAAGCGTTCTGTTGTTCTCCATGTTGGTGATGGCCATTCGGTTGTGCCGATGGTAACCCCATCGGAATGCCTTTTACCATTTGTTTTGAGTCCGATCCCTCCGTTTTCTTTTACTGTAAACTCAGTCGCTAAGCTTGACTTTGTTCTAAACAACGTTCTTGATCATCATCATGAGACCTCCTTTGCCAGTACCAAAATATAAGAATAGGGGTTTCCTCTTTTTTTCTGGCAACAAAACTGAAACCTTTTTACAAGGAATGATGTCTGCATTAGCCACAATACTTTGTGGTCAGAATGCAAACAAAAACACACTGATAATAAATGCATTAATAGGGGTTTTCCCCTTTTTTACGAGGATTCATGTCTGCATTAACCACAATACCTGCAGTCAAAATGCAAACAAAAACATACTATTGTAATACATGCATTGTCCTTGAAACTAATTGGTCCACACATCTTTCTTTTGAACCTCGTCTGAAACGGCGCTAGACCAGAGGACGTCAAAAAGCGTACAAAAACGTTATTCTTATAACGTTTTTGATCTAATAATTGCCGCTTTATTGCCATTTTCCTACCAAAATTGCCCGAAGTGGCTGGATGCTGCTATTTGACCGTTTTCACGGCACTTATTGGCTTATTGCTGGATTTCGTCGTGATTTTGTGGTAAAAACTCACTTGCTTAATCGTCATGTTGAAAACTCGGGTTCACTTCATGTATTTTGCAGAATGATGCTTTAATGGGTGGGTATTTTGCAGAATGATGCTTTAATGGGTGGGTGTTTAATGGCAGAGCTCCCCCTAGTGGTGTGTCGAGAAAACAGGTCGTTTTATTTACATCTTCAAAAAATAATTTCCTCTTCAAGGTGTCTCTCCTCTCTCCTTGCCAGCTTTCTCCATTAGCTTCCAGGTCCTCTCAGTGCCGTCTCACATCTCGCCCCCAAAGTTCCGCAATCCTCACATCTGCTAGTTTCCATTGGTTTACTTACCGTTCTTCACTCATTTTCAGAGGGGCTGTGGGGCTGGTGCAGTTTTGCCGACAAGACATCGTCAACGTGTGAAGGGTTGTTATAGTTTGGGCAAGGTGTGTTTTCAGTGTTTTCACAATTTTCTGTTTTTGTCGGGCCCGCGGGCCTTACGATTCAGACGACTGCCCCAGCAGGATTGGAAGGCTGCCACCTTCAGCCTCTGGGGAGAGGCGGGAGGTGTCGCCTCTCATCGCTTGGAGCCACAGCGCCTTCACACAGCCTCGTGGGGGCCTCCACGTGGTGTCGAGACTACACCGCGTGCACACATGGCCATGTCATCGAGCAAATAATAACGAATCCTTTAACATTTGTAGGGCGCATTTCATTTGTGGATCCCAATGCATTATCACGCATAATAAAAAAAATAATTGTCTAAAAGGTCATGTGAGATTTGAACCCAGGTTGTCCGTCTGACAGGCAGCCAAGTTACTAATACGATATAAGCCTCTTTGGTTATTACATTATCTTATTTCATTTAGTTTAATGTTTATATATAAAAATGAAACAAAATTACCTTTAATACCTGATTGCTTTCATTAAATTATATAAATAACCAAACTATAATACTATATTTGAAAAGTAAACGTCAAAACATTAAACGCAGGACATTAACTCCGGTTGCCTGCCTCAGAGACGGCCAAGATATTCACTACACCCGCTGGAGGCTCCCGAGTGGAGTGCACAGCGGTGCAATTAAATCGCAGCCTTTGTATATTTTGTTATGGAAATACATTTCACGGTTTCCTTTTAAAACATGCAATTACGTTTATTTTCCAGAAAAATATGAAAGGAGAATATTACAATTTAATAATCGTGTTAAAATGTCAGTTGTGGGATTCCAACGTGGGTTTGCCTGCATCAAAGACCATCACGCCACCATCTGCGCAACGTCGCTTTGGGGTATGCTAATATTACTCTGCTTGTTAAATTATTGCCTTTGCTTCGTATTCATGATTCGTTTTCAACACTTTCTGTCATCTGTCTATGCCTCCGTTTTTACCATGAAAAAAACGAGGATTCACTGCTCGAAGTTGCTCTCAAAACCATAGGACTTAAATTGCCATTTGCCAAGTGTGCTCGTGACTGGATGCTACTTTATCAATATCATATCACCTTTTCATTGTTATTGCTGAATTTCGCTGTGCTTTTACGGTAATCCTCTTACATGTTTACCGTTGCAAACCAGTCTAAAGTCACGCCGTAAAATGACTTTTAAGCTGTAAAACGGGGCTTTCAATGAAGGACCGCCCCTGGTGGTAAGTTCCACCCCATGGCACTGTGGCACGTTTCTGTCTTTCATTTGATCTTCTCTTCATAGATCTTTGCCAGCGTGTTCCTTTTCGCTTTCAGGTCTCGCCTCGCTCCGTCAGCTTTCTCCATTCCCACCAAGTCTCATTTCATCTTTCTCCTTCGTTGTATTCCTGTATTTAGCCCGTCTGCCACGCAAGCACACCGATTACTCATCCGTTTGCCTGGTTATAATAGAAGACGCAACACAAGTCAACAGTTTAGTGAAAATTGTATTGTGCCGGAGTCTTGTAAAGGGTTTAACCACCATCTTTTACGTGGATGTTCACAGATCAGTAGCAAGTGGTTCTCCAACTTTACACTCTGTAACCCACATTCAGTCCAGCGTCCCACATGAAACATCACCTTTCAGTTGGCAAATGTGGAACTGGGAGTGGAGAGGGTTATGAGGCCAAGATGTGACGCAATCCTTTGCTTCGTCACTCTCCTGCACCATTCCAGCTTTTGGCGTCATTTGGAAATGCATTACAATCCCCCAGGACAAGTTACATACATTTCCCGATGGCATTGACACAGCCACTTTACGGCAAATGTGGCCAAGCGCGAGGATTTGTGGAGTGCAATTTAAATCGCTTCGTGGACGTGTTGACACTGGAAGCAATCTAACGGCTGGATTTGGCCGGAGGGGGCACACTAAGTGTGAGCCCTCGGCTTTGAAATCTACCATCACAGTCCCAACCACTGACAAAACTCACTGAAGTTATAAAATAACACATCAGGGCAAGTGAAATGTTATAAACCACAGACACCATATGTTGTGACATTTTACAATATTCCTAATGCTTGTTTGCTATTCTTAACTTTTTTTTCCTCATGTAAAACTAGGCAATGCATATTTTAAATCGTACTTGGTTACAAGAAAATACTTGTCAAATGCGAAATGACTTAACAATTGCACTTCACTATAGAATGTGCACTTTCTTCACCATTTATCATTTTTCACTAATCACCAGCAATGGGGTTGCTCCAATGATCAGGCCCCTTAATGTACTGCCCATGTAGGTGTTGCTGTGAGAGCAACTCTGCTCGCAAGCCCGATGAGGGTTGAAATCTCCGTCGGGATTAAATTGATCTGAAGCAATCACACGGTCGATGAAATGGCCCCTGGCATGTGAATGTAGAATTACCGTGGTTTAGAGCTGTCAACAAAGATGAGCAGTTGCCCCATTGCATATTTCAGCATAGACACACGACTGAACTTAAAGTCATCGCACACATTTCTACAACAGAACACCCATAGGTATTCTATGTTTTCTAGCCATTCATATACGGTATAAAACTTCACGATCGTCACCTGACACGCACGCGTGCATCACATGAAAAAAGCGCCGTACACACTTATACACATTAGTTCCATAATACTGTTCAACACAAAACAATCGACTCATCAGGCCTCTCTTCTGCAGTTTCCAGTCCAGTAAACATTTACAATGAAGGGCGCTAAGAACGAATATTGTAAATTGTGGACATTACCCAGGCTAAAGATTGTGCAATTGCATTCACGGTGGCAATGAAATGAGACATTTACATTTCGAAATATTTAATCAGGTGTATAGCTGTGTTTGTCTTACCTTTTAAGCACGAGTCAATTAAATGTTTATTCTAAGTGAATCTAATGACAAGTATGTAGTCAATTTTAAATTCTTACTGATTCTGAATAATTGTACTGACTTCAGGCATCATATGATTCCAAATGGAAACAAGCCCAAAGCGTCTCCTTTAAAAAAAGAGGAAAAACAGAATTTGCACTAATCGATTTAGAGTTGCACGTAATCACTTGGAATCAATAGGATGCGGTATAAATAGCCTGCGATTGATTACAATTCAAAAGGTAACATTCTGGGCTCTCCCACCGTCAAGGTTCCTGTGAAAGTCCCGAGCGCTTCTTGTTGTTTACATCTTGACCCATACACAGCTTGCACCCAGGTGAATAATAACCTGGCACGATTCACCGCAGCCTCCGCACGCCATGACCAGCCACACGGAACTGCAGCTGCGGGAATGTCACCTGGCATGCCTGACGCAGTGCCGGAAGAGTTGCTTAACCATTGGCCTGAGACAATGGCACGTGGCTCATTGATTAAAGTCGGGTGTCAACGTTATTTCAGCTGTGGGACACTCAAAACGAAAATGTGGCCTTACGTCATGTGTTAGCAAATGGCAGTTTCTATCAAGATTTTGTAGAAACAGGGCCAATGTATTTGGGGTGGTAATTTCTTACATGGTATAGCTGGGCACATCTAGAAAGTGGTCTGCATGTGTATCTTATTTATATTGTTTTAATTGAACATGGAAGTCTATGAATGAAGGATAGCAGAGAACTTAGTAATTCTCACTGGTGTACGCTTAATTTGAAAATATATTAACCTTGTTCCTGGCCTTACCTCATTCCAGGATCCAGCTAATGGGGTATTGATGCCGCGTACGTTTTTGCAACTGCCTAAAATGCCATCATTTAATGCGAAAGGACTGTCATTAACCAGCAGGTACAACTTATATGGTCATGCGTTCATTAATGGACTATAGACATTGTAGAGCAATGACACACATGCAATTACATCCCAAAGACTCGTGAACGGTTAGGAAATCTCGTCACAAATGTGATGTACACACATTACCCTTTGTAAAAGAGATCTGACATTGTCGTATTATATATTTGTTGGTGCTTTATAGCTAGCATACGGACATCATAATTGTCAAACTAAATAGCGACCGACTTGTCTATCTGTACATGTTTTTACAAAGGCTTGTTGAAGACAGGCTTCACAAAGAATATAGACGAAATCTGCAACCCAGAAATAACGACTGGGGATGGTTAAAGTGCAGCAGGAACTACATCAACCCCATTAACAAAGCACAATGGAGGTCACTACAATTAATGCTATGTACATGTGTGCAGCACATGCTTTTGGTACAATACTTTACCAGCTGGGTTATTAAAAGCAACGTGCCCAATTCCTCTAGAAGCAATATCGAACAGTCTATTCATCAGGTGAGGCTATACAATTTTAGGAGAGTTCATTTCTGCACTGGGAAACCGATGGGAAAATAACGCAGATCAGACAAGTCGAGAAGCACTGAACAAGCTGAAGCTCGCCGATCTGTAAACATCCACCTGCCGATAACCCAGAGAGAGCAAGAAACGGTTAAAACTGGGTAACAGCAGAATCCACGAGGCAGTCTCTAGAGGATACTCAAGTGTGAATACGATCACACACAAGCACAGTCTATTTACACATTTAGCATTTTTTGAGTTGACAGCGGAGCTATTCCCTCCACCCAACACGGCCGTGACAGCTGCTCCTCTTCATTCAGTAGAACCTCACAGGAGCAGGACACCCAATGAGGCCCATGGGGGAGGGGGGAATGTGGCGGAGAGCTCGCGCGCAGGGGTAGGAGATGCCAGGCACGCACACATGGCCACAGAGTTCACTCACGTGCACTCCGTGCTGCAAGATTCATTTCACAAGCGCGGGTTTTGATATAAGTTTGCGGATGATGTTTGGATTGCAATTACGTACCGAGCTGATGATATTAAACAAATGTAGGAATTCTGCAATGATTATGCCACTAATTCACATTTCTTTATGGTCCGCATATTATCCTTGTACACATCACGATCTCCTCCTTCCGGATTCGAAATGCTACTTGGAAACTGACAAATCTGTTTTCCTCTGCAAAGCAGCTTGGGTCAACCCCTTAGCAGGCAGATGAAAGAATAAACAAATTTGTTTGAGGAATTCCTGCAATAAGCAGTGTTTACCATTGTGGATGTAACCAACAGTGGTAATCACGAACCCCAGACCCTCGCCGAATTTGGTTCGCGTGGTGATAGTGCCGTATGCAGCCAGGGCGAGCAGGCAGACGGAGAGAATGGAAGTGTCACACGCGTGCCAGGCCGACAGGCGGCGGGCGGCTGTCACATGATGCCGTTGGTGATGTACTGGAAGCCATCGTAGAGGCGCGTGGTGAGGGAGCGCATGCTGCCCTCCACCATCTGCTCGATGGTCGACTGCAGCTGTTCCTCCGTGAGGCTCACGTGGAAGCGCTCCTTGAGCTGCCTGATGGTGCTGGCTCCGTGGAAGCACGGCAGCTGCGAGCCTGAGTGCAAAACATGCACACAAAACAAGACGCGCGATGCAGGAATCAAACGCGGGTCAACGGGTTCGTAGCACAACGCGCTAACCGCTGCATTGCCTCCCCTCCACAACATAATACAAAGACAACAGCACACGCACACGATAAGAGAGCTATATATACGCACAAGACATTCTCTGTTGTGGACTCACGACTGTTGGGGAAAGTGGTGTTAGTAATCGCATATTAAGGCTAGCAATGTACAATTCCTGGCTGGCTTTATGATATTAACAATGAAAAACATATATATGTGCTTTGATAATTATATAACAATGTGGGTACTCATGTTGTAACATTCTTGGAATTATAATTTGCCCACTCTCACTAATCATAGACAAGTATCAAAGTGCACATCCATAATGACACAACAATAATTGTTTTAAGCAGCATCTAAATGCAACTGCATTTCAGGAGGCTTTAACAAAGCATTACATACAACAGCATACACACAAACACGTATGTAAACAATGCGCACAGACACAAAAACAGCAGTCAAACACACGTCAGTACAACCACAACAGTGCTCTATGCTAATCTATAGCCATTACTTTCACAATTTAGATTAGATTCATATTAAGCATTACCACAATAATGCAACTATACACTGAGGCTGGGGTGAGGCTGACACACCACACAGTGGTAACACTTGTGCCTCACAGCAATATGAACCTGGGTTCGAGTCCCGGCTCGAACACCTTCCAATGTAGAGTGTGTATGTTCCGCCTCTGTTCGGCATGGGTTTCCTCTGGGTTCTTTGATTTGCCTCCCATATCTAAAAAAGACACATGCTCATTGTTTTGGCTAAACGTCCCAATGCTGAGAAATTACCTGGACATTACTCAATTGGAATTACGCAAAGTTACATCTCCCTCTGCTGCGAACACTTGGCAGGACCCTCTTGAAAGAGAATCTTGAGACTCTGCGAGGTTTTCCTTGGCAAACACGCAGAATAATAGACGAAAACATAACAGTGGCATGTGTTGCTGGGTCTCACCCTGCTGCATGATCTCCACAATCTGGACCACTCGCTCCATGTGCTTGCGAGCAGCAATCAGCCCCTGTAGCATGAGCAGCTTGTAATAGTTGAACATGTCACTGTCTGGTCCACCCATCACCTGCACGCACGCGCATGACAATCGTACAATTATTTGTGAGGATTAACTGATATGGGAAGTGTTGTTCTAAGGGTGGCAAGGCAGACATGGGGGTGGAATGATCAAACCCAGGTCACCTTAATCTCCCGAGCACTGATGCCGACATACCACAACAGGCACTCATTTTAGGCTGAGTTGATCCAGAGGACGCCTAAGCCAGGTTGTGTTATTTTGGTCCGTATTTTATTTACTGTATCTCATAGACTTCACAGTATAGTAAGTGTATTAAAACTTAGAATATTATTCATTGTAGATATTTGTAGGGATTTAACTTTCCGTTCCATTAAATGTCAACAATGATTTATAGGGTTTGTGTGTTTCTGTTAGATTGATTTTCATACGTTCGCAGTTAGCGGGAAATTTAAACTATCTACGCACGAGAGTTCCCTCCTATTTGTGATTAAACTTGTTTACCCAGTCCTATCTGAGGTTTTACCATAATTGTAATAAATTATTTAAGTATCATCCAAATACTTTGAGAATAATAGTATTACTTAAAATGTAAAAGCACCAACTATCATCTGAGAAACAATGATTACAAAACAGCAAAAGTTACAAATTGCACGTACAGAATGGAACACTAATAAATAAAATGAGGGCAGTTGTTGTGCAGACTGGAACAAACTCTAAAAACGCTTTACCTGAAATATGTCCAGACCAAATATTATCAACGAGCAGCAGAAAATATTGCAAGTGCCCATCACGAAACATTGAGAACCTTGCCAAGCCCAGGCAGAGAAGGCTCCAAGAGTCCTGTAGCTCCCCCCTATGGCAGTCGGGGCCCAAGGCTTCCCTCGGAAAGTGACATGGAAAGAGGACAACCCTTGCACAGGGCTTTCATCGGAAACCCGAGGAAGACCACATAACGGGAGTGGCACCTCGTGGGATGGAGAACCAGAAACATCCCAAGTCTTGTATAATCCATTACTACGTTCATAGCGTGGAATAATACAAACAAATTACTCCGCTTGACTACGATGATACAAGAATCTAAACAGACCGATGTGATTCATCGAAACACCAGGGGGTCAAATCGTTACGGTCCTACTTTTCTGTGCACAAGACAGGCACACATGCCTACAAAGGGTGATTCAGTGACATTAATGAACCACAGCATGAACGTTCATAATGTAAAACTAGATTACAGGTCATGACTGTGGCAATTCTACGAGCCTCACCTCCACAAACTCCGCGGTGAGTTTAAAGGCGGAGGTCTCAAAGCCCAGGTTGCGCGGGGAGTTCGAGAGGATGAAGCCAAAGTCGATGTGGATGATGTGTCCCTCGGAGTCGAGGAGGATGTTTCCATTGTGCCTGCCAGCCAGCGAAAGGCACACGCCACGACGCTGAGTTATTATTCAATGGAAAAAATTTACAAAAGTAAAAATCATCAATAATAAATCAACTGTACCATCATTTGTCACGCGATTTATTTTTCAAGCCAACAAGAATCTTGTGCAAGGTATGCTTTATATTACATATCGCAAAATGACGACATACATGAAAACTTCTCTAAACCGGACTAATTTGGCGGAAAGCCTTTTCCAGTATTGTTTGTGGCAGTCCGGAACATTCACGATGGCGACGGCTTAAAATAGCCTTCATCCAGCAGTGGACTGAGAATGTCTGGTGATGATGATGATACAAATGCATGTGGATCGAATGCACAACTTCTTTATTCTCCAAGCCTAATTAGCCCTTGACCTGTAGCCCGTGACAGTAGCCTGTGAACAGTAGCCCGTGAACAGTATTCCAGGACATTTTGGTTTACTTAAATGTTGCAAATGTATTTACTTATTTTCAAGTTGCCTTTCTTGGAAAGATTTTACTGTAAATCCAAAAATGCATGGCAGTGCAAAACAAATACTTGAATAACATCAAAATAAAGTGATAAAAACAAAATACTGTTGGATCAGTCATTCTGCATTCCTGCTTTGGTGTACTGTGACATTGTGCGCAATAATACTGCTGCCTAACTGCCAACTCTGAAAGGCATTAAATGATCATGCTCGAAATTGTGTTGGTACCAGAGAGCCTGCTTCAATTTGCCATAGATTTTGATGAATCGATAATGGTGTAGATCTTTGTGGGGGAGGAGAAAGCGAAAATAACATAACATAACGTAATCGTGCTTATAAAGGTACCTTCAGCTCTAAATTATGATTTTTACAATAATGATGTAAACTAATATTTAACTACATGATCATGAGCTACAAGAGCATTTGGGAAATGTACATATTTAATTCGGTTAGGTGAAAAATGGCAATTCAAACACAAGAACTGCATCTTTCAGCAAATCTTGCTTTGGCTACAATAAATATCCTGCAAGTTGCACAACAATGACATCATGTACCCACAGGAATGTGAACCCGCACACTGCAAATGCCACTGCCTCCCCCTTGGAGAGTGAGGGCTCTCATTACAAACGCCCGCTAACTGCGGTGCCGAGATTTAAACTCTACCAACATAGACGCCGCCAGTCCAACCGTGCCAGAGCCGTTAGTAATTAACGCGTTGGAATTAACCCACGGAGCCGTTGGTGATGAACACACAAGGTGCTTTTCCCGTGGGGACACGTGCCACCCAGAGGGTCGTTTCTCGCTTCAGATTTGAAAGTCGCCGTATTATTTGTGACTACACTGTGTAGCTGTGTAGCGTGTATGACGGGGGTCTCATTACATAAAAAAAACACTTTATTTTTCCACTGTAGACTTCCAACAGAGTGGTATACCAGGCACCAATGACTGCACAGAAAAAAAACTATCACTTAATATGGCAAACTTCCAGCTCTGAGAATGAAAACCATCTGCTTGACTGTCATGCAATGAACATTACTGTCAGTGGCAGTGCTGGTGAGAGAGTGCAGGCTCCTATTGCGTGGCCCAGAGCCCACTTTAAGGCATCTCACAGGCAGCTAGCTGTAGGCTGCACTGCTCTGCAAGCATTCTGAATTGGCACTTTGTCTCGTGAGACAACACCAAATAGAACGTTCAAGTTAAATTGGGGAAAAACAAAAGTAAAAGTGAACAGAGTGCAGTGTTGACATTTCCGACCACCCTCTAAGAGTCAAAATGGCTAAAATGGAAAAATAAGCTGCTGCTGCTGCTGCCCACTCTGGTGTATGCCAGCTACTCGGCAGGGTGGCACACACCCACCTGTCCTTGACCTGCAGGATATAGCAGATGAGGCAGTAGGCGGCACAGCTCTCCACAAAGTGGCGCTGAGCAGTGAGGAAGCCCTCCGTGTTGGGGCTGCCATGCTCCTGCAGGAAGTACTCGAGCAGCGACAGCTGGGACTGCTTCTTCACCTGCGTGCGCGGGGAGTGGCATAATAATAATTAATAATAATTTAAATTTACAAAATGCCCTTAAATAATCGTTCCCAGGGCGCTTTGCATGGAAAGGCGGATATATTTTAACATAAATCAAGGAAAGCAAAAGTGAGAAAGACGTTTGAAAGTAACTGAGAGAAACAGTAATTTTAAACAGATATGTTTCCGGTCGAGATTTGAAAAATTGTAGTCTCGGAAGTCTTGACCTCGAAGGGTAAGGAATTCCAGAGTTTAGGTGCCGCAAATGTAAAGGCACCGTCACCTCCAAGTGTGAAGCCTGGAGACCGTGATGACAGTGAGCAATGCACAATCTGAGGATCTTAGTGATCTTGATGGAACATATGGCTGAAGGAGCTCATGCATGTAGGGAGGAGCAAGTCGATTTAAGGCTCTGAATACAGACGGCAGCAGTGACTACAGGCAGCCAGTCACTGCTGAAATGTAAATCTCTTCACCCGCAGGCCGGGCGTAACTCACCTGGTGGATAGAGACGGCGTTGAGGATGGGCTCGATCATCCCACTGTCAGCTGATGTCACCAGGATCTTATAGGGCTTCAGCCACAGCGGCACCCTCTCCTGCTCCCACACAGACTGCACAGCCAACATAGCAACATATACACACGAGCAGGAATTCTTCATGTCAACCACATCAGATTACGAGAGGTCGCAAAAATAGTCTTGAAATCAAGTGAGCCATACTTATGAATGAGGAAATACAAACAGCTTACGAGCTATTCCTGGTAATCTCACATCAGAGTCTCTACTGATTGACATGCCTCCTGGTGTGCAGACAGATTTCATGTGTGTGATATATTTTGCCCACCTCGCTATCTGCACATAAATATAGAAATTTGGAGATGCAATTTTGAAAAAATGTAATTCCCGCTAACTGAAAATCTATTATCTGGATGCTTCTTGTATTTTTAATAAAATTATCAACAAATTAACCCTGTATGGACAAAATTACGGTAAAAAAAACGATTTTGCTTTTGGTGCCATCCACCATATTTTAATAATCACACAATGTAATCTGCAACCGCTGCGGGGTTTGGATATATTCCAAAACGCACAGCACAACACGTGCTTGAATACATCTCTGTCTTACAATAATCCCATTCCCCAAGGGTGCCATGGATAAAGGCAAGGGAAGAATATCCGTGCATGAATGTACCACTTTTGTATAAAGTGACCTCCCAGGTGAAAAGGATGAATGGGCAATGTTGAGTCTGTCAAGTGAGCAGTGCCACACGGTGCTTGGACAGTCTCAATGAAGCTAACCCAGCAGATGCTGAAGGCTCCCCGGTTTTGTCAGCAAGGCAATAAACAGATATGATCTACTGCTTTAACAGCAGATCATAACATTGCCTCGCCTACAGCAGGGCTTGCAGAGTGGAATAATGTATTGCAGGGTTTCCAAAGTCATTCAACCAGAGACCGCCTTTTATGTGTGGCTAAAAAAGACTCGTGACCCGGCAGAAGGGAGGGGTGGGGGGGGGATATCGTGCCGTTGGCTCCATTATAGCCTTGACCAAATAACTGGTATCGTCATCAACACATCGTGGCCTTGAGAATTGAGAGCTAAGGGGGTGCGCGCATAACTCTAAATATGTAGGAACTTAAATGTTTACATTTGGCAATTCAACACACGTTTTCCTTTTCATATTTCCCAAGTCAAAACCTTTTCGAATAACAATGGGACTCCCGGGGGATGCGCAAACCACAGGACTGAGGGTCTATTTCTTGAGCCCCGCCCTACGGATTTCAGAGCTAGGACGCCCATGAACCCAGGAGGGCGAGCGGGGTGGAGCGGCGTCGACGGCACGTACCTGAAGCTGCCGCAGGAACTGGTACGCGAGCAGCTCCTGCCGCAGGTCGTCGCCACACTTGACAATCACCGACAGCAGCTTCCAGTTGGGGAAGTGGCCGTAAGGGGAAGTTTCCCTGATACGCCTGCAAACCCAAGCAAGAAGAATAGACTTTAAACACACACACACACACAGGATAGCACGTTACAAACATCCACACAACATGCTGGAACATTTAGATGAAGTACATCAGTGCTCTTCACTAATTTTCAGAGGGGGGCCACTTTCGCCATTAAGACATCAGTGTGAGGGCCGCTACACATTTGAAACCACTGGGGTTTGACAGCACAATGACGATGGGAGGGTGTTTTCACTCTGTGGGCGGCACTAAAGGCCACTGGGGTCCGCCAATGGCATGTGGGCCTTGTAATGATGAACACTGAAGTACATAATTTCTGGAAATGCTGCCATCATGTAATGGTGAGCACACTGGGCATGCAGTACAGAGGTCACTGGTTCAGCTCATTCCCCTGGCACAGCTGTTGAAATCCCCGCACTCTTCACTCAAAAGCAGAAAGGGGTACGACCACAGATGACTGGCAGGGTGCGTACGGTGGGGCAAAGTGTGGGTGCTGCCACCTCTTCCATGATGTCTTGGCCAGCATGCAAGAATAGGACCACAAATACCCTGTGAAAGAGCCATCTCGAGCTGCTTCTCTCGTGGAGGCCCTTCTGCCATCAGAGGCGTAAGACATTGGCGGGGCTGCACCTTTACCTTTGTCCTTTTGCAACATTTAGAAAGCAATCAAGAACATAATGATTACACATATTGCCTCGGCTTACTCGCAGTGGAGTTTCACCACGACATGTGCCTGAATGAAATACTAAGTTCAGCCATGTTCCCCTACGCAGACATCCGACGCCTAAAGGAAACGGCTTACAGTCGTGAATTACCAACAGCTACACGCAATGACAAATTCACTATTAAAGTGAATGTACATAAGCCAATTACGTACATTTAAATAACAAGGTTAGAAATGTATGATGCCTTTCAAGTGTCAATGTGGTGAAAATGCAACCTAGAATTTTTTGCCGATTTACCTGTCATTACACACGGGATTTGCATGAAAAACAAATTCCCTTCTGCAATGCTGCCACACAAAGCAGAAGAAGCATATATATTAAACTAATGCCTGTATTTATTACCTGCCGGTTGGAATGCCTTTGTCATTACTCTACATCTGCAGCTCCTGGTGGAAACTTAAATGTGAAGTTTGCGAGTGAATAATTACATCTGTATTTAGTGAAAGCTACATCACTCTTACTGGGTGGATAATGAGGAACACACGCAGGAAAACAATTACTCCGTTACTCTACGACGACCTCCAGTGTATCTCTGCGAGCGACATACGCTTCCTAAGGTCCACGATATCGGGCTGTAGCTATTACCGAGAAAAGTTACAAGGGAGAAATTGTGCCCAAGGTGGCATTTCTCGGCCGTGGGCGGCGTGGCCAGTGTTTGTTTTTATTATTTTTAGAGCCAGACCACCCCACCCCACCCCCAACCACCCCCCAGCTGTGCCCCGCCAATGCATTTGGCGCCTGCAACACGTGCGACGCACATGTTTCTTTTAACTCCAACGAATCCTCGAGAGGACGCAAACAAAATGAACTTTGATCAGCTGTCTATGTAGAAATTAGGCTTCACGAATAAGAGGATGCTATATAGCAGAATTATATTATATTATTATTGTTAATAAGGCTCACTTTTTTTGTTCATGTGCTTATCTTAGAAACAACTCTAGGGCAGCATGGAAAAGCAGCTCACGAGAGGTTTATAAGAGGTTTAGCAAGTACAAAGGCTTAGCTACGAAGGGTCCTTGCGGAAACAAGGTGGGCAAAGATGCACGTGCGATGGGGGCACAACACTTGTGCCACGTGATTGCGATGCGAGTGTGGCGTGAGTGCGACGTAAGTGTGATGCGAGTGTGATGCGAGTGTAGTGCGTGTCACGCGAGTGCGACGTGAGTGTCATGTGACCTGCACCTGACTTTCTCCTTCCAGGGCTCCTTGAGGGCAGCGGCAGAGGGGTCCTCTGGGTCTCGGCGGAATTGTGTCGCTGGAAGGTTTAGCTGCTCTGACAGGCGCCGCCTGCAATGACAATTGGACACTGCCTTTTCGAATGCGTACACACCCATCCCATCACCATCTAAACATTGCTTCTAGCCAGGAAACTGAAAGGATGAGTGTGGTCGGCACCTGATGTCCCCAGCCAGGAAGTAGGCAGGCTCGGCCTTGCTGTCCAGGCTTGTGATGCTGTCCACAGAGAACTGTGAGATGGTGTCACTACTGTTGGTAGACTTGTCCGACTTGTGGATCTCAGGTTGCTGGGAATTACAATAAGAGCATTTGAAGAGCTTAATGTGGGAGAGATCTATACTTAATGCGTGTGCATTTGTGTGCAAAGTCAGCGCAGTAAAATCCATTGCTGTTCTGTACTTCTATGTCCCATCGTCGATGCTCCTCACCTTTCCCAACCCGTACCGACCAGCATGGCATAATAAATCGGCACTCAGGACTAACGACTTGTGCTGACCTCATCCAGCCGTGGATTCGCAAAACTGGATGCGTGCGTGCAAACGGGGCGCAGACTCGAGCCACACACCTCCACCTGCAGGTCGGCGATGTCGTCCTGGGACCAGGCCTCCTCGTCGGGGTCGGGGTTGTGTGCCGTGAAGCTGCCGGTTCTCGGGGCCTCCCCGGCCACGAAGCAGTCGGGCAGGTTCTCCTCGGAGCGCGACACGCGGATCCGCGCCTCGGGGATGCGCGTGGGCACCGCCGACATCTCCAGGTCCTCGCACTCCAGCACCTCCACGTAGATCAGGTACGGGGCCTGCCCCGACAAGCAACGCACAGGGTAATCGTGATACAGCGTAAAGGTGCGGTGTGACCGCGACTGCTCGCTCGCACCACTGTTGGTGGAAGAGGGGCCTCAACTCAAGCGAACTCTCTCGAGGGTATCTTACACGTCGACCAGACGCGCTGGAAGAGGTGGGCGGGCGTGCCTGCACTCGACACAAGTAAGCGCAACCTGCCATTCGACAAACAGCGGTGTACTAATTTATACTGCGGGATGGACAAACTCGTGAGGATTTGACAAACTCGACCGTTGTTTCAACGGCCTCGCCGAGAGATGGAATCCAACCATGCAACCTCTCAAACCTGTGACCAATAATCCAGAATGGGTTTTGCGTGTTGCTGGGATTTTTTAATACAAAAAGCAACATTAAAATGTTTTTACGTCAGTAAGCCAGAAGACTACGAAAATAAAAACACTTACAGTTAATTAGTTTAGTATATGTTTCACGCCACCTCAACGAGACGCGCTCGTCATCGCACTGTGCGAGAGCGGATCCGCGCTCGCTTACCTTGTCCTTGGAGTTGAGCACGACGGCCTGGGTGTGCGGCAGACGCACGATGTGGTGCGCGCTCAGGGCCGTGGGCAGCCAGACGCGTGCGGGCAGCGACAGGTTGAGCAGCGAGAGCTCGGCGATGAGACGCTGCGTCTTCTGTTCGCGCGTGGGCAGCGTGGCCAGCCGCTTGCCAATGGCCATCAGCGACTTGATGAACTCGCGCTCCGGGGCGAGACGGGCCGTCTGCTGCACGCGCACACAGGCCAACGGGCAGCGTGCGCGTCATGCGGACAGCCCTGCTCAGCGCTGTCGATGGCCAACGCGCAACGCTTTAAAAAATGGGTGCGCGATGATTTGGATTCAAATGGATTTCGCGCCCACGGTTTAAAATATCTTATCATGTGTGTGACAACCGGTTACTTGAAATTCATATGCATACAGTTTTATTCTAACTGTAGATTCCAAAATATTGTTTTAGATGCGTGTTGTTTGATTGCGAGTGATAGTAAGCTCATAATAAGTAAACAAGGGTGTGTTTAGACAATGCAGAAACATGTATAACGTTTAAGTCCACCAATGTATAGAATCTCTCAAACAATAGTTTGTTTTGTGAGGTGGTCATTTGCCATGTAACACCCCAAATCCACCCTGATGGTTCGTAATAAATTATGTACGATGTTGCTGTACTGCACTCAGTGCTGTTTGTGAAGCTCTTCAAGAGACCATCCTCTGCTAGAAAACATTTCATTTCAGAGACCCAAAGCCACATTCATACAAATGTGCAGTTCTTTGCTGTACACAGAACCTTTGCATAAACTTGCACAAATACAACCAAATTCTTGGTTCTTTCAGTAAAGTCACGTAGAAGGGAAACAATAAAAATATAAAAAAACAATAAAATTCACACGACGTTTCAACTGCAACACAAGCAATCATCATCAGGTGTGAAAACCACAGCAAGAAAATTTATTGTTTCCCTTCTACGTGACTTTACCGAAAGAACCAAGAATATGAATCCCTGCAGTCACGAAAGCTTTAAATAAAAATACAACCAAGTTCAAACAAAACAATGTTGAAAGCTACATTACTGCATGAAAGCGATACTATGTACGTCAACATTTAGACAGGAATATATGTGTTGTCCTCACTGCGGGTATGGCCTGTGAAGGAGCACTGCCCCAAACTGTGTGCCTATTATGAACTTGTCCTTTTCAAGGCAGTGTTATATGACTGCATCGCCATTGGCGCTTGTGCAACAATGCCAATGCAGTCACACTCACAATGTGTCCGATGTTCCTCTCAGACCAGCACGTCAGTCATTGTTCTATCTCGGTTTAATAGAAACTAGTTTATTACTTTGTGTAATCATCTACACAAACAGCAACAGCTCAATAAAAGAGCCAATCATTCTTTGTGGATTAAACTATTAATGTTATTTTGTAAAAGGCACACAGGGCATTTTAAATGTCTTAAGTCTGCAAGGATAATTTAAACGCAGATGCTGTGGAAATTATATCTCACAGACAAAGGCAACTCATTCGCACAAGTTCACAACAAACAGTCTCAGATATTTTTACGCGAGAAATGAGTGAACGATAGAATCCATTCGTTCCACTAACTTATAACAGGGAGTGTGAAGGAAACAATGTTTTTCTTATCCAAAACAAAGCTTCAACCTCATAGCCGCCGTGTAAAGACGAGCACGAGGCGGGGCTGGAGATTTTCAGCATTTCTCAAATTGCAATCACGAATCACTGGCACCATGCATTAGTGAGAGCCACATGCACAGTGGGATGCCTACTTATAGCCAAACCCCACATGTGGAGCCTACGGAGACACTTCTACCCTTGAGCAGATAGGGCCAGTCCATGTCATCCCCTGCTCTAACGCTTCCTCCATTCAACCCCACACCCCAAATGTCGATAGGTGTGCGAGTTACTACATGAGATAATCAAACAAGTGAAAAGCATCTCCGTGCTTAATGCATTTAGGGAGCAGCTCGTATGTTTTGGCAGACCTGAGCCAGTGGTAGAAATGACACATTCCTACGGCAGTGTGCAGTCTCTCTGCAAGGCACCCAACGCTGTTTAATTACTACCGAGTGTTCGTCATTTTATCGATACCGGATGGGCTGCGCATTACCCTGAGCAGGATTTGAACTCATGAGCTTCCGCTGAAGAGTTAAGCACTCAGCTACAGTGCCACTTGGCGAGAGAGTAAATACTGTACATTAAATGTTGAAAAGTAGAGTGAATTCCCTGAGTCGAAATGGACAGTTATCATCGCGTTCGCTCCTTGCCCTGTGATGTAATTTAGAACAGAGACAATACCTACAATGTTTAACTATCCGATAAGGGATGTGAGATAGTGAAATTATTTGACCTTTACCCTGGCAGCAAATAGGACTGATGGAAAAAAGAGTACAGCGCTTTAAAAATGTCAGAGTTCAAGTCCTCGATTGCGCCAATACGCCGCCGTCAGATCTCACAGCGTGCAACACCATGGGGTCACACAGTGTGCCACACCACGGAGTCACACAGCGTGCCACACCACGGGGTCACACAGTGTGCCACACCACGGGGTCACACAGTGTGCCACACCACGGGGTCACAGTGTGCCACACCACCGGGTCCTCACATTGTGCCACACCACGGGGTCACACAGCGTGCCACACCACGTGCCACACCACGGGGTCTCACAGCGTGCCACACCACGGGGTCACACAGCGTGCCACACCACGGGGTCACACAGCGTGTCACACCACGGGGTCACACAGCGTGCCACACCACGGGGAACCACAGCGTGCCACACCACGTGCCACACCACGGGGTCTCACAGCATGCCACACCACGGAGTCACACAGCGTGCCACACCACGGGGTCTCACAGCGTGCCACACCACGGGGTCTCACAGCGTGCCACACCACGGGGTCACACAGCGTGCCACACCACGGGGTCTCACAGCGTGCCACACCACGTGCCACACCACGGGGTCTCACAGCGTGCCACACCACGGGGTCACACAGCGTGCCACACCACGGAGTCACACAGTGTGCCACACCACGGGGTCTCACAGCGTGCCACACCACGGGGTCTCACAGCGTGCCACACCACGGGGTCTCACAGCGTGCCACACCACGGGGTCTCACAATGTACCACACCACGGGGTCACACAGTGTGCCACACCACGGGGTCACAGTGTGCCACACCACGGGGTCTCACAGTGTACACCACGGGGTCTCACAGTGTGCCACACCACGGGGTCACACAGTGTGTCACACCACGGGGTCCTCACATTGTACCACACCATGGGGTCTCACAGCGTGCCACACCATGGGGTCACACATTGTACCACACCATGGGGGTCTCACAGTGTGCCACACCACGGGGTCTCACAGCGTGCCACACCACGGGGTCACATTGTGCCACACCACGGGGTCACATTGTGCCACACCACGGGGTCACAGTGTGCCACACCACGGGGTCACAGTGTACCACACCACGGGGTCACAGTGTGCCACACCACGGGGTCTCACAGTGTGCCACACCACGGGGTCACATTGTGCCACACCACGGGGTCACAGTGTACCACACCACGGGGTCACAGTGTGCCACACCACGGGGTCTCACAGCGTGCCACACCACGGGGTCACACAGTGTGCCACACCACGGGGTCTCACAGCGTGCCACACCACGGGGTCACATTGTGCCACACCACGGGGTCACACAGCATGCCACACCACGGGGTCACACAGTGTGCCACACCACGGGGTCACACAGCGTGCCACACCACGGGGTCACAGTGTGCCACACCACCGGGTCCTCACATTGTACCACACCATGGGGTCTCACAGTGTGCCACACCACGGGGTTCACCACATGTGAAAACAACGCACTTGCAATCAGTCAAGTAATTCATTTTGTGTGTTCCCACATTAACCTAACTGTGTAAATAGCCAGCACCTGTCTGTGCAGACAAATGAGTGGAAACCCGATCAATCACGTGCAGGTTACGGCCTGAAATAAAATCTATTTTGATTATCGCAAAAAAAATTACTTGGTCAGGGTTTTTTTTTACAGTGCCCACCGCGGCCACATCTAGTAATGGTTGTGATTTTTTTTGGAAAAATATAAATCACGTTGCTAATTGTAGGAGCCGTACCTGATATAGAGCAGCAAAGGTGAGCTCAACCTATTGAGGATGAAGGTAAATCAATGGCTGTGGCCTCACACCACCCTAAGCCACGGGATACCCATGTACGTGCACAGAATTGACCATCTTTTAGGTTGCACTACACCAAGCAGGAAATCTATTCCCTTGACTATACTCTAGAAGGGAATATTTTGTTGTTCTTTTTCTGATAAGGTGTAGCTCTGCGTGGCTATGTCATCAGTGAATTACAACTCAGTGCAAATTGTTTAATTGTACTGTTTGAATTTGTACTTTTCATTTTCATTTTTTTTGTACAAGCTTTGTGATAGCCATGCAGTTCCCTACTGTATTTCAGCCAGATTTCACCTGTAAAATAAACCGACTGCTTAAAATGGGCCCTCATCAGTATATACGTAAAATTTCATGATGACGATAAAGGGATTGGGGTTTTAAGCTCTATGCAATTTAAGACGCTGGGCATACCAACTGGACCCTTACAAAGTAACGAGAAATTGACTTGTGAATTGAATGATGGGCTACTCTTGGAAGAGACTCTGAATGACGAATAGATGGCCACAGCTTGGGCGGGCCTTCATCCAGCAGTGGACTGATTACGGCCGAGCATGATGAACCCACTCAAATGTATTGACACTAAAATAACATAGACGTACAATGCATTATAATAAAAGCATTATGAACATTATTAAAGCTCAGCTGCAATAACCTTAACACATTTGATTTAACTCAAATTATCCTAGCCGGTGCGGTGTTATGAGCACACCTGTGGACAGCATCGCATCACTCATTAAGGAAGGAGTCTGGCATCTGCAAGTGGACTTGTTTGAGCCGAGCAGCTCATTGGCCCCTTCCTGCTGAAATAAATGACATTTATCTATATCTATCCGGCTTCCCCTTGACAGAATATTTCGAAATAGCGCAAATAGTCAGTTTGGCCAGAACATGAATGTAAGATGTCCACAACTGCCTCCAATGGAGCACGGCACTGCTCCACGCCGACGTGATCAATGCCACCGCGACTCCGGCCTCACCTCGTCGTGCTGCGCCTCCACGCGGGGAATGCTGGACGTGCGGCGCAGCCCGTCGGCCTGGATGCAGCTGCTCGTGGCGTCCGACTTGGAGCGCTGGTGCGTGCGCTTGCCGGGCGACACGGCGGCGGCGCGCAGCTTGGCCCGCGCGGACGCCGCCAGCAGCTGGTGCGGCGGAGCCGACGGCGCCGGGGTGGCAGGGACCAGCTCGTCCGACAGGATGAGGCGCCGGAGCTTGGTGCCGCGCGAATGCTTCTGCCGTGACGACGGCTGCCCATCCGCCGAGTAGGCGCCCAGCAACCAGGCGCAGCGCAGGGCGAAGTCCGGACTGCGCCGGCACCGGTGGACCAGGTACGGCTTGATGGCATCGCCGGCCTCCTCGGCGCCGTGCAGGTACATCGTCAGCAGCTGTGGCAGGTAGAAGTCGGTGGCGTCCGCGGGGAAACTGAACAGCTTGTTGCCAAGGTAGGCCTGTACCCCCGGCTCCTTGGAGCTGTGCAAGTATGAAATCGCCATGGAGACGTCGAACAACTTCGACTCAAAGAGGCGCAGCAGCAGCGACTGCTTCGAGGCCGAGGAGACGGCCTTGTGTTTCCGGACGCCGGGTGTAACGCGGCTGCATCCCGCATCCTTCATCTGTCCGTTGCGTGGAACACCCGTTTCCTGTTCCTTTTTAAGGTCGAGACCTTCTGACCCGGCGATCCCATCCAAACAGTCCGAACACTCGGCGGCGTCCAAAATAAAAATGTCATCTTGCTTTTTGTCCACGCTTTGGTCGGTCTGCTTGAATTTAAGACTCTCCAGGACTTTCTGGCAGGTCTTTTCTGCCACTTCCAAGTCGATGATGGGGGGAGTGGCACTTTCCAGGATGCAGCCGAGCGAGGGCCGCGTTGCGCAGGAGGGAGCGTAGGTGTAGCCGGGATTCTCGCCATTTGACTGCTTCACAGCCGCTTCATTGGGCTCGCCACAAACTGCGGGAACTTCGCACTCCATCCCCCCCCTTGAATGTTTTCTGGCAAAAAAAAAGGTAGGGCTAATACTCACACAATGTACAACACGTGGATATTTTTGGGCATCATTGACCAATATCAATATTTTCAATCGTGTACAAAGCAAGTATAAAATAGTTTGTTAGAATGTACATTTTAAGAGAAAGTGTGTCATTAACAGTTTAGTGATATTAAAAATCTTACATCCGGTTTCACCTCTCTCCATAGTATAGTTTGTAAGTTCATAATAATCATCAACAAAAATAAACTAAGCCAACAAAATTAAACTAAGCATTTTTGCAATAAATACTAAAACATCTACGCTATGCATCTCTCCACATACAAATACATTGGCATTTGAGTCAATAAACCTTTGGACTGTTATTGAGCAGCAATTAGTTTAAACAGGCAAAGTAGAAACAAGTTTAAATATTTGAGTCGTATTAGCAGAGTCGGTTGTTGAATAAAAGCTGGCGAGTTGCCTTGTATATTTAAATATAACAAAGTAGCACTTCATATTGCGGCTTCAAATAAGACCTGTACGTAAAATCTGTTAACCACATTACCCAACAGGTTTAAAGTTAGAGTAACGGTTGAGCTACGAAACCTGCATCAAATTTCACAGTAATTATGTGAACAGTATTCTGGGAAGGTGCACATTACTGCACCAGATATATTGATCTCTCATCACAATATCCCTGTATTGCACAGATTACGTCAGCAAAATATTAATTTGAATTCATCTTCTTTCGGTAAAGTCACGTAGAATGAGAATAAAATAATAAATTGATAAAATAAAATAACACAATATTCTCACGACGTTTCGGCCACAACACAAGCGGCCTTCATCAGGTGAAGGGACGAGACTGAAGGGACGAGACTGTCGTCTCTTCACCTGATGAAGGCCGCTTGTGTTGTGGCCGAAACGTCGTGAGAATATTGTGTTATTTTATTTGATCAATTTATTATTTTATTCTCATTCTACGTGACTTTACCGAAAGAACCAAAGAAGATGAATCCTTGCAGTCACGAAAGCTTTAAATCGAAAATTAATTTGGATTGTTTCAACTGAAATAGGAAATCTGGACACGAGGTTGAATGTAAGTAATCCTTGGCAAAGCGCTGAGCACTTAGGGTAAGTATGTGTACACAGAGGCATGGCATCAGGTGGTCGGGTTAAACCAGCAGTAAGCAGTGCCAGATCTTCCCAGAATCACCGGTTATGTTTCCACTACCTGTCCTGCACGAACGCTGAGGATGTATGTGTGCCAGGATATATATTGAACATCGGCATTTAAATCATTCAAGTTAACAGCTGATAGAGAGCAATGTTACAAATGTGGCTTGGCGATGTAATCACGTGGTTAGTTCGCGTACCGCTGAGCAAATCTGTAAGGAACCATTTCGAGGAAACTAATGGTGGTGCATCTCCATAGATGTCACGAGCTGTCAAAGTGGACATTCTGGAATGAGTACAGCACTGGCATGTTATGAACATGGGTAGCCGACTGTGTTTCAGCATATCCCAAATCACCCACTTGTTAAACAACATGCAATTATATTTGAAGCGACGGGTCTGTTGCGCTATGAACTTGGTGCCGTGAGTTTGATTCCCGGCCACAGCGGGCACCAGTAGGAAGTGATATCAGAGGCGGCCCCTCTCTCCGCTTCCACCCCTCCCACTTCAATCCGCATTGACCTGCATGGTGAAGTATAGCCAGAACATGCACATGACCGATATGGCGTGGGGAGGCCTCTATCCATTGGTTAATTTAACATTGCTGATTTTTTTTATTATTAAAAAAATGTAAAGATTTTTTTTTCAAAATAATAAATTCCTACATTGCTAAATATTAAAACACACTTTCAGCAGGCTACTGCTTGGCTAAAGGCCACTGAATTGCGTGTTTCCTTATTTAATTAAACCAGTTAGAATGAAGGGTTGCATTCAGAAGCATCTTGTTGTTTTATTTTTTACCTACGTGACTTTACCGAATAGAACCAAAGAGTATCTTTAAATATATTTTATGATAACCGCTTTTCTCTGCAGCACAGTTTAACAGCGCTGATGTCATCCCTCCACTAGCAACGCAAACGTCATACTGAGTGCACCGCCATAACATTCCTTAGAGAGGAAACAACACATTGGAACTCTGACCCAGTTGTGTAAAGTTTAAACCCTGACACTTCTAGAGGGCAACGTTGGTACATAAAACCAAAGCGAATTGCGTGAACAGATTTTATGTGGAGGCAGCCATGACCACAGGAAGCAGATTATGAATCTCGACACATGGCAATGAACCCTGTACACAAATGTGTTAATCTGAGCTTACTAATGCTTGATTTAAATTCCCCGAAGCCTTATCGCTTTATTCGCGTTCTGCGGCCAACCATGGGGTACCTGAGATGTGCTGCGTTTGACCCCAGCAGCAACACCGCACGTCCCACGACTGTGCAGAGCAGCCGAAGTTAAGGCCCCATCCCCACGAACACTCACAATCTGCCTCCCCCCACTGCAGCACAAGCACAGCACGCAGCTGTGTGATGCACATCCACAGCACAACACACAGCTGTGTGATGCACATCCACAACACACACAGCACAACACGCAGCTGTGTGATGCACATCCACAGCACAACACACAGCTGTGTGATGCACACCCACAACACACACAGCACAACACACAGCTGTGTGATGCACACCCACAGCACAGCACACAGCGGTGTGATGCACACCCACAACACCCACAGCACAACACACAGCTGTGTGATGCACACCCACAGCACAGCACGCAGCTGTGTGATGCACATCCACAACACACACAGCACAACACGCAGCTGTGTGATGCACACCCACAGCACAGCACGCAGCTGTGTGATGCACACCCACAGCACAACACACAGCTGTGTGATGCACACCCACAACACACACAGCAGCTGTGTGATGCACACCCACAACACACACAGCACAACACACAGCTGTGTGATGCACACCCACAGCACAACACACAGCTGTGTGATGCACACCCACAGCACAGCACGCAGCTGTGTGATGCACACCCACAACACAACACACAGCTGTGTGATGCACACCCACAACACACACAGCAGCTGTGTGATGCACACCCACAACACACACAGCACAACACACAGCTGTGTGATGCACACCCACAGCACAACACACAGCTGTGTGATGCACACCCACAGCACAACACACAGCTGTGTGATGCACACCCACAGCACAACACACAGCTGTGTGATGCACACCCACAACACCCACAGCACAACACACAGCTGTGTGATGCACACCCACAGCACAACACACAGCGGTGTGATGCACACCCACAACACCCACAGCACAACACACAGCGGTGTGATGCACACCCACAGCCCTGCAGCAAAAGCACAGCACTGGGCCTTTAAATAGGATATTTCAGATGCAGTTTTAGAATGAATAATTACAGCACTGTAGTAATGATGGAAGCACGACTGTTGTACTATAATCATCGCTAAGCGGAATATAAATGTCAACAGTCATCAAGCGCAGCGCCCCACCGCACTGTGCGCTGTTGTGCCGCACTGTACCGAATACGCCGCACACCGCACTGTACAAAGCGCACTGTACAACGCGCACTGTACACAATATAACTTTACGGCGTTGCGCGCACTGTACCGCATTTAGCACCTGAGCGAGTTGCCAAGGGGAGCTCTTAATTCGTCTATGAAGATGCGTCTCCTGGCACACAGAGAGAGAGAGGCACGTGTGTACACGCGACCCCCCCCCCCCCCCCGAACTGCACCTTAATCGGTAGTCGCCAACAGAATTTGGCTTCAGGGTCTACGATGCTACTACACAAAGTGCGTGGTGTTTTAAAACTAAAATAAACACAATGCCTTTCGCCTAGGCACAAATACATACACGTATATATATACAAACATCCCTCGCATAGTCTTAAACAGAGGCTGTTGGGGAAAGTGCTGCTAGAGAGTAGCACACGAGAGGGGGTGGTCAGCACCACGCCCGGCCGCCTTTGTATCCCTCGTGGCGATGTTTACACACAGCACCAGGTAACTCACTGTATCCCTCGTGACGATGTTTACACACAGCACCAGGTAACTCACTGTATCCCTCGTGGCGATGTTTACACACAGCACCAGGTAACTCACTGTATCCCTCGTGGCGATGTTTACACAGCACCAGGTAACTCACTGTATCCCTCGTGACGAAGTTTACACACAGCACCAGGTAACTCACTGTATCCCTCGTGACGATGTTTACACACAGCACCAGGTAACTCACTGTATCCCTCGTGACGATGTTTACACACAGCACCAGGTAACTCACTGTATCCCTCGTGACGAAGTTTACACACAGCACCAGGTAACTCACTGTATCCCTCGTGACGATGTTTACACACAGCACCAGGTAACTCACTGTATCCCTCGTGTCGATGTTTACACACAGCACCAGGTAACTCACTGTATCCCTCGTGACGATGTTTACACACAGCACCAGGTAACTCACTGTATCCCTCGTGACGATGTTTACACACAGCACCAGGTTACTCACTGTATCCCTCGTGACGATGTTAACACACAGCACCAGGTTACTCACTGTATCCCTCGTGGCGATGTTTACACACAGCACCAGGTAACTCACTGTATCCCTCGTGACGATGTTAACACACAGCACCAGGTAACTCACTGTATCCCTCGTGACGATGTTTACACACAGCACCAGGTAACTCACTGTATCCCTCGTGGCGATGTTTACACGCAGCACCAGGTAACTCATTGGAGGCCGAGTCGGACTAAGAGAGACCCATGGCCGACTCAGATATTCGATCCGTCGGACAGTGCGCCAACCACTACGCCACCGCTCCCACACACACACACGCGCACTGTACATGCACACGAGCACTGTACATGCACACGCGCACTGTACATGCACACACGCACTGTACATGCACACACGCACTGTACATGCACACAGCACTGTACATGCACACACGCACTGTACATGCACACACACAAATACCCGCGAAGACACGCGTGCGCACACCGTCCACACACTGTGTGCTGTTGGCAAGTGATGTTGTAGATCGCCTAAGTCTAGGCACACACAAGCTCGCTCGCTCACCTCTCCCGGTGCTGTCTCCTGTCTCCCCGTGTCTCTCCCCTCTCCTCGTCTCTCCCCTCCTCCTCGTCTCCCCGTGTCTCTCTCCTCCTCGTCTCCCGTGTCTCTCTCCCCTCTTCCTCCCCGTGTCTCTCCCCTCCTCGTCTCCCCGTCTCCCCGTCTCTCTCCCCTCCTCCTCGTCTCCCCGTGTCTCTCTCCTCCTCGTCTCCCCGTGTCTCTCTCCTCCTCGTCTCCCCGTGTCTCTCCCCTCTTCCTCCCCGTCTCTCTCCCCTCCTCCTCGTCTCCCCGTGTCTCTCCCCTCCTCCTCGTCTCCCCGTCTCTCTCCCTCTCTCCCCTCTGCCTCCCCGTGTCTCTCCCCTCTTCCTCCCCGTGTCTCTACCCGTCTCTCCCCTCTTCCTCCCCGTGTCTCTCCCCTCCTCCTCCTCGTCTCCCCGTGTCCCCCCCCTTCCCGTCTCTCTCGCACTCCGAGCCTAACCCCCGCGCTCATTGGCCCTCGCCGCGGCCTCCTAATTAACATCAACCAATCGGACGCCGATAAGGTCCAACCCCCCGCGGGTTAAAGCGAAGTCGGAAATTATACTGTGACGTCACCACCCCCTCGAACACGTACAGAGGCCACGTGACCAAACACAAAGGACTCCCCGTGCCGCTGTTGTTGAGAGCACGTGACGACGGCAACAGTGGGCACCCTCCTTACAAAGCCGAGGGGGTGGTTGTGTCCAGAACCACCACGCCCGCCCGCCTTTGTCTCCCCAATGTTGACAATTACGCGTCGCACCAGGCTAAGTTGACTTCGCGGAGGCTCAAATGCGGTTCAGTTATTTCGTCACGGATGTTGGCCGCGAGCGGGATTCGAACTCGGGTTGTCGCCGGGTTCGTAGCGCAGAGCGATAGCCGCTACACTACCGCTCCCCACTGATAGCCCAGCAGACAGGCTACGCCAGTGTTTCTCAACCTGTGTGATGGTGGTGGCCCCCCAGTTAAAAACACTGAGCCCCCCTCTCCAGGAACTTATTTGGTATGCTAAGCAGCAGCGGCATGAGCGAGGGCTCGTTGCTGCTGAAGTCCCCATTCCTGTCTGTTTACAAATTCAACCGCTTCCTTCACTGCCCTCCCCCCTAGTGGAGAGAGGGTTGACACATCCGCCCGGCGCCTGACACGCAGTGCGAGGCGTGGTCACGTTGCGTGTCGTCAGTGCATTGTCCGCTCTGTTCCTCGCGTACATCCGAAATTTCTTTCCTGCACGGTGTCCATGTCACCACCCCTCTCCCCCATAGGTCGAGAGGGACTTCTCCACTTCCGAGCAAGTTGGGTTCCAGAGGTCTATCCGTAAGTCAATTTGTTCGTAAGTCCAACTTTACTCCTGACGATTCTAAACATGTTGTACGGCATGTACACTCAACACGGGGAATGGCTTTGAAAGTTGTACAATCTCCTGCAGATGTAGATGCCACTGGTTCTTCATGTTCTGTAGATGCCACCACCGACGTCTAATGCGCGGCGGTTGAACTCACGTCGCTCGGTCCGAATGGGCAATTGGACATATGGACAGATTTGTTCGTATCTCTGAAAGTTCCTAAGTCGAATGTTCCTAAGTAGAGGAGTCCCTATCATGTGACCTTTTTGCCAGTATAAAGGTGTTAAGATGTTCAAATACCAAATATAAACCTTTTGCAAGGAATGAATTCTGCATTAACCACACGTACTTGTGGTGAACATGCTAACAAAACATGCTATCACAACACTATGTAATATGATTTTTGTTCCTGGGTAGTAAGTGTTATTTTCTAATTGCTTATGCCTCAAAAGTCTAGAAAATGGCTATTATTCCCTACAAACTTTGCTTTTGTGACCAGGACTTTACGTGCAGGAAAGACACAAATGCACACCACGTTTTTTCATTGAAAATAGGTAAATTTCAAATATCACTGTCCTGGTCACAAAGGCAACGTTTGTGGGGAATAATAGCCATTTTCTGTACTTTTGAGGCATACGCAATTAGAAAATAACACTTACTACCCAGGAACATATTTTGTTTTTGTTACACAGTGTAATATATGCATTGTCTTTTTAAATTATTGGCCTACACCAGATACATTCTTCTTTATGGCCCAGTCTCACAAGTGTCAAACCAGAAAATGCCAAAAGGCAAACAGGAAGGATAACCCCTATTCTTATTTTTCATTCAGAGGAGTCCCTGTATAAAGGAGTAGAACACATCGAGAGCGTATACGATATACCCATCTTACACTGCACTCGGAGGCATATTGAGACCTGCCACCCACTTGCGTACATTCACGAGGGGTTTTCAAACCAAGTCTTTCAAATTTAATTCAAAGGCAAACGTTCCGCACGTAACGCCCAAAAGGGGTGCTCCGGAACTGGTGTTTCATACACAGAAGGGGTAATTACAGTCAAATATTTTCATTTTATTGAATAATTCCAGGTCGCCAATAGGTGGCACTGGAAGAACACTGGCAAACAGTGCCACACCGCGGCCGCCCAGAATAAGCTCACTCGAGACCCCTTGAAGACGCCGGCGGTCGAACCATCAAGCGCATCAGAACATCAACAGCTCGATGCCCACGTCTCCTTCGTGAATGGAACACTAAAGACACAAGCCGCAGGAGTGCGACTGTGGTCATGCGTCCCAAACTGCGGACCATATAGAGTAGGCCACTTTAGTCTGCGCTACTTCTACAGCAGAGGAATGGCAAAAAATACGCGAACTCTCTACTGCTGAAGCCCTATCGCCGTGGCAAGCTGGCAGGTACTCGACAACGGCATTTAGCACCTCACAAATATTGCTTCAAGCATACGCAAGAAAATAAAATACGTGCCATTGTATAGCACCAAGACATCACACACAAAAGCGCTGCAATGCTATCATCCATTGGCATGTGCAGAGTTCAGGCTGGGCCACACTGGCCAATCACACCCGAGCCCTTTTCACTTTTGTTCAGTTTTCAGTCCCATCTGCCTGGATCCGCCCAAACGCCGCCGCTTGTTTTATTGGCAATGGCTCCACGTATGTACATGCTGTAGGAATCAATTCGGAATCCATTATATATCCACCGCAGAAGTAACATTTTTGTTGCCGTGCGAGGGCTTAAATACGCGGTAAACGTCGTGCGGTCATACACACAACGTGCACTTATCACGCAGCCGTGCGTATTCATGCGAGTTTGGGTCAGATCAGAAGTTCTGAGCGAGCAGTGTTGCCCCCCCTGTCGATGTTCGAGCCGGCCAGTCTGGGAATGAGCACCTGCGTGTATGTAGCAGCAATGTATTTGGACTGAGACCACGTGGTGTTGTGATGAACGTGTTGACCTTGCGGCTTCCTGCACGGCTCGAGCAGTCCTAGGCTGACCGAGACACTGGCGGAGCCAGTGCGTGGGGGGGGGGGGGGCACGTGTCCCCCCAATGACCCGATCGAAATCTCCAATTTCGATCGGATCATTGGGGTTTATTGGTAATAAATCGGTATTTTACGACCCCAACTGCCACTGTGTAGCATATTATTACGTGCCAGGGACTCTATGAGATGATAGGACAATAGTCTGAGTCCATGATTGGCTATAAGTAACGGCAAAACAGTTATAAGTGACTCAGAATTGTGCGCAGTTGCGTATACAGTACAAGACTTCCCTGAAGGCATTCACCTCCAGCGGGCGCGATGCCGATCACACAACGCGGTTCGAATTCGACCCTCGATCGATGGCTGCGCCATCGCCGCACACGCGTCGAATAAAAAGCAAGGGACAAGTCCTTACTTACAACTCCTATAATTTTTAATTGCTGGAAAATTGCTCCCCCGACCTGAAAATCCTGGCTCCGCCATAGGACCGAGACACGTCGAAGTTTGCTCTGTGGACAAAGGTGGCAACCCTCAGAGCGAGCATTGTGCACGACACCTGGACTTTATATTCAACCCAACGCCTTGGTTATCTTCAACATGTTTACATTTTACGTACAGGTATCACAAGGAATCCACGAATTTAAATGAGAACTTTAGATTTAAAGATGCCAACCTGCACCTCTGCTGATTTTGCTTATTGGTATTTCGATCTATCAACATGTGTAACTCAATAAAATACAATTTCTTAAATTTCGATTTAAAGCTTTCGTGACTGCAATGATTCATCTTCTTTGGTTCTTTCGGTAAAGTCACGTAGAATGAGAATAAAATAATAAATTGATAAAATAAAATAACACAATAATATTCTCACGACGTTTCGGCCACAACACAAGCGGCCTTCATCAGGTGAAGGGAGCGAGACTGTCTGGTAGGACAGCGCTGGAGTGAGAGAGCCACGTTCAGATCACGGCTTTTAAGCTGTGTGAGAGGAACAAAGAGCCTTGACGAAGGAATTAGCATAAAATTTAGCATTGAAAAGGCTGAATGATTAGCTTGTGACTGGTCACAGAAATAGCTATCAGTTTAACACGTAGGCTTTCGCGACCAATATTATTCATAATAAAGGTTTTTGGGTTAGATCGCGTTTATTTATAAATGTGTCGTAACCCTCCACCACCCGACACGGCCAATCAGCAAAAAAAAAGTGTCACGTTGACAAAAGACAAATAATTCACTACTTCAGCCCACCGGTGTGTTGAAGAGTTAATCCACATTTACAGTTTGAGTACGACGTTTCGCTGGTAAATACTTCCAGCATCATCGGGCAATTCGCCAGAATGGTAAAGCCCTCGCTTGCTCCCGGTTTTATATAGAGCAGAAGAGTGACGTCATCACTTAACTCATCAGGTGCAGTGATTAGAGGCGGAGGGGGGGGGGGTAATGTAATTATATAATCGATTAGTAATCAGTCATTGGTTATGATTAGTAATGAGTTGTAGATTAGTAATTCTTTAAATCAAAATGTAATGTGTATTATTTAATAATACAACTCATTACTAATCATAACCAATGACTGATTACTAATCGATTATATAATTACAATACCCCCCCCTCCGCCTCTAATCACTGCACCTGATGAGTTAAGTGATGACGTCACTCTTCTGCTCTATATAAAACCGGGAGCAAGCGAGGGCTTTACCATTCTGGCGAATTGCCCGATGATGCTGGAAGTATTTACCAGCGAAACGTCGTACTCAAACTGTAAATGTGGATTAACTCTTCAACACACCGGTGGGCTGAAGTAGTGAATTATTTGTCTTTTGTCAACGTGACACTTTTTTTTGCTGATTGGCCGTGTCGGGTGGTGGAGGGTTACGACACATTTATAAATAAACGCGATCTAACCCAAAAACCTTTATTATGGAGAAATAGCTATGTTAAAAGTTAAAGCATACACATCCGCAGAGGCACCCAGAGGCACCCATTGTGCCTCTGCGGATGTGTATGCTTTAACTTTTAACATAGCTATTTCTGTGACCAGTCACAAGCTAATCATTCAGCCTTTTCAATGCTAAATTTTATGCTAATTCCTTCGTCAAGGCTCTTTGTTCCTCTCACACAGCTTAAAAGCCGTGATCTGAATGTGGCTCTCTCACTCCAGCGCTGTCCTACCAGACAGTCTCGCTCCCTTCACCTGATGAAGGCCGCTTGTGTTGTGGCCGAAACGTCGTGAGAATATTATTGTGTTATTTTATTTTATCAATTTATTATTTTATTCTCATTCTACGTGACTTTACCGAAAGAACCAAAGAAGACAATTTCTTAAGTTTGACGCTAACGGAGCCCAGCGGTAGCACGTTTTCCGCTTGTTATCGGGGGTTCACGGCTCTCATCCAGCGGCCGCCCTGGTCAATACTGTGGTGTGCATTAACTGTACACGATACGGCACCGTTTGCGTCACAACGAACGTCAAAGATCCCACGACGTCATTGGCAAGAGTCGGCCACAGTGTGCCACCGCCAGAATCCAGGAGGCGCGAGACTAAGGGAGACTTTCCTGGGTTAAATACCCCAAACTCCCTAATAATAATAAACTAGAATGTATTAAGCACATCCAAACGTGTCGTCATGCATGTCAAGAAAGGACCCACGATGGCTTTCAGAAGCAGTGTATGTTTTATTAGTAAGAAAGTGCATGCACTTAGTCGTCATCAAGCACAGCATACAACCCCCACAACGGGTAGCGATATGTAAATTTGTAATCCATTACAGCTTTTGTCGATAACAGGTTTGATAATTAAGGCAGATTCACATAGGTGAGTCATTTAAATAAACAAAAATACTTTTAAGGTTAAGTAGTTTGAATTATTAACAAAATCATTTCATATACCTCGTGAATAATAAAACAAGACCCCTGAACCGTTACAATACTGCTAATTAACACAGTCAGTCATTGGCGTAGAACACGAAGGCTCACTCACTGCCTGACCACCACGGAGCAGTCGGCACGGTGCCGGCCTGCGCGACATGGAATGCTTTGGCCTGGCCTGGAGTTCCCCAGTGCAGCTTAAAGCAAACACAGGGCACCAGACGCAGGCTCCGCTTCTCAGAATCCGTTCAATGGACCACAGTTCCACATCTACCAGTCAGAGCGCACGGGCAACACACATTGCTCAACGTGCGAAAGGTTTAGCGTCAAGAGCTCACGGCGAGGAAATGTGGAATTTCCAGCACTGCCTCAGGGCCGTCAATGGAAGGGGCGTGTCGCCCCAACGGTTGGTTGAGCATGGTAACACTTTGGTGTTGACTGGCAAAAATGAAAAACGTGGGTATTTAGGGCGAGAGGTCTACAATTTGAGAATCGCTTACTTTACGCGCAATATCAGACTGTTACCAACGGAAGCTTCTTATTTTGGCAGAGCAGGAGACAGCGGTTTGGCAAACCGCTGACAAACATGCGGTTTAACTTAGCCTGCTCATTGAGAGGGCAGCCGTTCCTGCGCCATGCGGAGGGAGAGGCTTTGTTCACACGTACAAGACAGAGCGGGGCCGTGTAGGCAGGCCGAACGAAGGCAGCAGCGGGCGGGCAGTGGTGACAGCATCGGCCACACAGGCCATCGCACCGATGCAGCAGGCCCTCCCGTCTGTGCATATGAAGACGGAGCCCTACGTTCACGTACAAGCGTTCGGATTGACGAATATTTTTTTTTCCTTACATGCTTTTAAACAACTCAAACTTCCCAGCAGTGTTCTTCAAATACTGAAGTAAGACATGGGAAAGATGTGAAAAGCCTGTTATTGTAAACAGAACTTTAATAAGACTTTTGGGTGATTACATTTTTTGCCTATAGTGTAGTAATTTTTACAGACACCCCTGGCAAAACCCCGTTTAAAGCTCACAGGAGTGAATTGTTAAGGTATGCCATACAAACTGCTCCCAATTCTATATTCACGTACTTGCAATCCAGAATATATAAACAGTGAACAAAGACCAGATTACAACAAATTTCAGTCTGAAACAACTAGCAAAACAGTATTCACATTTCATTTACATTATAAAAAGATAATTTCATTCGCCCGATGAAAATTACACCTCACCGTTTCAGTTCTGAAACCCTTTGTGAAAGGAATACTTTGGTTACAAAAAAATTGTACACGCCGCACTTAAACCACCACTTCAAAGCTAGACTACACCTCGTCAATGTCACCATTTCATCTCAAATACGTATGCAAGAAGGTCGTGACAGAAATGAATTGTCACGACAAAGCAAACGGAATCCATTAAGGGGCAACTTTATTATATTTATGCCTTTATTTGTCAACAAAGATGCAACATCTCACGATAATAAACACATACGCGCGCACGCACACACAGTGCAGAGGCAAGGGGAAGAATCGGTGACTTTCCACCGAGGACTGCCCTATTGCTCGGTCATAGTCCGATTGCCCAGTCCAATTGCTCTAGCAGTCCTCAGGGTGGAATGCAATAGGACTGAGCTATTGCTCTGGACTGGATTCCTACTCTAGCAATAGGACCGGGCTATTGCTCTAGCAATAGGACCGGGCTATTGCTCTAGCAATAGGACCGGGCTATTGCTCTAGCAATAGGACCGGGCTATTGCTCTAGTAATCGGACCGGGCTATTCCTCTAGCAATAGGACCGGGCTATTGCTCCAGCAATAGGACCGGGCTATTCCTCTAGCAATAGGACTGGGCTATTGCTCTAGCATTAGGACCGGCCTATTGCTCCAGCAATAGGACCGGGCTATTGCTCTAGCAATAGCACCGGGCTATTGCTCCAGCAATATGACTGGGCTATTACTCCAGCAATAGGACTGGCCTATTGCTCTAGCAATAGGCCAGTCCTATTGCTCTAGCATTAGGACTGGGCTATTGCTCTAGCCATAGGACTGGCCTATTGCTCTAGCAATAGGACTGGCCTATTGCTCTAGCAAAAGGACTGGGCTATTCCTCTAGCAATAGGACTGGGCTATTGCTCCAGCAATAGGACCGGGCTATTGCTCTAGTAATAGGATCAGCCTATTGCTCCAGCAATAGGACCGGACTATTGCTCTAGCAATAGCACCAGGCTATTGCTCCAGCAATATGACTGGGCTATTACTCCAGCAATAGGACTGGCCTATTGCTAGAGCAATAGGCCAGTCCTATTGCTCTAGCATTAGGACTGGGCTATTGCTCTAGCAATAGGACTGGCCTATTGCTCTAGCAATAGGACTGGCCTATTGCTCTAGCAATAGGACTGGGCTATTCCTCTAGCAATAGGACTGGGCTATTGCTCTAGCAATAGGACTGGGCTATTGCTCTAGCATTAGGACTGGGCTATTGCTCTAGCATTAGGACTGGGCTATTGCTCTAGCATTAGGACTGGCCTATTGCTCCAGCAATAGAACTGGGCTATTGCTCTAGCATTAGGACCGGGCTATTGCTCTAGCAATAGGACTGGGCTATTCCTCTAGCAATAGGACCGGGCTATTCCTCTAGCCACTTCCTTTCTGTACACGATTAGCTCCTGGGGGCTAGATGGACATGTTGGCACGTCTGTGACAGTGCGGAAAACATTCCAAGTGGCTTCTCCTTCAAGCAATGTACACGTCTAATAGTCTAGTGGTCTTCACCCCGCGAAGGTTGTGTGGCAGCTCTGGGATAGCGAGCGTTGCTTGACGAGTCCGACGATCTTGCAATGTTTTGAGCTGGACTATCGGTGGGTGCCTTGCAAGGGTGGTGGTGGGGGGGGTTGGCAGTCTCGATGTGAAGGCACCAGTTTAGTCGACGCCCTCGAAGCCCTGCGCATTCTCGATGGCGATGTTCAGCTTCTCCCGAAGGTCATCGAAGGACTCGTATGGTGGCAAGTCCAAGCGGTTAAAACTGGGGGACAAGTCACCAGACAGACGCACGGCAAGGACCCAGTCAGCAGAGGTGACGTGCGAGCACCCTCAACACGCGCACAACAGCCAGAAAGTATTTTCGCGTGACGCGATACTTTTGCTCAACGGATGACATTGCTCCGCTAACTGTACGCAATCACTGTTTCTTTGCCTCACTTGACATGTGACAACATAGCTTCGATGCTTGTATTTACGAGCATGGGAATTGTGAAAAAACTGCAAGGTTATTTGATATATATGAAATAATTAACAATGCACAGTGAAACTTCTCTTATCCGTGATAATGTGTAGATCATAGCCACTGATGCGTAGACTGGTGGATGTTAAGCCGTTAACCCACCACCACCCGACAGCCAATAAGTAAGGTTTAGTGTGAATAATCTTGGTCGCGAAAGCCTACGTGTTAAACGGATGTTAAGCATTACCCTTGAATTATCTAAAGCATCTGTGGTCTGGTGCTGCCTGCATCGTGGGTCACCCTCCACTGCTCCTCTTGTGCATTCAGAAGCAAAGGCTTTTCTTTGCAAATCACTAAAGTAAATTAATCCATTCTAATGATAAATGGCATTCGTAACACAGACCCAGGTACTCAATCAGCTGACATCTTGATCTCTCTGGCTGGCAGGCAGGCAATGAGATAGATGGTGATGCTGTTCTTAAGAGGTGTCACACTGCGAAGCTTTGCTTCTCGTGTTTATTAAATGCTCTAGATTGCTTCTGTTTTGTGGACAAATGCAAGGGAGATTGAGGCAAGGGCCGCCAAAGTGAATTGGGGTCTTCCGAACGCAGGACTAGTGCTCAACGATCGTGTATCCCACACAGTGCGGCTGCGAATGTCTCCACCCTGACGTCATGCAAACGAGCGTCTTTTAAACTGAAGATAATAAGTGAAAAAAATAAGTGTAAAATGTCAACCGCTCATGATTTGACGACTTTTCAAACCAATGGAGGCATCACTCTTGTGTTTTGCCCCTCCACCCCCATGATTAAGTACGATTTGATAGCGTATACAAACACTGAGTAGTGTGCGGCAGCTCTGCCAAGGTGCAGAGCGTGTCGTCCCGGCCACGTTCCAGCAACTGGTAGGGGACTTATACGGTGATCGGATTACCCACGAATCATCAGGGATCAACGAAGAGATGGGAACATTGACAGATCCCTTGGGCACCTTCAGATGAGAGGAGGATGGATAATGAGAGTGTCAATGTCCATGTAAAGGTGAGGAAATCAAGTCCTGGCTTTGGCGAAGACTTACCATGTGTGTGCTCGGGGTAGCTTTTCTGAAGTCGACCACATTTCAATGGTGAACAGCTGAGGTCCGTTGGAGCCTAAACGAAAACGCAGGAAAAAGCGTGAGTGCACAGCGTCGGAATGTAATCGGAAGTCGACAGAGCATATTCACGTTAGTTACGCACGTTTGTGTATTTATTTGGAATTTTATTGGTCGAGTGTGATGGTGAACAAAGCACAATCAGAGCGCTTTGCCAACAGGGTTGGTGGTTCATCCAGACATTATCATTCCTGCCGGGCTATGTGGTGTCAAAGTATATGGGGAAGTGTAGCAAGCAGGTTGTTGATCTTTTTATACAGAATTGTCGGCCTTTCCCCATCCCCCAACCAAGTAAATGTACACTTTATCCGGATACTCTGACAACACAATGCAGGAGCCGGGACCCATGAAAAAAACATCCTGATAAAGGTCACCCATGTTTTCTTGAAGGCCAATTCCATAACCTTCTTATCAAAGCCAAGAAACAGTCATCACCTGAACTTAAAGGCTCGTACTAACTGCTGAAAGCAAATAGGGTTCGTTTAGGGAGCCCACTTTAAACTGGACCGGAAACTACGCGGGGAGTTCCAAAGGGGGGCAAAGTGGCTGGACTGGTTGTCGGGAGTGGTGGCAATGCGGGCCAGACGACGGGCACACCAACCACCCACCCCCCAAAAGGGGCGCCCCCCCCCGCAACACCCGCGCCCGCCCCCGCAAACACCCGCGCCCGCCTGCTCGCGCGTCTCACCGTAGAGCTCCGCAAAGCCGTTCATGGGCACTCGAGACGTCCCCGTCACAAACTGCAACAGGCGGATTCGCTTCTCCCCATCCATGAGCAGCACAGCCTGCTCGCACGCACACACGCACACACACACATGCACACACGCACAGTCCGCATGACCAACGCAGAAGGCACGCACTCGTGTGCTTCTCCCACTCGCTGTGCATATTTCGAACAATGCAAGTTGAAATATAAACAGCGCTTCTAGCTTTAGACCGATGATGTGTGCCAATCTGTCCAACGTGAGTTTGAAGTTTTGTAGATTGCAAACATTACTTTCCTTTCCTGTATGGAGGAAAATATTACTTTCCTATTTGGAGGACATATGCTTGCCATGCTGCTGTGGGTGGTAGGGGCACCACAGGCGCCGTGTTTGCTCAAATGTTCTAATTTTCATCGACAATGATCTCACGTCCTGTTTGTGCCTCCAGCTCAAACAGCTGACCTCTCAACATCTATGCGTTGGCACTTGGCAATGTGCCCCAGCCACAACTCTGTTGCTGTGCAGTCCCAAAGCAGTGTCTCCTGAAGTGACCAACCTATTGGAACAATCGCAGAAACGTAGTAGTATGGTTTCTCCTGCCTACAGGCACAATGAACGCACGTTCATGGCAAGATTTTTATCGAGTAGGGCATAACCATGTGTTCATTACCCAGATGGAATCTCGTCAGGATCTGGCACTCTGCCCTACTTTATAGTTTAAATAATCGGCAGAGAAGCGTACGCCCACGCCCGTATGGATCGTATTTAGAGTTCCCGTGACTGGTTGTGTTCTGCTTTGTTAAACAACACTTTTTTTCCTTCCTTTGTTTTTGTTCGTAGAATAACGTAGCCATGCTTTGTATATATATTTTACCTTTGTGTCAAGGTTCCCTGTTCCTATAACGTCACCAAGATCTGTACCGTGTAATATCCGCACACGGTCGTGGGACGCCCATGAACTACTGTAGAGGATCATGGCTCATTGGGCCCATTCCTTCTGAAATAAAGAAAATCTACCCGAATCTTTGCGCAGCGGCCACCAGCGAAACCCGGGGCCACGGTGCTGTGCGCGGCAGCCCCAGTAGGGGGCACTGCGCCCGCACGGACCGGGGCTGCCGTTTACGCGGGTGCCGGGGTCTGCACAATGTTATACAAGCTCCCCATCTCCCAAATGTAAAAGTCATCTTCTTTCGACTGGATTTCTTTCCCCGCCTTAGTGATATATGCATCTCAGATTATATGTCTTGCGTAAGTACGGCGGAAATTTTCAAAGGTGCTTCTCCTGCACTATTCATGCAGGAACAGTACCTTTATGATGAAAACAAGTGCACAACGTTCAACTTGGATCATCCGAGGTGATGCAGGGGTTTTGAGGCAACACGTTTTTGTAAATTTGGCGTAATTTTTTGTTACACAGTTTACAGGCAAGCTTGGTGAGATATCAGTAAACAGGGGTCTCACCTACTGAGCAGCACTGCCTCATTAGGCCAGAATTGTGAATGGAAGCCTGCACTACACGCAGCCTCAACCAACAACATAGAAGGCCTGAAGAGGGCGACTCACAAACGTGGCGACGACTGCTTGGGGACCGGTCTCTAAACATAGACTCGTATTGACACGTCGCCCAACGGTATATCAAAATATCTGTTCTTCAGCTGTGTCGCATTCCTGTTCTAAGTACAAAAACAACACCATGTCCCTTCTAGTGCATCTATATTAGGCGCTCGCGAACATTATTGATGGGGCGAATTAGAGTATGTTAGCGCCGCATCGCTCGCATTGGGGTAGTGATCTACCGCAGCAACAACAACAACAATTGCATTTCTACTCGTCTGGGACTCACCTTCCAGAACCACTGGATGACGGGGTGGTTGGCACAGTAGCTGTTCTTGTAGATGGTATGCTGCCTCCAGTCGTTGACGTCCACGTCGCCCAGCCCGCACATGAGCAGCTGGCGCGACACGGAGCAGGGTTAGACGGAATTAGAATCAGAATATGTATTTATACTGGAGGAATCCGATGAGCTATGAAGCTCTTTTTCACAGATGTCCAGTTGGGGCACGGGGTAAGAACTTTACAAGACACAATACAACAACACGTGATAGGAGTCCAAGGTACAAGAAAGCTAAACAAATCACCCAAACATACAAACACTAAACCATCCCACCCATCCTGACGTATTAACTTATTGTTCAAAAGTGACATCCACAAATGACAGCCCAACAAAGTGGCCTATCATTTGGACATATATAGCAGCAAAATAATCTAAACAGTCTAAACGCATTTCCCTAAATGTGGAGGGAAAAATTGGAGGACCCGGAGAAAAAAACCCCACACGACCACGGGGAGGACACGCAAACTCCAAATATCCAGCAGCAGGCGTCAGGGTCGGGATGGAACCCCCAAGCTGCTGCAAACCAGGCGAGGAAGATCACATCTCACCACCGTGAAGTTGCCCACTTTTTCAATACCCCACTATAATAAACCCAACTTCGGCACTAAAGCGTCCCCTCGATCCGCGATCGGCCACGCCGACGAGTGCTCCCGCGGAGACACAGCCAAGGTTATTATATTTGTCCCATCTCCTCCACTAACCTTATTTCACACTCACATGATCACCATCAGCTATTGCATATTTACTGCTTCAATTAAAGACTCTGCACACCATCGCCATCCTTCACGGTTCTGTGACGCTGCAGTCCATCTCATTCCCTAAGCACAACAGATACAATCCTATATATTGTGCTTAAATGACGGCAATTGTATTTTGTTAATTGGATGTAAATGGTGGTGCAGCAGTTAGCACACCGCACAATGAACCTGGCTAGCCGAGTTAGATTCCTGTTCTATGGCTAACATGAGTGGCGGGTGATATATGACCCAATCCTGGGCTCCCAGTTCACAAAGCCGCATGGAGCAGCGTGGTTGATGCGTGGTCATCAAACAACCACCAATATCAACAATGGCGTGGGGAGGCCTTCATCCAGCAGTGGATTGACCAAACCCTATGAATGATGCACTAGGAATTTAATTAGCACCTTTGGCTACCCATAAACGTGAAGTGGTTTTTAGTTTTTTACGACGACCACAGACTACTCATTCTCGGACAAGTAGCGCTCATTCACCCGGTGACCTTGATAGCATTCAATTAGACACAAATGTAATATCTAAGTGGGTATCTACAAGGCATTAGTATGCATTATAATAAGGTTAAGAGCTTTCATACGAGCTGCTGCTCATGAAAAATAAATCAGATTGCCGAGGAAGACGAAGCATTTAAAGAATATAGTGCGAGCGTAATGGGCCAGCGCTGCCACGATGAGTGAGCGACAGTGGCCCAGGGGTAGAACACAAGCACGGTTGTGTCGAGCATCGTGGTTCACATCCTTTATACAAACGTGCCGTGTGAAGCATGCGGCAGGTCGTGACCACGTGATAAGGTTTACGACTGGACGGGACGATGCGTGATTGTGTGGGTGGGGGAAGTGGCACTATTTTAGTTAAGCGTTTGACTCAAATCCCGATCACGTGTTAACTCACCACATTAAGCTTTTTGAATTAATAAAAAAAGAGTACTATTTTGTGAGAAGTCATCCTACACAATGGCTCCCCTGCCATAGGAATGTGGAATTTCCACCACTTGCTCAGGGCCGGCAATGGACTTGAGTGCTGCCCCATTGCTCGTTTGAGCCATGTGCACGCCCTGACCTCTCGTGCACGAGGAGTACATTGAAGAGTCGCAAATGCTGCCAAGTGCCAGCACCACACACTGCAGGTTGTTGTTGTTGTTGTTTGTTGCACTCCGAGTTCTAGGTTGGAGTCTAAAACAGGTTTTTGGAAGTGTACCCAAACACACATCTCACTCATACCTCGAGTTCATTTTCGTCAAAAATCTTGATGAGGTCCATGGGAATGAGCTCGGAGAAGCCCTAGACACAGATACAACACAATTATACTCACAATTTACAGCGTTTCGCGAATAACAACAGAAACGTGCTACCGTTGAATGTCATTGAAAACACCTTGTGTGACGACTGTGAATGTTTAACATCATGGGTGTAGTCATTAGTGAGAGACCAACCTCCATGAAGGCATTTATTTGCTTCTGAACTCGTTCCACAAACCTCCACTGGATGACCAACCTGGAATGCAGTTGCACACACGCACACACACGCACACGCAATCACAACACATGGCGCAGAGCTGCACATTCGCACGCTTGCGCACAACCACCGTGCATATTTTGGCCTCTGTTGGGTCAAGAGAAGAATGGCTGGCAGCCCTGTGTGAGTGTTTGCTCGTGCCCCTGCTGGCCGAAGGCACAGGGCGAGAGTGCAAATGTTGAGAGCCCTCTCCATGGTATTCTGGCCGACTCTCCCACACCGGCCCGACTTCTTGGAAAATGTTAGAGTACCCACAATTGCTCCCACTGCACGCAACCTGCTGATCTGACTTAACTCTGCTGTGCCCATTTACACTGCTGACAGGACGGAGGCAGGGGAAGGGGGATTTTAAGAACCTTGCACCGTTGTTTGACCGACTGCCCCAGGAGATCGAACCTAACCCAGCCACCTCCGGAGTGCTCAGCATTACGCACCAGCAGACATCACCCCCCTTTACTTTTGTACAATTAAACAAGGAACTGGAATATTTCTGATAATGCAGTTAGAGTAACAACACACCAGCAACAATAACAAAGCATTTGCACAGCACGTGCGTGCCCTGTTGCCGGCACACCACAAACAACAATTGGAGCATTACAGACGCAGCAGGGATCAGGAGGGAGACTGGGAGGGGGGTGGAGACTGGGTGGAGCAGCCTCATGCGTCATATTTGCTGAAGTGAGGGATTATTATAGCGGGGATTGAAAAAAGTGGACAATTTCTAGAATTGTAAGTTCCCTATTAATGTATTTCTTATAATTAGGGTTCAAGCTTTAGCAACATATTCCTGTATACAATGCAATTGGGATTTATATAGCATCTAAATGCAGCTGCAGATAAAGACTGCACAAAAACAATGGGCACATTTATTTGATGGATAGAAAGAGGCAGTCAAGAGAACAATCACGGGAAGGCATACGTTATACGTCGATCGAGATCCAATTTAAAGCACACGCAAACGTATAAATGAGAAAGATGGCAGGGGGGGACGTTCTGTTACAACGTTTGTTTGCTTGTTCTTGATTATTTCAAAGTGGCTTATTTCGAAGTGCCCCAAAGTCCAGGCAGGTTTACACCCAAGATGGCCCAGAATGGAATTTTAAACTAAAAAACATCATAAATAGGTCATCAATATTCCATCAGCAGAGTTACGAGGCTTGTAAAATCACTGGACCTGTTTACAAGGTCGATTTTCTTTCATGGATCATAACGTTTTTTGGGCACAAGTTAATTCAGACACTATAATAATACGTTGTTTTGTTTCCACAATTTCTGCAACCCTAAAAAAATACAATCAATGGGGCTTTGTGAAGCAGAGTTGGTACATTCACAGCCTTCCACTGGCCCTGCATGCCCAGGCAAGGGAAGGAATGCGCGCAGTAATTCAACACTCACTCAATGTACTCCTTTTTGTTCTCATTGGTCACCAGAATTTCAGAACCATTTGGCTTCAGCTCCACCAGGTGAGTCTGCAAAAAAAAAAGGCAAGGCCAACAGAAACAAATGGTTATTAACACCCGGTCTACATCCCTGAAGCGAATCACTTCCCCCGTGCCTTGGGGGACGCGCTCTCATTTCCATCGGTGCCAGCGAACACTGCGGAGTCGACTGTTGAGTCACTTAAGTGGGCAGCGACTTTTTTTAAAGTCGCAAAAGGTGCTCAAATTCCATTATCCGTTAAAGCGCCCAGTGCACTGAGATTCAGATGTACACCTGCAATGAGGCTATTAGTGGTGCATTCTGGTTGGCATGGACCCTGATAGAAGGAATTAAATGCCCCTCCCCCCCCCCCCGTTCAATTTCCTCGCACTCTGGCCCAGTGCCTGCGCCCCTCCGACTCAAAGGCCCTGGTGCAGATGCACGGCCTGCGCACGTCAAAGCCAAGCCGCCAACTCCTCTCAACGTTCAAAGTGCTTTCCATCAAGACCACAGCGTGTGGATTCCATGCAGTTTCGTACAACCCCGTTCCTTGTTCTCTCACACCAATGTGCATAGGAAAGGAAACGGTGCCCAATGAAGATGCACGTGTGAATATGATGGCAGGAACCAGCCCTCTCCATAGTATGAACACTGGCGACTTCCACAAAGTAGCACTTCGTTAATCTACTCCAGAGATTAGAAGTATAGGATGAGTTACTAAAACATGCCTCATTATTGGAACTTGTGTCTATCAAGACTAAAACTGTTATTTATATCGAGAAACCATTACAAATACACGTAAAAAATATTTCAGAATATCATCGTTACTGGATTTAAAATAATCATTGCGGTCACTAATACGTCCACATTTAACTTGTCCATTCTCTTGTCACTGCCCTGACCATTATCACGACTCCCTGTTGATTTACGTCAGTGCTACTGTCATTCTAAACGAAGCATTGCTGAATTATTGGAAGTATCAATAACGATGACGGCACCATTATTATCAGCCTTTACGGAGGATGGTTTATCGGTGTGGTAACCGAGCCTTTGAAAACTAAACAAAGCACTGTGAATGTTTTATGAATTTTCACAATGCAGCTACTGGAAATGTAATATTTCACTTCAAGGTGTTTCTTCGTTTGATGCATTTTGCAACCGTAATGTTGAAGTATGTTGCCAACGATTAAAACAAGAATTCTAAGGAAACATTAGCCTTTCTTAATTTTGGAATTACACTGCATGTTAAAACGCTCTAATGAATATTTAATCACTTTTAAAATTAACACACCGACCTGGTAACATAAAACATTTTCAAATCTAGGCCATTACATGAAAGGTTTTGTACTATACTACAGTTGAATTATAAGCCATGAGATTGATGGCAATAATGTCACTACCGTATCAATTTCAAGCCACTGGTGTAATCCTGACAGAGAAATTACAGAGGGGAAGATGGCGATCTACGTGACGAAATAAAGAGGCAGACAACAGCGGGATGGGAGTTCTTTTCTCCACCCGAATTTGATAAAGGTGACGGACCATTGTGCCAGAAAGAAGAAAGTTGTCAATCATTGCACGATACTTTCTACGACAACGGATTCAGGGGCAGTAAAACTACTAGCACTGTGCGGCACGTCAACAACGGTCGTCCACTCTCCGTTTCAAAAGGCGACGGGGGTGCTTTCCCCCCGGTGCTCGTCCGAGCGAGAGAGACGGCCGCGCTTCACGGTTTGGGCATTCCCTTGCGAGTGTTGCTCGCCGCACAAAGTTTGCAATCAAACGGTCGCCTTGGGCCACTCACCTGGCCAAACATCTCCTCGTCGATGCAAAAGCGTAAGTCGAGGTCTGCGGGATCGTTCTCCAGGATCCACATGAGCGAGTTGTAGTACTCGCTGTCCTGCATGGGAAGGCGCCCGCACGCGACACGAGCGGAAAGATCAACAGCCGTCCTTGCACGAGCCTCACCGAGTGCACTCCTCTTACCGCCGGCGTGATTGTCTACATATCTTTGCACCTTGTTCGTATGAAATAAGGGCCCGTGAATCCCATTTTATGGCTGCGTTTTGTTCCGTCTCACCGGCCGACTGGGTGACTGGAATCTTGATTGACAGCTGGATCGTTACCGTTTCACAGGAATCGATGCGAATGAATCGATGAGACGCACCTGTCATGTCACTGGTTTCAAAACGAGCCATAGTACAAACGTGCGTACTCTACCCTCCACCTGGCGCACACTCACATCCACTCGTGTACACCGCGATGACGTCAGCTTATCCAAGTCTAGTCAAAGGTCCACACAGCTATGCTCGGGTCAAGACGAGGGCAACGCGAGGCCACAAGCACACAGGGCAACGGGTAACGAGGCCCACGAGTGCACGGAGCGGGCACCCACCACTGACTCCATGTCGTTGAGCGTGATGGGCTTCTGGAGCATCATCTTGTAGAAGGGCCGGATGAAAAAGCCTTGAAGAGACAAATACTTCACTTTAGAGATGGCTGAGCAGACAGCAAATAAAGTAGGTTGTTAGTTTACATGCTTATTCAGAGTTAAATGGAATGGCTTAATTCTTAATCTTGTACACAGCCAAGAGGAACTTTCTGCTCTGGTCAATGGTCATTAGGAGTTTTTTTTTAATTCTCAAGTTCAAGAGTGGCTATAACAATTATATTGGAAATTGCTCAAATATTTGAGGACAAAGTATGAGTCTGCATTGGAGCCTGCCGAGGGCTGGTGCTTGGTAATTTCCAATTTTTGTTTTAATCACCTCAACCATTGTTGATTTTTTGATGCCAGCATGTAAACACGACGCACGCCCTACACAGCGGCACGCGTGTGTAGCGGACTAACGCGCGGCGTGCCTTTGTGGGGAATGAATGCGACAAAACACCTCAGAACTACCTCTGGTGTCTAACATTTCTCTCTTGCCATGACCCTGGCTGCTGCCAAATGAACGGTTGTATTCGAAACACAAAAATCAACTGGGGCGCAGAGAATTCACCAAAAACTCAGAGAACACTCCGTCAAATCGGAACAGGTGGCGGCTATCATATTACACCCTGTGTACACTCGAAAATGCAACAAAACGCATAACGTGCGCACGACTGCCGTAACACAGCAGCCACTTTGCCCTTGAGCAGGGGTGGGTGGTACAAGCGGAACTCCCACCGTCGAGGAGCTTTCCGTGGAACACCGCCATGCCGGCCACACGCCCGATGAAGGTGAAGTAAGAGAGGTGTTCCTCGTTGCACAAGCCCGAGATGGGGTTGATCTGCAGAGTGTAGTTGTCCCTGCCGTGTCGTGAGAAACGCAGAACAGAGCTCACCGAACAGAACTGCGGTCAGACTTTTTATAGCGTGCACGGCCTTAAAGGCTTAAAGAGGCAGCAATCAAAGTGACAAATGCTATTATTTGGCAGATATACTGCAGGGTTGCTGGGCTGTGCGATACAAGCTTGAAGCTTTGTTAAACGAGAAACGAGACCTTACAGTTTTGGTAAAGTGCATGGTTTCGGCACGGTGATGGTCACACATTACGATGGAGCATCTGAGCCTGGTCTGAAAGTCGATATTTATTAAGTTAATGTTTAATATTGTAAATATGGACTGTGATGTCTGAATTTGTTTACATAAGGATTTTCCTGTGGCGCAAGGAGCAAGCCCATGCCTGGTAGGTAATGTGTGCATCACGCAGTGTTGTAGAGATGTTAACTACCTCGCCTGGTATTCAGGAGGTTGTGGGTTCAGCGCAATCCTTATGCCTGGAAAACTGGAGTTTGTATGTTCTCCCCGTGGTCGTATGGAATTTTCCAGGTCCTCCGGTTTTTTCCCCTCCACATTTAGAAACGTACGTTTAGAGTATTTGCCTGCTGCTATCAAATCCCACAGGATAAGCCACTTGGCTGAGCTACCATTTGTAATAGCCACGTCACTTCTGAAAAAAAGAGCTACATAGCTCAGTGGGCCTTACTTGGCGAAATAAAAATAGTTATAATTAGTTAGATGTTGTCGCGTGTGTGGTGTGAACTTCTCGAGTGCGGCCACTTTGGTGGGCAGGTTTAGTGGCGACTCGTTCACGAGCGCAGCAGGCGGCGCGAAGAGTCAGGGCCGCGCGCACGGCAGAACGTAATCGCGGGGGGCAGGGAGGTTCACGCACGTGGCCGAGTACTCGAAGAGGCCGTAGTAGGGGTTGAACATCTCCTTGGAGATGAGGAAGAACCACTCGCGGGCGACGCCGCCGTAGTCCAGCCCCTTCTCGCCATCGAACTCGATCCACAGGCGCGCCTTGAGCAGGTCGGCGCGCTTCACGGCCACGATGCGCCGGTACGAGTCCTCCAGGATGCTGGCGCGGTGCAGCTTCATCTCGAAGCGGTTGGGGATGTCGGCCTGGGCGGGCGGCGTGGGGCGACGCGGCACGCAGTTACACGGGGGGGTGGGGCGCGCGGGTGGGGGGGCAGCAAACGCGTGCCGATGCACGAACGCGAGCGTGCAAGTCGCTCGTGCCCCTGCGCTTCAAGAGGGTGGCGGCGCACGCGCGGTGCGAGAGATTGGACACGTGAGCTCGGCTTACTGAGCGGCCGTTGGACACGCTCCCTCCCCGATTCTTGACCATTATTCGTGCGCATCCACTCAATACGCCGGGGCGAGTAGAAACCGTCTTATAATACCTTCCAAGCTATGGCAGGTGCATAAAAACGGGGACACGCAAGAAAAATATTCACACGTGCACACAACACACATTTCCTGCCAATCAAGTTCACTCGCCTAAATTTCCCTCGTTTCTGGCAAAAATTACACTTTTTAATTAAAACTTGTAGCTTGCTCAATAATAGACTAACATTTTACACCAATCAAATATGTTTTAATGGGCACTGCAAAGTAGAAACACTAAACAACGTAAAAGTAAAAAAATAATAATCACTCACCGGCTTCTTTAATTTCTTCCTGAAGAAGTCGTACTTCTGTTTGTAATCCCTTGAGTAGGGCACAGCCTGGGCAAACAATGAAGCAAGTTGGAACTCAGCCGGCAATACTGTCAATGCACAGTGTACATGTTAAAAACAAGCGCAACAACATTTACAATGGAGTACGATGTACAACCAGCACCATCAGGCAACTGCCTATTGATGCTGCTTGTTGTAATCGCCAACGAACGCCTCGTACTCAATTGTGAATGTTGCGTTTGCTATCTAACACACCGGTGTGCTGAAGCAGGAACGACGTGCCACGTTGTGTTCACGTGATGAGCCTTGCTAACTGGCTGTGTCGGGTGTGAGGTGGGTGTACGACACATTTACACGACCCAATTGAAACAACTTCATCGTCAAGGATATTTTGGTTGCGAACGCCTACTTGTTAAATAATTGAAAACAAGCACATTTTAGCTGACATTCCATGTGTCGGCATTTAAATGTATTAACTTGGAACGCGAGCATCGGCAGGCGAGTCGTTGGCACGAACATCGGTCCACATCTCCTGCGTGTAACAAAAACCCAGCAGAACTTCCCAGATTCCATCTCCGGCGGAGACACCGGACGACGCCAAACAGTATCCACCGTACGTCGGTCGGCAGATTCGGGGAACTATTTTTCATATTACCAGGTAAGGCCCACGGAGCTAGATTACTATTTTTCAGAAGTGACCTGGCCACAAATTAAAGGTCAACGAAGTGGCTTAGCACGTGGACATTTATTGCAGCCAAATACTCGAAAATCAAAGTTGATTCTAAATGTGGAGCGGAAAAACTGGAGGACCCAGATACAAAATCCACACGACCATAGGGAAAACATGCAAACTACAAATACACATGCAGCAAGCATCAGGATTGGGATCGACCCCACGACCTTCTGTATACCAGACAGGGTAGTTAACATCTCGCCACCGTGGCGCCCCTACCACACGAGTGGGGAACCGAGGACTCGCGGACGTAGCGAGGTACGGCCCCAAGAGCCACATCGTCCAATGAGTGCTCAATGCACGGAGTTTCCAGAGGAGCGATCCACCTTGCCACCCTGGAGTGGCGTGAGCTGCAGTTGCAGGGCTGTGCCACCGTGTATTTGATGTTTGCACAATTAGGGCAACTTCAATACAAAAAAGCACCTGTAGGCACTTGCAAATCAAATATCTCAATACTCGTGATGGAGGTAGACTATTGCATGTAGTTCACGCGTATTTTGTTTAACCGGGTGACAACTTCAGGAGACAAGTAAAGTCACGTTTGCAAGAGTGATGCAGAAATCACAGCCATGTTACTCAACTGCATCAATCTCCAGATATCTTATAAACGGGTGTGTACACATTATACTTCCCAGCATAAATAAAAACACGTGACATAACGATCCTGCTCTCCTTATTATGGATGCATCTTAAAGCCACAAGGGGTAAGAAATAATTAAACATGAGGGCAAACTCATTAGGCTACCATTTGTAAAGAATTCCACAGAAACCCCTCTGCAAATCATTAACCCAAATTGTTAAGTTGGAAAGCAGTTTACTGCAAGGAAAGCATTTACCCTTTAGAAGACTACCATTCCAGATCCGTTTTGTGCTCTTTAGCAATAGTCAACAAGACCCCTGCACACACAGGCATCTCAAGACGTGCTCATTCCCCAACACGGTGGGTGTCTGGGCAACTTCTAGAGCTGGTCTGGGTAAACAAGTGTTGCCAACTCTTAAATCAAACAATGGGTTCAGTACCCCTCCGTCTGAGAGCTTAAACGCACACTTTGGAAACTCGATTTTTTCTCCGGCGGAGGCCAACCTCCCTCCACAAGCGTGCATCGTCGAGTGTCCTCACAGTGGCGGTCGTTTTGTTGACCCCTAAGGGATGATGGTCTGAATTGACCTCTTGACATAACAGAGATTTGAAGTGAGAAATGCCTGACCGAGTTGTTAGCAATAACTAAAGTGTCATCTGTCTGGAGAACAACCATAGGCTCTTATACATTCAGGCATTCTCATGTCTAATTAAAGCACAACCAGGCCGTCTTGTAAGACACCTGTAGGTAAATAGATCAATGATGTTAAGATGGCAAAGCAACACGAGGAGGTTGGAACAACAGCCACGCCAGTCACACGACCGTCTTTGTTGCACAGGCTCGGGCCTGCTTGACTTAGGAGATGGGATTATATTGGGTGCATTCCGAGCGATCTGGCCACGAACGCCGATGACCGAGAGAGTGGAGAGCGCTCACCGGGCCAGTGATGGCTGGGTTCTGTAGCCGGGGATCCTCCCACTGCGTGTTCTTCGTGTCTGCGCGATGGGGAAATAACAAAACAGCCCGAGTAACCGAGTGCGCTTGTTCTGGAGTAGCTGGATGCCGTGCACTTCCATGCCGCGTTCCCACGGGCACTTGTTGGGCCAGATTCTCACAGCAGCCTCCGCCGAGCTGCAGCTGGCCCACGCAGCTCACTTAATATCCCTTTTCCACTGTCACATCCGAGCCAGAGCGTGGCGCCTCAACAGTACAGGTGTGCGGAGCTGGAGTGACACGTGGGAGGTGAGACAGGTGAGTAGAGTCTGGTTAGTGGGATGAGTTGGGCGAGTGGGACATGGTGGATTAATCGGGTGAGTCAGGTGAGTCGGGTGAGTGGTGTGAGTGGGGTGAGTCGGATGAGTGGAATGAGTTGGATGAGTCGGGTGAGTCGGGTGAGTGGGGTGAGTGGGATGAGTCAGGTGAGTGGGGTGAGTCAGGCGAGTGGGGTGAGTCAGGTGAGTGGGATGAGTCAGGTGAGTGGGATGAGTCAGGCGAGTGGGGTGAGTGGGGTGAGTGGGGCGAGTGGTGTGAGTGGGGTGAGTCGGATGAGTGGAATGAGTTGGATGAGTCAGGTGAGTGGGGTGAGTGGTGTGAGTGGGGTGAGTCGGGTGAGTGGGATGAGTCAGGCGAGTGGGGTGAGTCGGGTGACTCGGGTGAGTGGGGTGAGTCGGATGAGTCAGGCGAGTGGGGTGAGTGGGATGAGTCAGGCGAGTGGGGTGAGTGGGGTGAGTGGGGTGAGTCGGGTGAGTGGGATGAGTCAGGCGAGTGGGGTGAGTGGGATGAGTCGGGTGAGTGGGATGAGTCAGGCGAGTGGGGTGAGTGGGATGAGTCGGGTGAGTGGGATGAGTCAGGCGAGTGGGGTGAGTGGGGTGAGTCGGGTGAGTGGGATGAGTCAGGCGAGTGGGGTGAGTGGGGTGAGTCGGGTGAGTTGGATGAGTCAGGTGAGTTGGATGAGTCGGGTGAGTGGGATGAGTCAGGTGAGTGGGGTGAGTGGGATGAGTCAGGTGAGTGGGGTGAGTGGGGTGAGTGGGATGAGTCAGGTGAGTGGGATGAGTCGGATGAGTTTGGCGAGTGAATGGGGCAAGTGGGCTGAGCGAGGCTCTGTGGCGCTCACTGTGGTCGATGTAGAAGGTTCGTCCGTCCGAGTGCGTGCGCTCCTCCCAGCCGGGCTGTGGGGAGAGCGCAGCGCCGTCAGGACATGACACCGTGTACACCTCGCTACGTGGACACCGTGTACACCTCGCTACGTGGACACCGTGTACACCTCGCTACGTGGACACCGTGTACACCTCGCTACGTGGACACCGTGTACACCTCGCTACGTGGACACCGTGTACACCTCGCTACGTGGACACCGTGTACACCTCACTACGTCTATTAAACATCCAAATGCAACCGAATCGCAAAACGTTGTGCTACGTGGAGGAAATGTGGTTACATGAGGGAGAGGAAATAATGAAAACCGGGGATGCAGCATAGTTGACAATGAAATATGGGACAGAGAGAAAAGGCAGCCATAGGCAGCGGCAAAGCGTAGATCCTTCAGGGTGGACTTCGACAAAAGAAGCCGCCAGTGTGGATGGCCAACGAGAGGAAGTTCCAGACACTGACGGGAGAACGTGGGGGGGGGGGCATTTTAATTGAGCCGCGGTTGACTGGGGGTGTTGAGAGAAGATCTGTTTTTATGGAACAGAGGGCCACAGGAGAGGGGAGTGGAGCGAGAGGGAAGAGGAGAGGGAGGTGGGGGCAAAGTCCTTTTTAAGATTTCAACGACGGTGAGGGCCAACCTTGCAAAATGGACAAGTGAGAGGATTCCAGAAAGGGCAGCAGGTGAGAATGTTTAATCTCCTGTTGAGGAAACATTGCTTTGCGATACTGCGTTCGAAGTATTGCACAAGCAACAAGATAACAAAAAACTGAATAAAAATCATCAATAAGTGCCAAAAGAGGGATAATAAATGTGCTACGTATCAGGAAATGTCCCTTCTTCGAGGCACATTCTGTAGAGCAGCGTTACGGATGAACGTGTTGGGTTTACCCTATCGAGTAAAGGGGCGACTGGAGGTGTAGATAGGGGGACTTGTTTGCTGGAGCAGAGGGTACGGGGGAGATAAGTAAATTGAGATGAGATGGGTTAAGGTAGGGAGGTCAAAGTTCATAAGGAAATATAAATGACAAAAACAGTGGAAGAACCTGAAGAGTGGGGTGATGTGGTCTCGTTAACAGGTACAGGTGACAATTCTGCACTTGGACAGGGGGAGGGAGTCAGCAGCACAACACAGAGAGGGAAGCAAACAAAAGCTGAGAAAATCAGAAAAGACTGTGTTTCATTTCGACGTGAACATGAGCGGAGGAAAGTGAGCAGGAGCCTGCTGCTGGTCACGGTCCACGCGTGTCTGAGGGTGCCACGTCCGAGGTGTTGTACCGGCAAAGGGCCCAGTTCTGATGGGTCCAGACTGGGTCTCATCCGCATGTGGACGGGCACTTTGAGGCGTGGGTCCTCCTGCATTGGCAAGTGGGACAAACGGAACACCGGCTACATTAATGGAACACTACAAGTGCCTTCACGTTATTTTAAATTAAAAACGATACATATAAATGAGAACACCTTCATAAACAACGATTCAATGGCCGAAGACATCTTAATAAGACATATAAAAGACGGGCTTGCGTGGTGCCAATGGTGTCGGTAGTGCCGGTGGCGCGGCGTACCCATGTGGTCGTGCGGTTGTTGTGGTCGATGAAGAATGGGCGACCGTTGGGGGCGAACCTCATCTCCCAGCCGGCCGGCAGGAAGCTGAAGCCAGGGCAGCCCTTGTGCTTCTGCTTGGGGGAGCCGTACGGAGACGCCTGCGGCGAGTCCAAGGGGGGCTGTGTGAACGACGGCGGCCCGTTGCGGCCACCTCGCATGTCCGGTATGTTCTTCGCAGGTCACAGGTGGGAGGGGGAAGGGGAGGGGGGGGGAGCAACGAAGGAGGATTCTCGTCAACCGTCGCAGGCACCGTGGGGTTCTCGCTTGCTTCACCTCCCCCCGCATCTAACAATTAACTGACATTAGGGTGGTAAGGATGGTTATGATGAACATTTTTTAGATTTGTCAGAATTATAGAATAGCAATGGTTAAAGGAATCCTACGGATTTGTTAACATGAACATCAATGAAAATGACTGAGGTTTATATCAGCCGGCAAACTTTCGATTTTGTAAATATACTTATTTATAGCCACATCGCTGAATGAACAGAAATATTAATTTACTAACATTGTCTAAGGTCGTTATACTTTCAGGGACTCCAATATTTATCTGGCAATCACCTCATGTAAATTACATTCTGGGCTGGCCTTAGGCCGTGTGAGTCTTGGAATGGCTCATTGATGAGCCTTGGTCAAGCCGAACCCTTCCGTGTCTCCCATGCTGCAGAATGCCTATTTTTTTTAAAACGCGCCAGCTTATACGTGCTGCTACACCAGAGAGCCATGACGAAGAAACGGAATTTGTATTATTACAAGGAAACGCACCATTAGGACCAAGGTCTGTACCCAGCCACCTGGTACAGCAGACATATACCTCGTACCTCCACGGCACAGCAGCTGACGTCTATGAAGCCACCGTCCAGGTTGGGCACCGAGATTGGCCCTACAGCGGCGGGGCGGTGAGCGTCGGTGATCGCACGAACGTGCGACCCCCAGGGGGAGGGGTGGGGGGGGCGCTTTGGCGACGTCGGCGGAACACGGCGCTCACCTCCTGGATGGCGGGCGAGCTGAGGCTGCGGGGTCGTCGGATGGGCGCAGAGGGACCCTCCGAGGCCGGGGCCCCCGCCGTGGCAGCCCCCTGCGTGGCGTAGTCGGCCTGCTGCTCGGAAACATTGGCCAGAGGTCGGGAGGGTCAGCGCGAGCTGTGTGCCCTTCCAAGTGATTCGGTCAATATCCAAAAATCGAAGTCGTCCCCCTGCTCAAACAAGTGGCACCCAAAGCCCCCGGAACGAGTTACAAATGCCGAACTTAAACGGGGAGGCCTAGTCTATACCAAAGGACGAATGAGTTTTGATTCTCCGCAAAGTGCTACTCATTTTATTGACCCTGATGGAGAATAAGTGAAGACTATCCCCGGCCAACAATTGAATAAATCAATGGGCATTAATTTAGAAACAGGCGAGATCCCATTGGAAGCAAGGTCTCTCATTTAACAGAGACCGACTTGGGACCAACATTTTTCATTAACATACTCTTTGGTTCTTTCGGTAAAGTCTCGTAGGTAGAAAAATAAAATAAAACAGAAAATAATATATCACGACGTTTCGATCGCAACACAAGTGGTCGTCCTCTGGCGAAAAAAATAATCCAGCAGTGGAAATGTTTTTGTTTTATTTTATTTATTTTTCTACCTACGTGACTTGACCGAAAGAACTAAAGAGTTTGGATTCCTGCAGTCACGAAAGCTTCAAATCAAGACTTTTCATTAAGTTGGGCGAAGAGCAGGTTTGACAAAGGGAATGGTTGCTGTCTTGGTGGGCTGATGTGAGACCAGCCCTACTGGCCAAACGTTGTCCCATGACTACCGTCCCTAAGCCAACGCCGTCCTACTCCATACTCAAAAAAATCTCAAGCGTGATTTAACACTTTAACGTCAGCTTTGAGCACCACAGCAAATCAATGCGCAGCGACCACTCCTTGCGACCTCCACGAACGCCGTACCACGTGGACTGCCCAAGCCGAGCGGCTGCTACCTGCACGATGGGCCTCGTCCACGTGGTGGTTCGGTTGTTGTGGTTGACGAAGTAGGAACGCCCCTTCTCGTCCTTCCTCTCCTCCCAGCCCGGTGGAAGCCCCGGGGTGGTGAAGGCCTGCGGCACCACCACCTGCAGGGCACGCGGGGGGCAGGGCCCGGGCACGGCATCACCGCGGCTCACTGGCAGGGCGGTACAACAGGCAGTGCCACCGCTCCCTCCTGACCATGGTATGACGGTGCCTAACAACTACAAACAGCGGTGGCCATAGCGGGGAACGGTTCTGCGTGGGGATGCGACGATCTGCTTCGGCGGTACGCGGTTATGCCGCAACCCTCTCTCCTCAACGTGTTCTAGAATGAGTGGCCACTGCAACGGTCGGTCTACACGTAAAAGGTAAAGACGTGCCTCGTATTGACTGTAGGCTGCTGTGGGAGGGTTGCCTCTAATTGGTTGAAAAATGAGACAGTTTTGGATTTTTGTTGAAAGTGGGAGGGACACGGAGTAGTTCTGTAGTTTAACACCGAAGTAGATTTGGCCACACCTAATCACAGGTGGCTTTAGACAACCTGGAATGACTCACTTTGATAATTTGAGGTAAAATTAAATATTAATCCTTGTAAAAACATGTCAGTGTTGTGCTCAATTGTGGTTTATTGCCACACCATGAGCTACTATCACAGTAGTAGCTCCTGTAGTCACGAAAGCTTTAAGTCAAGATCCACGATCATAGCTCACACATTGGGCCTGCGTTTCTGCATTTCCACCACCAACTGTGAATAGTCAATGACTTAAGAATGTTTTTTTACTGGGGTGCTCCATATATGCAGCGATGTAGCCTCCTATTGCATCACATCCATTAAGCCATGGCCAGGGAATAATGCTTGGCAACACTGCACATTGCTAATGTCACCCGTTTTGACACAGTAATGATCAATTTGCTTCATTTTTTTTGTTTAAGATTGTATAATACTTGTCATTATTGCTCAAAATTTACCAAATTGTTGCAAAAATCGATGGAAGGTGAAGATCATTGTTGAACTTTATATTTTAAGTGACATTGTTATTGTTTGTGTTTTTTACGCATTATTATATAGATTATAGCGCAATTTTAATATAATTCAATAAAGCAGATGCAGCAATACCACACGCGTCAAAGATGCAACAAGGGCAGCGCAAAGAAAAAACCCTGCACAAGTTATAACCATGAGAGCACCACCATTGGGTTAACCGCAGACAGGTGCCTTTTCAAGTACAGCATGCGCAGAACAACAGGGCACCCTGGAACGGCTGCTTACTTAAAAAACCACCACCACCACCACCACCCACCACGAGCGGTGTACGAGTCCCAGGACAGGGGAAGAGTGTAAAGGGAGATCCCAGTAAGGGAAACCACACAAGGGAAAAAGCAGTAGCAGAGTTTAGTTTGCTTATTAGTTGGGCCCTCGATAGCGATAGCGGAGTACCGACGAGAGCGGAGGACGTGAGATGCTTCATGCCAAACTCCCCCATCCCCTGGCGCTTCAAGTTCCCATTGCCGGGCGATACCGCCCACTATCTGCGTTTGCTCATCGCAGGTACAAATCGCGAGAGCACGACAGAGAGCGCTGTAAGGGCATTTATCACATTCAGCAGATAGAGCTGGAGGATGCAAAAAAATGTAGCAAACTCCGATGCAAGCCTCGCCGGAGTATCTCCATTCTGTACGTCTGCCGAATTGTAAACGGACCTGAAATCCACAAGATCTCTTCGACTACGTCACGTAACATTACTTAGTCTAACACTGTTAAAAAAACACGGCTATTTTGCCAGTGATCACTGGCAAACGTACAGACAAGAGACATTTTCTGCCAGACAACACAGAAAATCAGGGACAAATACTAAATTGGAGGTCTCCATGGTTGCGAAACATTTAAATTTGCCAGTGCAGCTGGCTCCAGAGGGCGAGGAGTAAAAACGCTATTGGCACACATTGCAGACCCACAGTGCAGAATCTGTGTAGCGTTGACAGCGCTTGTTCATAGCCCATTCGTTCTCGAACCATAAAGCCAAGCCAAAACGTCTCCCGGCTCGAATGAGCAACAAGGGGGCCACTCGTGGGCCAGCTAACCCCTTGGCCCGGATTTAATTGTGCAACCTTCTGCCCGAGCCACACGGGCAGAGGCCCACGGCTGGTTATGACGAAACTTCACAATTTGGCTTCCGTATCTGCAAGTTCCATGAATTCGTCCATACAATGTGTCACTCAACAAGAAAACAGGATATTGATGACATGGAGGCGTTGATTGGTTAAGGGGGTTCCCCACCTCACCCCCCCATGGTCTACAGTGAACTCAATGCAGTTTGCAGCAGACAGATCATTATCCTACAGAGCTTCACAGAAATTGATTCATGTTTTGTCTTGCGTAAATGTTTAATTGCCCCCGCTAACAGGAAACGTGTTTCTAAGCATTAAATATTCTTGAATAATTACAATGTATGGCTGACTGTTCAGGTGCAAGTTTGTAATAAAACAAACATCTTTGTAGGGCTGGCTAAAGTATGGCTGCTGTGAGTTCCATGTAATTGCACGTGGCACTTTATGGACATGGCTACAATAAACGCTGTAGAACGCTAAATGGGAGGGGGGGGGGGGAATGATGCAAGATCGTCAGCAACCCCTGCATACGATCAGCAAATTCTCATTTTAGCACTGACGATATCACGCGCCTATTGAGCCTCAAAGATAAACATGTTGAACATGTCTGATGGGACAGGTGTGTATGAAATAAATTTTGGACGAAATCAAGAATCTAGCCTAACATGAAATGAAACACAAGGAACACGTGCTCTCATGCAGACATTGTTAAGGAGGTTACTGCACTAAATTCTCGTACGCAAATCCACGTATACGGCCGTCATACAAGTCTGATTGTCGTAGGATTGAAATGTAAATGTTCTTTCCGCACCTACAGCCTCGCGATAGTGAGCAAAGCTTCAACACGTGCAACGGCACGGCTTCTTTCAGACATTATTCTTCTTCTATTAGTGGCAAGGCTTTCTGTAAAGCTTCTTTGTTCATTGTTTTGTATGTTGATGTTTTAATGAGGCTCGTCCAAAAAAGGGGCTTAACACTCGGCTCAAGTTGGGGATGGTGAGAACCGAGGAGGAGTGAAGGGGGGGTGGGAACGCCCCCCCCCCCACACTCCGGGCCCCTCCCCCCTGCCCCAACTGGGCTGGCTGCCCCCCCCCCCCTCCGGCCGCTGCGAGTGTTTGCCTGGCGGCGTTCCCTCACGCCGGGACCGCGGCCAGCGCTCGCGCGAAACAACGCGGCCCCGGCCAGACAGCGCACAGACAGGTGCAGGGGCTGGCCAGCAAATTAGGTCATGGAAAGGGGGGAAAAAAAACCACACGGTCGTTTCTCTATAAAGCTTCCCACTTTGCCTTGGTCCCCCGAGAGAGGGGGGAGAGAGAGAAAATCCGCCGAAGAAAAACAGGAATGTGATTGGATCACGTGGTTACAACAAAAATCACAAGAGCGGCGTTGGTGGCGTGACGCCGCGGTGGCGCGGCTGGAGGCTCTTGGCGACGTTTACCCTCTGAAAGTGAGCAAGTTCACCGTTTGTCACGGTGGATGACCGTATCCTCCTAGCCTGTGGTTTCTGTGGGGGGGGTGAACAATGAACAGTTACACGTCAACGGCACCTGTGTTACGCGTGAAAGGTGACTGCGGTATGGGGCTCGGAATTGTTTGTTACCATGATGGACTGTGGCGGTTCTGGGTTAGTGACACTGGATGAGCGTATTCGTCCGTTCAGCAACATCTGCAAACGGCACAGGCGATTTTGAGCACATGCGGATTTAACGTTTCATAGGTCTGCCCTCTGCTTGTAACAGCTGCTAAACATGCGAGTGCGCGCAAAGCGCAACGGCCGAGACCAATAGCACAATGCATGACTGTTGCGATAGCGTCATACGGAAGAACACAATTTCAACAAAACATACGTAACTTTTAATGTGTCATTGCATTCACAATCGGCACACTTCCAGGCAGGCTGCCAGAACACCAAATGCTAATTTGCTCCACTAAAAGGATTGCCTCACCCTGGCAGAGCTGCCACGGTCTGCCTCCATAGTGCGACGCGTCACTCACAATACACGCGTCTGTGTGCTAAGAGCACAGTCACTTCCCATTTCAAAAGTCTGATTGCTACATCTATAAAAGCACATTTAATACAAAGTAATAAAAAAAATGCCTACGTGTATGCTACATGTAAAACACACACGAGAAGTCCATTTGCCCTGGTGATGGATCAACTATAAAACGCACCATTTACAGTCTCTGTGCCAACACGCTGCACTATATCTGCCTGAAATTGCACTCGTGGTCGTGAGGGTCACTTCCTCTGCCTTCCTCTGCACGGTGGCGGCTGCTGCCAGCTTCCCAGTGACGCCCTTTACGAGCCCCCCCCCCCCCTTCAGAAACATTACTGGCAGCGGTGGTGTCCCCAATCTACTCCATCAAATCATACGAACGGCTTTATTTAAAACCAGGCAGATGTCCATTGAGACGAGTCTCTTTGTCAAAGGGAAACCTGGGGGACATTTAAATGGGCAACACAAATAGATCAATGCACGAGATCCTTCAATTAAATGTGTGCAACTCAAAAGCAATACACAATTCAGGTTTTGAACATCCTGTAAATCACACGAGTCAAAGTTTTATTCAGTCCGTGATGCGTCCCACAAAGACCCCGAATAGAGCCACAACAATCTGTTGTGTCGAGCGTTCTAGCGAGAACCTCTGAAGGCCGGCAGGGCACATGACGTGGTAGATTGTTCCGTACCACACCCAGCTGCCTTTGCATCCAAATAAGGCCGAGTTGAAATTGGGGACAACCCAGGATCTTTTCGGAAATCACTCGCTACTGATGATAACCCAGCTCACCAGGTCTATAACGCAGTGCACGCACCATCGCACGACCGCTTCCCACATACATACAGAGACAAAGATTCCCCCTATAGCCTTAACAGGCTGTTGGGGCAAGTGCTGTTAGGGAGCACGAAACATAAGGGGTTGGGTGGCCAGCACCACGCCCAACCGCGTTTGTCTCGCCAGTGCTGAAGTTGATACACCGCACAGGGTACTCATTTGAGGCCGAGTAGACCTAGGTGAGGCCAAAAACCAGTTTAAATATTTTCCACTGCTCTTGGTCGCACACACGCACGCACACCGCAACGGTGGCCCAGCCGTGGCGGGCTCCCCCTTACCGAGGACGAGGCCTCCTCGCCGGACACGCTGGCCGCCTCGAGCCGCCGGTTCAGCTCGTCGGACAGCGCCGCTGAGGGTGGCTCTGGCTCGGGGCTCTCCAAGAGCGGGGGTGGGGGAGCCAAAGCAGGCGCCGGCGAGGGCGCCGGCGAGGGCGCCGGCGAGGGCGCCGGCGAGGGTGCAGGCGACGTGGCCGGCGAGGGCACCGGAGACGGCGCGGGCGGGGGCGTCGGGGGGACGGGCGGCTCCGGTGCGGTGCTCGGCTGGCTTTCCGCGACCGGCTCCAGCAGCTCCCAGTTCAGCTGCACGGAGCAAGGGTGACACCACGGTGGGGCGGGGTGGGGGTCACACGGTCACGACTGCTCGGGGCTCAATGATGCCCCGCGTCTCGGAGAACCAAACGAAGGTCTTGAAGCAATATGAAACGTGCGCGTCGTGCACGGAGACGCTGGGCCGACACGCGCACAGCAGGGGTCCTGCGGCAGACTGCTCGATGATAAGGCTGCGAGTTGAAATCTCGGTCACGGGTTCGCTCGACCCTGGAGCGCTCATTAAATGAGTATCAATTTGTGGGAGGTCAACAGTAATGGTCCCGTGGGAAAACTGAACAAGCAAAAGACACGTGGAAGTTTTCCCACCGAGCTGTGCCGGGGGTTTCCTGCCTCCGCAAAGCAGAATGCGCGGGGGAGAACCGCTGCTTTTAAAAGGGGCTGAATGAATAAATCAGTTTTAAGTTGATTAATCAACCTGCATCAATGCCCAGATGTTTCCTACCTTCATTGTACACACAGTGGCAGATGAGACATGGAGATGAAGGGAATTAACAGGCACACACTTTGAGAACTGCAGCAGCTAGAAAGTCAAACTATGAGAGTGGCTCTCCGATGACTCCCAGCCCGTTCAGGTCATTGAAACCATCGGGAGGACGAGAGTCAACATGGGAGACGGGAGACCACGTGACGTCGAGACAGGCAAGTGCAGGGCACAAGGCCTTGCTGCACCTCGGAGTTGTCCCGCGAGTCGGTCGCTTCCACGTCCTCACTGATCTGACGCCGCGAGCGGAAGATGTTCTGCGCCTGCTGGTCGATCTCCCGGATGTGCGTCTCCGACTCCGGCGTCGCCTCTCTGCGCACGCGCACACTCACAACGTCAACCTCCCTCACAGACACACACACACACGCCACAGTCCCTCACACACACACACTTGTCACCATGCCTCAAAGACAAAGATCCTCGGTATAGCCTGAACAGACTGTTGAGGCAAGTGCTGTTAGTGAGGGGGTGGGTGGCCAGCACCACGCACAACCACTTTTCGCCCCTCCGTGGCGATGTTTGCACACGACACCAGGTACTCAATTGAGGCCTAGGACCGGTTCAGATAATTGTCACCGGTGTTGGGCGTGAGCGGGAATCGAACTCGCATTGTCAGGTTCGTAGCGCAGCGTAGTGCTAACCGCTACCACTACCGCGCCACACAAATGACACCCTCCATCACACACACACAGAAAGGTCACTGTCCCGACTAAACAAATGGACATATTTTCAGGTAAGTTAATTATTTTTAACCAACACTGGTGGCTAACATCAGTGATCAAACAGCTATAAAGGCAGGTCACAATGACCATCATCCAAACATCAACATTTATATTTGATGAGGTTGGAATTTGAAAATTCTTCGCACGTATTGAAAACTGAATTCCAAATACCAAATGGGCAATTAGAAAAGGCAGCATCGAGCCCAAAGCTCTATGCATGTGAGCTCCCCAACAATCACTTAAATAAATTGATAGCACGCAAATTACCCTCCGCATCCTCAAAAGTCAAATTACGTAAGTACCCAATCGAATTAAAAAATTAGGATAAGTATGCGAGTCATCTAAACCAACTATTACTAATACAAACGTGCAGCATATGAGACTGCATGGCAACAGATGAAAGCACGACCGTGAAGAAGGCGGGGTGACTCTGGGGCCTCATTGTCCAGGAGGCTCACAGCAAGCATCACAGATCCTGCACTCAAATCTGGGCAGCCATCCGACGCTGTGTTTCCATCATGGGCATTCACTCAAATACACTCCCCCCACTCCCGCTAAGCAATGCCAGGCCACTCAAAAAGCACTGCCTAGGAGGTGGCAAGTCGAGCAAATGTGTTCTTGAATCCATCTGTGCGGAGCTTAAAACGTGATCGCCTCGTAAGTGTTGGGGTCTTTTCAGGTACTCCGTTTCCTTCCACAAGCCAAACACTCAGACGGATGTAACTGGTAAAACATCCCCAATGCGGGACCATCCTAAAACACAATCTTGAGACTCGGTGAGGCGTTTGGCTGGACAACCCAAGAGAATTAGTATAATACTTGGTCAGGGGTCAACTCGGCACACTCAGCAGGGGCAATGAAATGCACTCGTTAATGGAATTGGTAAAATATCCCAATGCCCCTGTACCTTCTAAAACAATGGCATTATTGCAATTTCTGATTATAATTAATTTTAACGCTTTCCTAGATAAATACATCAAAGTGAGTTCCTCCTCAAATGAGCATCGAGGCTGTGCTCATCTCTTGGTTAAAGCCCTGAGAGGCCAGTGGAACAGAAATTCCACATTCCTATGGCGGAGACGATTCTATTCATAGGACAACCACCGTTGACTTCACCGCAAAGTGGCACCGATTTAATCGACCCCACGAGGCACGATGGGCCGAGTCAACCACCAAGCAGGATTCAAACTCGCAACCCTCCGAATGCGATCCGCTCACTCGACCGCAGAGCCGAGCCGGCTGATAAACAAAGGGGGCATTATAATTATTCCTTTTAGAATCTACCCAACACGAGCTGCCCCAGTGGCATTTCCTGGGGGGAGGGGCGAGGCGTGCAAGGCTTACACGGTGCTGGGGCGGACCCATTGCGTGGAGCGCGTGCGGTGGTTCACGAAGTACGTGCGGCCCAGGTTGTCCTGCCTCTCCTCCCAGTCGACGGGCAGCGGCGGTAGCTGCTGCTCGCTCGTTCGCTGGGTGGCGGCGGCGTCCGGGTGCTCCAGCACCTCCCAGCCGGGCTGCTGGCGGTGTGCAGGGTCACATGCGTGGCGGCGTTATGACGCGCGCGCGGTACATCGCAACACGGCGGGGCAGCAGCACACGGTGGGGTTAGAACGCACAGCGGATCGCACCACACGGAGGGATTATAACGCGGGTTCGCTCACGCGGCCCAGGGGTTGCGCGCGTTTGCTGCTTGTTGCAGAGGTTCACGGTTGGAATCAAGAGGCCGCCTCGGTTATTATCGCAGGTGTAGCAATCGTAATAGCACTGAGTACTGCCCGTTCAACAGTGCACGTTAAAGATCCCGAGACGTCATTCGCAAGAGTAGGCCACTGTTGCGCTGGTGTCGTGTGGTCCAAACTTGCCCATTTTGCCAAATTAAAGAATTACACCATAAATGACTCAATTGGATAAACAAGGCAATCATCCTCTTCTACTGCAAAAAATAATCAGGACCCTCCTGGAAAAGTTATGAGACCCAGTGAAGCTTTCCCGGTTAACCTACGCGTAATAATGAAACAGACAGCGAGGTTTTAACACACAGCAGATGAGAACACACGGGTGAGGTTGAGAAATACGGTGAGGCTCACAACGCACAATGGGCTAATTACCCGTGCTGGGTTTATATACAGCACACCGTTGGGTAATGAGATACGGCAACATCAAAAGATGGGGCTATAACAAAGTGTGTATCGGGTTAGTATTCCCTTTATTGAAGAACGTAGATATTAATTTCTATATAAATTATGTCAAATGGTGCACTTATCTTTTCACATGTTTATTTTTAGTTGTTGCTGTTCTTGGCACGGGTTTGTTTCCCCATCGGCCAATACCCCCCTCGCTGCGTTTCATTATCGCGGACGTCCCGTGCACAATGGACTCCTCTGGGTGGTCTCTCGCCCCCTTAAGATTTAACAATGCCAAGCCGCGAGCGTCGTCACACATTTATTTTTGGAAATGTCAGTGGCTTTGTGAAAATGTTGAAATGCCAATCGGCAGCGGATGAGAAATAAAGGAAATGTTTTCCTCGAAGCAAAATCCTTTTAAAACATTATTTTTCAAATATAATTAACACAACGCACCTTGGGTGATGTGCAAGAAATGTTTCAATTGGACAGCATGTGCAACGAGATACAGATAACAATTTTAATTTGGCATTAACATACTTTTTTGCAAGATGTAATCTAGCAAGATTAATAAGTTCTGGGCACGTGTCACACAAACACGCCAAGGGGGGGCATCGTGTTTGTGAACACAGCAAAGTGGCGGAGACAGCCGCTGTGATTTATTTGGCTTACGCGAGTTGCACTTCTGGTAATTTTCAATTCCATTAAGGGTGGAAAATTCTTCATGAATAATAAAAGAGTAGGCAACTATCAAGGACCCCCTACTCTCCACAGCTAAAAGCCAAGCAAACAATACATCACAGAATACAGTACGAACAATTCCCGCATCGTACACAGTGCACGAGCGCACACGGACCCGAGGATGCGACGCGTAACAGATCACGGCCGAGGGCTCACGTACAAGACGGTTGACAAACGTCACAACCCACACTCGCACAGAGGTGATGGATTACCTCCGATTCTTCAGTCTGCTCTGGGGTCTCCTCGTTTATGCCATTCTGGGGCAAGTAGGCCATCTTTAGCCTCAGGTAGCCCTTCACCCGGGATTTATGACTGCAGTTGCACGGGGAAAATAAACAACCCGCACAGAACACGTGAAGCGTTAAATGATTATCAACGCGTTATGAGGGGTCGCCGTTTACTCACACACGGCAGATGAGGGCCCAGCGGAAAGGGTCGAGTTATTAAACGGTAAATTAGAAGCGGCAGGGTGGCTCAAGCATCTATTGCTCATCGCTGAGCAATGAGCGGACACCGTCGCGAGTCTGGATGATTTATCCATGCATCGGCCACCTGTGATTATTAAACCCATAAGTGGTTGTCCGCCATCATATTCTGGGGAAATTTCCTAACCTATTGTTCCGTCACTGCTTTCTGAATCCTGAATTTAAATGTATTTATCCTAAAGACATGACGCCAAATTACACAATTGGGTTACAATTCGAGATTAAATAAAAAAAACTAAATATAACAATATTCATTCGTTTGTAACAGAAAGTGAAAACGACCCATAAACAGCATTTGCACGTGAGAGCGTTGTGGACCAAACAAACATTTCATTTTCACTTCAAATGTTTTTTTTTTAAGTGGGGATGTTACCTCCGTGGCCGCAACAGGAAGTCCTTGAAGGTGTACGGTCTCTCCCTGGTGGGGTCCTCAGTCTGCAATAAAAAAACGAACGTAGCTTTACCTTGGTTAAGCTCCGTGCAAACACAATACGGCCAATTTCTTTTAAAAAACTTTGCTTTGCGTGGCATAGCAAGCATGCAGATGTGTTAGTGATGCCTGAATTGTATCGGGCAACAGCAAGAGCATATTTCTCAATTGATGCTATCTGAAATTGGCCAGAGAAAACTTTGAAAAGGACCCTGAATACCTCACCGGCTGTTATCACTCCTGTTGTTCACAAGAAGGAACTGGCTATGGTTAATGGTGCCAATCGCTATCCACAGCCCACGCAATTAGTTCAATGGCACCGGTGTTTGGAAGGTGCTCATCTCTGCTGACAGCACGGACAAGCGGAAAGGCAGCGAGAACTGGTGCCAATAGTTGCCCAAGCTCTGTGGCCCTATATTGGGATGTTTGGCCAACTGCATTAATTAATGTTTATATTCTTGGTTCTTTCGGTAAAGTCACGTAGAAGGGAAACAATTAAATAATAAAAATATAAAAACAATATTTTTATTATTTTTATTATTTTATTGTTTCCCTTCTACGTGACTTTACCGAAAGAACCAAGAATATGAATCCCTGCAGTCACGAAAGCTTTAAATCAAAATGTATTGTTTATAGATTACAAGTTAAGCATTAACCTATGTGCCACGCACAGCAGACATTGATGATACACTGTGAAGGATGAATGCGAAAACCGTGACAAGGCATATTAATGATTAGACGGCTTTGTCAACTGACTACTGGATGAAGGCTTCTCCATCCCGACGTGTGACCATACTTCACTGCATTGGCCAGTGTGGGTTGGTAAATAGTAGGTCCGGTTCAGACAGCCCTTGCCACTAACGTTATCCACGGCTGAGAATTGAATTCGGTTGCTGGGTTCTGAGCTCACTGCGCCAACCACTGCACTGCCACTCCGCCTCCAAGTGTATGCCTCTGCAGTGCTGCGCTACACGTATTGGGTTTGCTCCCAGGGACTCGTAACACGCGTGGAATAGACAACGGCTCCGATGAGAAAGAGGCGAGCATCGATTGTTAAATTGGCAGCTGACCACGAACGGGAAGTCACCCTCCAATTGCAGTGCGTGCAGGGCAAATACCGGGAGGTGGCTGAGCGGGACATCCACCTGGCCCAGGAAGTCATCTCTCGTCTGAAACGAACAACAACCAAGCAACATCACATGCGAGTTAAGCAATAATTAATATCAATCGATACGTAGCATTTTTAATCACCGCCAGAGTTATCACATGTACTGCACTATTTAATTGACAAGATACTCAGGGCACAGCCTCAAAGAGCCTTTGCAGAAAAGATTTTACATTGTGCAAAGGACATAGCTAGCACTTAATATTTCATTTTTAAACGTGGAATGCTTTTTTCCAAGGTGAATAGGAAATGAAAGAATCAGTAACGGGGGAAAAACTGTGCTTTAATTACAGTTCATTAATATTGACTTTGGGACTGGGATGGAAGTCGTGCAGCTACAAACACAGACCAAAACACCGTACCACTACTGCCATTAATAGTACCTTACAAAAGAAAAAATAAATATCACACCAAGGCTCTTCCCTCGAGTTATTTAACGAACAAGAACGAAAGGTCTCTTGTGATCATCCTGAAAAAGTTAAGAATATTTTTTCTTCTTATTATTATTAAAATACAGTTCACATGGAGAATCCCTTGCGACAGAACATCGCGTTTGGAGAAAGTCTCCAGAGACACCCTCCACTGCACCAATGAGGGTCAAAAGAAATGCCGCAATTGTTTTGTTTCGTTCACGGAATACTCGGAACATCAAAACGTTTCCAACCGAAGATCAACCACCTGGAAATTATCATTCAAATGCCTGTGCAGGTCAGCCGAGGGCTGTCCTACCGATTCGAGGAGGACAACCCCAGATGTTAAATGAACGTCACTTTTCACAGCAAGACAACCCCACGTGAATTGAGCAACAACAATAAGTAAAGGAAAAACACTGAATTTGTAAGACATGTAGTGACGAGATTTGTTAGTCTACGTCATTAATGGGTGATCTAAATAACAGGGCTACACTTTACACCATGTTTTTACATCCTAGTGTGCGTGCAACAGCTGGAGAGAGATTTGTTTCTCAGCTTGCAGAATAGAAATCACACGAAGCCAAGCATTCGGCAATGCAAGCTTCTGCAAGTGCAAGACTGTGCCTTAAAGATCAAGGTGTCATATTTTTCAGTTAAAAGCTACAAGTCGTACATTTATTTATAGGCACCAGATATCAGGTTCAACTTCAGAGACCTTAATGGAAACATTCAGTGTGGGGAATGCAACGGTAACGGATGACCAGGGCCCAAATGTGTCCTCGGGCTGGCCTGCTCAACACATTTATCAATTCACAAATCGATTTTCCTTCATAATACATTTAAATCATAATAAAACTTCCACCGTGTGTCATACACGAGCTCGTGTGAAGACCACTTGAACATATTGCTTTGTAACCGAGTTACCGCAATATTTTTTCATGAAATAAAACGGATCGTCTCGCTGAAATTAACCGCTTAAATGGAAAATACCGCCGACAGAATTAGCCAAAAATAGCAACTGGGTGAAACGTTGTAGGCGATGCAGAATTGGTTGCTTTGACAAATGAATAATTTGGCGGGACCCCGAGGTCCCGCAAAAATCAGGTCAATAATTATTATTTTTCAGTCCGCCCACTCGTGCCTCGACTACTATCCAGCCATGCCGCCCAACCTCGTCGCCGAGTTGGACGACGACAGCAACGCGCCGCCCGCCCAGACTCGCGCCAACAAGCGCCAGCAGCAGGCGGCGATCAACACGATGGGCGCCACCCCACCGGCCAAACGCAAGCTCGGGCCGTCCGCCGCAGTTGCGCGCGGCGACAACGCCCTCCGGTCAGCCGTCGATCCTCAGCTTCTTTGCTAAGGCGAGCCCGCCCCCCGCAGTGAATTAAACATGTTTATGTAATTTTTCAACTTTTTAAGAAACTTAGTGCCCCGAGTAGGTCTCGACGAGGCCAATCGATTGACACTAGTTTTGTTGTCGGTAAGGCAAGACTTGTGTCGCTACGCGGTTTTTCCCACCCCGGGGCAGTGATGGGACCCCGGGGTCCCACCAATTGCTTCAAATGTTGATACCCAGCCCGATGCGAATTCAGAGATAGTGGCTCCGTAAGAAATGCACGGCTGGCATGCGGCACTCGACCAGTTTTCTCCCCCACTTAAATCGCAAGGATAAAAACGCAAAGCTGTACACGCAGTGCACAAACCAGTACAGCATCGACAAACCTCATGAATAACACCCGTCTTAAAATGGAAATATATATGGTGACTAACGTTTTAGATAATGAAGCTTCTTCAGGTTCACTGCGATGATCAGGTTGCAAAGCAAACCACTCGGTTTCACGGAAGCTTTGACATTATATGCCCCACCAAACACACAAAATGCAATGTTTACCCTGAAAAGCCCTCGATACGCTACTTAAGTGAGAACCCACCATGGAATTGTTAATGGGACCTTCGCGCCATTGCCGGTGACCAGGCTCGAGACCACCGTCTCGGGATCTCAACAGCGGTAACACGAGCACCGTCACAATGAGTTGTCAAGGCGTCTTTGAAAAGTACCCCAGTGCGAACAAACGTGCGGCAGGAATGGCACTGCTGTTGCTGGCTGTCAAAGCCTGTGTGCGAATGCCGCTTTTTTGTCTGGATAGCGGAGGCAAGATCTCACACTGCTTGTGTGGCACGCACAATGTCTACCTTCACAGCGCCTTCAAATCGCCTCGTAACAACGCTCCGAATGTGAGCAGCAGGCGATGGCGATACGAGTGCCAACAAGGGCTGCCAATTCCAACCAATTCGTATCAGATGCTTCTTCTAAGCAACTTTACATGAAGCATGAGAAAAATAACCACAATTTTATATGCCAAGTTGAGAAACACAAAAGGACAGGAACAGACATCACCAGCAGCTTCTCTGAAATGTATTTGTGTCCGTTACCAAATGCTCTAAGATGACCCACAATATTTATTAATTAACATAAATTAATGCATAGGACCAATTCGCGAAATAATGGATACAATCAGTACCAGCTTGTGGGAAGTCAGAATCCGTTGTTCTACAAACTCAGCTGATAACCATGATCATTGATGGGCACGTTTTAGCTCCTGCTGGATTCAAGCCTTCCCACATTACTACCGAAGGCATCTCCTGCTTATATGCGAGCTAATCTCAGGCGTTCCCTCCTTTGGGGTTGTTTTTCTTGTACCGTCTTGTTTTCTGAGTGTTGCTCGTACTTGCAAAAGGGATTTGGTATTGTTTTTGTACACAGCAAACAGCATTAGGCCATATTCTTAGCTCTTTCGGTAAAGTCACGCTGAAGGGAAACATTAGGCCACTAAGGGTGCAGCTATTGAGGCAAGCCATGCCTCCACACACAGGGTGGCAATACCAAGCATGTTGTGAGCTGACATCACGTGCTGCCGCTGCCATCATGTTACAAAGGATCAATGAAAGAGAGCCGCTCAACAGACGTGAAAACCGTGCCAGTGGCAGCCAATTTATAAAGGGCGTGGGTAGTTCTTGCAGATTATGATGAAAATTTACATGTCTGCAAATAGAAATCGCTGCTTATGAAGAACGTGTTTTAGCCGTACAATGGTTTATATTGATATTGTATAGACTGCATGACCTCAATTGCTAGTTTGAGGTCATAAAATGTAATGCATACCAACACTCATTCTACTTACTAAATCATGTTCAAATTACACTCAATAGATGGTTCGACAGATTCTGAAATAGAATTAAACAGAGCCCCAATTCTCCCGCCTGGATAAATACATGTGGGTCCATCGAACATAGTACACAATCAGAGCCACCTGATTTAACACACAAAACACAACCCTAGAAAACTCACCCCAACAAACATAACATAAGAAACACGAGCAACATATTTCGCTTGCAATAACAAAATCTAATGGGTTTTTTCATTGGAGTGCTGGCAAGTTCTTAATAGAAATCACAAATAATGTTGGAAGAAACAGGGGGGCATGTGCAGTGCACTCCGTCACGAACCCGGCGACCTGAGCGAGACTGAGTCCACGGCTAACATCTGTGGCGAGTGACACCTAGACCGGTCCTGGTTAGGACCCCCGCTTCACCGACCCGCATGAACCATCGTGTGGAGTATGGCCAAATAACCACCACGGGGAGGGGGGTCTTCATCCAGCAGCGGATTGACAAAGGTGTAAAATAATACTGTTGTAATTTTAAACATTAGTTTAAAAGTGGTACATCTTTATTAATTACACTACAGAAGAGAGATTTCATTAAATATTGGTATGCAAGATCATACATATTTGATGTGTGAATGGAATAACAATGTTCCAAAAAGATCAAATTAAACCAATTTAAGTGAACTGACCACGATGAAATTCATGAATTACTACAAATATTTATATCTCTTGTATCAGTGTCGATACTTAATATGCAGGTAACAAGTCCGTTTGTTTATATCGGGACATAAACAATCTATGCAATTAAAATATTAACATAAAAATGAAACGTACATTTGATCAGACGCACATAATATAAGAGTATTGCCACTCACCCTGGATGTGGTTAAAGCAGCGCTGTAGAAACTGGATAGAAAGAACATCTCTACAAAGAGGTACGGAGGCAGGCAGACAGACGCCAACACGCGACTGGTCCCTTCTGAGCTCACGGCAGAGTGCTCGCTCACGTACGCAGCGCTGCTTATCAAAACACCACACCCCTCTCATACAACGCCACGTGGTGTGTGGCAGCAGCGTGCTCGCTATACGTCAACAGCAGCACTGCACGCGGCAGGGTTAAATCACGGAGGGGATCCACAAATCTAATTTCCACAATTTACGGACGGAAATTGTAGATAAATTCCAGAACCTCATTTGCATGTTCCCAGCATCTGTTTCCTTGAATTAATGACACTCATTGACATCTTTTATTTAAATATGAACACAAAGAGAAGCTTATGCGCTATGCAAAAGTGTACTCAAGTGGCATACATACATGCTTGCTGAATGAAGCTCTGATTGAATGCATTAATACAAGACTCAAACTACTCCAGCTGCTCAGTTTCATGCTCTTGAATGTTCTTTTCGGCCAGCTCAATTCACTTTTTGCACACTTCTCATTTACCTGGAAGATCATTTGAATTGCACCGCATATATGAAGAGGGTGTCTAAATCGGCACACAAAAGGTGGAGTTTATTGTTATTAAGCTACGCATTATCCAGATTGTTACTTCATTATGAGCTGCACTGCCCGCAAGGAGGTAGATTAAAATAAACTGTAATGTTTTCCCTTTGCTTCAATGTAATACTGTCACGATGAATGGTTTTCTGCTTCCGCTTTATTTGACTCGCGGTCAAAGAAAGTGCGATGCAACCGAGGCCAACCTTGCAAACAGGACCGTGTTTGTCCGAGAGGGTTGTTTTCGTGACGACAACAATAATAATAATTTCAACCGTCACGCAACGCACAGTATTCACTCACTCCTGGAGAAAATAACCACGCAGAGGCGCAAACAATCACCGGTGGGGAAGCAGCGCCAGGACAGCCGGCGCCAACATTTTCACAAGCTCTGCAGTTCTCTACATATGAAGGTTGTTACCGGCCCACGAATGCGAAGTCTTTACATTTCAGAGGAAACTCACACGTGAGAGGGGGCAACACTCGATCCCATACAGATGAAACAATTGGGAGCCCACACATTTGTTCTACCGCATTCTCTTGGCGACGCCCACGCGAAGGGAGTTTCGCAAACATCTGTGTGTGGCTCCACCAACCCTCACGGCATACAGGTGTGCTCCACCACCGCGCTGGTGGTGATGATGATATAATTGTTGCAGTGCTTAACAGCAACACTCAAGGGCACATTAAATAAGCATATCTGCACTTTACATTAGAATGAAAAGTAAAGGCATCGCCCTGCCACAACCGGTGTCTGGGTCTCCACCGGAGGGAGCTCCAGGAAGCCCCTCCACGTGGTCAGTCTAACACGTAGCAGGCTTTGGGGACCAACATCATCCATCATAAAGTTTTTTTTGGGTTAGATCGCGTAAATATAAATGTGTACAATGCTGATTTAACGACACCTCCAGAGAGTATTAACTCTACCCTTCGACAAAGGCCACGCATCTTGGAACAGGTGCGAGTACGCACACTTTGCCCCATCACACGCGACCTGCCGATCGACTAACTCCGGCGAACCCATTAATACCGCTGTGGACAGCGGCGGTGTGCATGTGTGGGGGTGTCAGCCACTGCGCGCCACAGCGGAGGCGTGCACGGCGCAGTGGGGGTCCCACCCCCGTGGGGAAAAACAAATAGCACCGAGGAGATAGAGGAGTGGAAATAATTAACTTGATGAAGAGCTTAAAAGACTCTAAATAACAATAAGCCGGCTCGCGCGCGCTGGACATTAGTCACATAACAAACGGGAAGAATTATGGGAGTCGGGTGAAAAAAAAAACTGGCAGGGGGCTTGATGTACGTGGGTCAACGAGACGCAGAATAACGCGCGCACGAGCGCACAGCGCGCCTCTCGCATAGTCTCAACGTTTCACCAACGAGTCATCCCACGCCGCACCGGCGACCACCGGGTAACTCCTGCATTGCGGAGTCCGCCGCACGGGGAGCAGCAGCGTTCTCCGTGCCACTCGAGGCAGAGGCCAAGCCGCGGCCGTGCCGTTGTGCGAGCAGCTCGAGCTCTCTGGGAGGCACAGCGCCGCTCTCGAGAGGCTCTCGAGAGCGGAAGCCTGGGGCTGCGGCGGCGGCGGCGTCGTTTGGATGCGCCGCGCTATGCGGCCGGACAGCGGCGGCTGCTTTTTCTGCCACCAGAAATAGCAGCCTAAGAATAGAGTGTGTTCTCTGTAAACAGACATGGAAACAGCAGATTTAATTAGGAGCGTGGACCTTTCTTAACCCTCGTACGGCGCACACTGTTTAAGCGGCTTCCCAAACGGTGCGGCTAGTTGATTGCGTTTCCCTTATTATTCTTCACAGTGCTCCACATTCCAGGCAATGCATCGCAGTGCAAAGTCGATGTTGGGGCAATGGATATCACGGTCAAGCGTTGTGCGTGCCAGTCTCTGCCATGTGGCGGTTTGTGCTCGCACACAAAGTCGTTCTGCTTTAAATACCCTGAATTACCACGCGTTCATTTTGCGGATATGGAGAGTCGTGCGGCAAATTCGTCCAATAATACCCAGTTTACCCACAATCCTTTGCCCCGCGGAGGTTGAGTAACAATGGCGGATAACCCCACGGATGAAAGGATCTGTGACATTGGTCCTCCCCTGTAACCGTGTGGATAATAGGAGTTACCTTTAATAATGTGAGAATATACATTTCTTTGTAATATTGTGTGCATTTATACACATTTGTCGAATATGGGTAATGCTATGGAACAAATGACTAACCTTGTGATTTTTTTGCTTACAGCTAACATGCTTTAAATAATGCCAGGCAGTGTTACGTAACAGAGGTGGAATTCAAACTAATGAACCCCTTTCAATGCGTTTCCTGAGTGGCGAGCTGACCCCGACGGTGGCCCGGCTAGCCTACCGCCACACCAGTAAACCTGCAGAAAAGGGTTCGTAATTACAAAGCTCACTTTGGTTTGCAGCATCTTAACAGTGTCCTCACAGTGATGGCTTTAGGAGCAGAGTAACTCACACCCATCACCTTACGACCTGCGAAACAATTCCCATGAGCTACCGTCGCCGTAAGCCATTTCGGAACAACACTGCCACCAGGCTCATGGGGAGTTCATGGCCACCGTCTTTGCTCGTCTCTGTGGATTGTGCGGGGCTCCTGTCCCGAGTTAAGTCAAATCACTCGCAAGTGTGGAGTTGTGGTGTCTCTACATTATCCACGTGTCATTTTAATTAGATCGGAGACCACGTTTAAAAATATCAAGATTCTAAATTGATTGTTTACAAAAAGCATTGGGCTTATCCACTTTCCTACCAACCATCTCCCTGACCTTTGCCTGGCTTCCTACCGGGAATAAGTGTGCATTGCCTGGGTCAGTTTCTAGACCTTGGGGTGGAGAAATGAAAGGGCGTTGGTGCAGTGCTGCCATGGAGACCGAACTGATTGGGCCGAACCAGGATAAACGCAGCACAACAAACGTGGTATCATGGAGACGGGATGACAGGCTATCAAGGTGCAACAGCACCCCTGGGTATGCATTTCACGGCATTCCCTCTTCATTAGTAGCAAAATAGGCGTTCCTTTACGTCCGATCTTTCAGAAAATGTACAGTATTTTAGCCTGCATCGGTATTTTTTTACTTCGTTGACCAAGTTAGCACATCATGTTAACACGTAGATCTTCATTAAGGTGCTTGATGTAGTTTCAGGTGAAAAGTCAAATCTGACCGCTAAATCTGGTTGTGAGAATTTCTCTTCAACTTACTGCCGCGCTGAAATATTAACGACTGGCGCATTAAACGCTCGTGTGGCACGCGCGACGATTTATTTTGTTTGGCGATGTCACTCGGTGGAGGGTCTTGCGACAAAATTTTTTACCAGGTCATTCGGTGGCCCAAGACAACAAAATTGTGATAAATCATGGTACATACTATTATTTAATTAATTGTAGTACATCATGGTACTACAGTATTCTTATACCACTGATTTTATACATCACATAGCAGGATATAATTGATTGTGAACTAGCAGCATAAGGAAATAATCGACGTGAACCACACAACGCGTCTCCAGTGGCGTTCTGTGCAGGGTTTTATTGGCTTCCCAAGTAAAACCACTCATTAATTATTTATTGGAACTTTCCTACGATAGCAAAATGTACGACCTGATTAGAATATTTGTATCGGTTGGACCCTCGCACGTAAACGATGAAACGTCTCTCGTGTTCGTTGAGAAGGAACTTCTTGTGTGCTTCATCGACTCTTGCCAGGTGATTAAGCACGATAATGTGACATTATAACAGGACATCAATCATTTTGGAATTAAACATTAACTACCTTAAAAATGCATATAAATAATATATCTCAGGGCTAGTGTTTACACATTAACTTAATAGGATCCCTGGATGGCTAGATTTAATAAATGTTTAAATAAGACCTCATTTTATGAAGACAAATGTTTCCTGAAACAGAGGAAATATTCAAAACATGAACATGGCAAGAAATCCACCGCTATCCTGTATACATATGTAAGCATGTGCAACTTTTTTTCCAAATGGCTTAAGGCAGCTTAAGTAACCAAAACATGTGGAAAGGGGCCCTGAACACATGCTTTTTGAAGATAAACTTACGTAATGCTGCACATTAACTGCATGGTATGCATTCACCGGTGAGATGCGTGCCTCACGCACGATTTGAAATAAATAAAACGATCGTGTATGTGAACCGCAAACCATTGCCACTCTCTCCACTCAAATCCAGCGAACTCTGACGATGCTTCTTGTCTCTACAAACACAAAGGTCTCCCCCGTATAGCCGAGAAGATACTTTTGGGCCAAGTGCTCTTCACGAGCACCTATGAAGGGCAGCATGACACACGTCATGGAGCAAATGCTGGAAAGTAATCCCGCTGTGTTTGAGTCCACAGCGGATTACGTAACCCGGCCTAACACTCCGCAGCTATAAGCAGATTTACGGTCAAAAATCTTCAAGCGGACACATTTACAGAAACAAAATATACTGCTGGAAAATATCGACTCGGAAGACCCACTGCTTTATGGACGTGTGTGTACTTTATCTTGGAGATGGGACAGACCCTCGCCTGTTTATTATGTGTTTTAGCTGTGTTCCCAAACAAGATCCATTCTTATTTCATATAAGCATGAATAGAATGCGGCTGTTGCCCAGGCACTTATTCTTCATCTGCAGGAGATCTATAAAATAAATATGGCTTTTATAAAGTAACAAATCGTGTTAAGTTCAAATTGTTCCTTGCATTAATCACACTCGTAACCAAAACATTTAGCAGAAAATCGATAAATTAAGGATGCAACTGAATATTTGCTTTCCATCAGAGGTAGAAACACCTACGCCATCGGAATGTGGAAGTTCCCACACCGACTCTGGGCTATCAGTCTTGTATGGCTTGAGCAGGGAAGCATTGCGGTGATATATTGCTATAAGCCGCTGCACACCGTGGAACTGGACCATAATGAACATGGCTATTACAAAATGTGTTTAGTTTTTCAAAATGAGCTAATATATGTTGCCTGAAAAATGTCCCGCTCGGTACAATTGGCTTCATTGAAATGGAACCGAAGCAGAATAAATAAGCGAGACCCCGCGAAGTTCACTGCAGCAATGCAGCTGCAGCGAATGGCTGCAGAAAATGTGGTGGTGGCTGGGTTCAGGCTCCTCGTTTGGCCTAAGGCCCAGGGCCCAGCGGGACACCGAAGCCCAGAGGAAAGCAGTGGTCCCCAGCAACACCGATACAACACACACACGGTACCTTTCCCATCAGACAAAATGAAATAATTTGACAAAGTGAAAGAATATTGAGGATATGGCTTTATCCTGTATCTCCTTGTAGGCCATTGCATTGTGATCTCTACTTCATCTGAGCAACAATGTAAAAATATATTTGGCAACGAACCCATTATGTTAAACAAGTTAAGTTACAGCTAAAAGCCGGTCCTTGCTGTTTGAATTCATATTACACGTAATACATATTTTGATTTAAAACTTTCCTGACTGCAGGGATTCATATTCTTGGTTCTCTCGGTAAAGTCACGTAGAAGGGAAACAATAAAATAATAAAAATATAACATTTTATTGTTCTATAATAATAAAAGTCACGTAAAAAAGAAACAATAAAATAATAAAAATATAAAATGTATTGTTTTATATTTTTATTATTGTATTGTTTCCCTTCTACGTGACTTTACCGAAAGAACCAAGAATATGCAATATACATTGACATTTTATTTTAATTAATGGCATGAAGCACTGTGCTTGAATGAGGTATTGTTACATTGCTTACAATTGCAAGAAAGTATATTAATATGATAATTTAGAGAATATCAATTCACTGTGGGATGAAAGTCTTCCCATACTGTGTCAATCATGGGGGGTTGTATTAGCATACTTCACCACGCTGGTCAGTCAATACAGTAATGGTAAGCTCAGATATCACTTTCCACTCATTTCAGCTGTGGCCGGGAATTTAAGCGAGACCAGCGGGTTTATAGCGCAGCGTGTGAACCAGAGCGCCGCTGCTTCCCGAAACGCTGTCTCCACACACGTACACATTATTTTCACTCCGCAGTACTTAAAAAAAAGCTCCTAAACAATGCAAGCAAATCCAATCTCACCAGAAATGCAAAGCATTGCACAGGGACCACAGTAAATAGCGAGCCCTGATGAACAGGTCTCCGTACGAAGCATAATTGGACGCAGAAATTAAACTCCTTTTAAATGTGCTGCTCTATATGCAGCACCGTTAGTTTCAGTTAGCGTGCCGCCTTTTTAATAGAATTTTAAAGCAATCCTTAAAACGATAACCCTGCCTCTAAACGACACGGTAACTGCACCGACGTAAAAATGGAAACAATATTAGTGATCTCTGTGCAACATTAAGACACTTTTGGTGTGAAGCAAAGCTGTGAATGTATAATACATGATTGTGGTATAGCGGCATAGCATTCATTACGCAGTTGGTGTTGATTAAACAACCTGCAATTTACAAGGATGCGATTTAAAATTCTGCTTGAAAGCCTCGCA